ACTGGCAATTTATATAGTACTGTGCAAATTCTGAGTCATGCCCCCGATGGTTTTACCTTTGCCTATTGAGAAAAGAAAAATGAGGGTTTTAAATGTATGAATTTGTCAATCCTGCTGTGTGATTATGTGCCAGGGTAGCTTGAAGGATGATGGAGCTTAGAGAGTGATGTGGTGATTTAGTGAGATATTTAGCATGCTGCTGATGTAAGACAGGTATACAGAGATCTAACCTTCTTTCAGGGTTTGGCTATGAGATTAGCAATTGGTTCCAAATGTGTGGTCGGTGAAAATGAGAAATACTCTAATTCTAAATCGCTATTACTTTACTATATTTTTGAAGCTTCTGCCGTAAAATCAGAGAAGATGAAATATACTCAACATACGTGCTAATAGAATTTAAGAGATTAAGACATATTCAGATGAGCTCAGGGAACGCAGTATAGTAGCAAACGTGTAATAGAGTCAATATCTGTGACGAAGTGTCGAATGGTGGTTAACGTCTGTGGTTGACTGTGATAAGAGCTTGTGATTGTATAAGGTTGATTTCAGGTTAAAAATTTCTAAAGGATGCACTATGAGCCAATCAGTGGTAGGTTTTTGTGCAATAGTTTGGTTGGTTGAATGAGTAAATCCAACCCTGAGGGACAGGTACAGGAAGTTCACTCTGGTGAATCAAATAATACTCTTTTTATTGTATGTCATCCACACTGTTTTACTCCTTAATGCTATTATTTTGACCATTTTGTATCTCATTTCTGTATCATACTGTGGCCTTGCATCGCTTCATTAGAAAAACAATCCTTGTGGTATCTTCTACATTCTGTAGGAACATTAGATGTAAATGTTTGTACATTGTACAGCACCTTTATAAATACTTGCTGAGTGCTCTTTCTGGGGGAAAAAAACAGAGGTATATTAAATCGCTCCATTATTTTTTTATGTAAAAAAAGAGAAAATATTTAAAAATGGATTGAAAAGGATAGACTATGACCTTGACATGGTGTTCCGTTCATGCACTGAAAAATAAAGTTTTATGAAAACACCTTCTGGACCTCTTGTACTGAAAATAAAATGCACGTTAACTATAATATTTAAATTAAAACCATGCTGTTCTATTTTTGAACTGTCAATGCACCGTCAATACAGTTACTATTCACAGAAAAATTATTTAGGTGAAGTATTTAGATTCATTTGTTTCATGCTACAGTCCAGAAATACTGTCCTTTCATATGACAAAGCAGCATAAACCACTGTTACTATGGCAGATTTCCAGTTGTCATGGTAGCCAACTGCTTTTCTCGGCAGAGCCTGGAGAGAGCTTGACTGCTCAAAGTAGATGCTTTTTCAATTACAGGAGAAAGCTCAGAGGCATCTTATGCCACGTATGCGGCATGTCCATTAAATATCCATATTTTAAAAGCAGGCTTGAAACATGTGGCCGTATTTGGAATGAGAACACAAACAAATATTTTTCAAAGCCCCGTGGAAACCATCAGACTGGTTCCTCAATAAAATTCCAGCTGCATGAGAGATAAGGATTATATAAAGTGTGCAGTTTTCAAAAAGTTGAAACACGTGAATAAATTCCACATGCTGAATTAGAAATAACTCAAATGGGTGTAACTGTAAAACATTAATTATAAGCTATTCATCAAAGGCTCTTCCCTACATATTTGCTTTCAGCAGTTACTCTTGTGCACGATATATTAAGAATTTGTAAACTGAAATTTGATTATCTGCAGCGATCGTCTACAAATCAAGGTCCCTGACTGACCCTGAACTTTGAAATTGTGATAATATGTAGAACTACTGTCTGGAACGAGACCCAAGATTACATTTTTTTTAACCTTTTCTTAAGGAAGCTTTTATGTTTGTATGATAATCCTCTGCCAGGCTTTCTATCAAATTACTGTAGTTAGATTCACACCTGAGATGTCCAGTGCCACCAGGCATCTACAGCCGATCACTGACCAACTCCAGCAGGGAGTCAAGGACATCAAAACAGTTGCTTGAATGATTTATTGAAGTGGAAGTACAATTCTATCTGTGAAAGACTCTCTGCACTTCCATTACGTTAGTGACTTTGACCCTGGTTTGGATGAGACCTGCTCAGTCATTCAGAACGTGATATGGTCGTAGAGGAGCTGCTTTAATGGCTAAAGAATGACTGGTAATTGCACATGGTGTGATAATTGACTAAATTGCTTAAATAGGCCTATTTGCTGGAATATGACAATGGCCTATGTTTTATTTTAGGTACGGGCATGAAATGACGCATGCAACTGGATTGTACTTACAATTCAAAGCAGAGGTAAATGTTCTACAAAGCGCTATTGTCTTTGACCTTCCTTTTTAACTTGTACTATTGTTTTTCAGGAAATTCTACAGTCTGTTATATGAATAAATACACATTAGAAAGAGTAAAAAATAATTTGAAGCTTTTCTAACCCAAATGTTGTATTTGTATTGCCTTTTCAATCACATACAGGCATATTAATGTGAAACAAAAGGTCAGATGTGGGTCAAATTCAATTAGAAATAAGAAATTGTTCTGGTCTGTGTTCCATAAACTAAGGAGCAGTTGCTGATATCTACTGTTGAGTTTAAATTTATGGAAAGTTAAGAGATTTTAATAGGCAAAAATAAATGTTTTCTTTTCTCTTATTCAGATTTGTACCATAATCAGCACCTCCTCACTTGGTGTTCACCACCCAACACACATACATATTTTTATTATGTTTCAAACTGGTGCAGTACATATCAGTAATGTCAGTTTGTCATGTTACCCTGGTGAAAAAAAAAAACAACAAGTGTGTGTGTGTCTGAGGAGAATGTCATGTGATACATTCTGGAAGATTTTTTTCTGACGTCTTGAACTGCTGGACTATATCATGTTACACACTGGAGGAAAACAACACCACATGGTTTTTGTATTGTTTTATCATGATTGTCCCATATTAGCAAGAGCTTTTAAATGATTTAAATGCAGTTTATCCTTTTCACCACTAGATGTCACTGACTTACAATGAAGTGTTTGGCGTACATGAATGGGGAAGGGCACACATTTTTCTAGGATTAGGGTTAATTGATGTCTGGGTTAGGGTTTATGTTAGAAGTTGTTTTCTAAGGAGGTCATTATCATAAGACTGTATACCAGGAACAAAATACACACCTTTTGAAAAAAACGAGACATTTCTGGCCGCAAGAAATGAGCATGAGTCATATAAAGGCTTTTGGCCCTGTTGTTTTGTGAAATATGCATATCAGGGGGAAAACGTTTCTATGGTAACATCTGTCATAGAAATATATATGGAAATAATATGTGTGTGTGTGTGTGAGAAGATACAGTAGCTTATGTGAGCTTATGTAAAAAATATGTATCCTGTTACTCTTTAAATTGCATCCTTATGTGTCTCAGCATGAGAAAAGCAGGTAAACTAGAGTGGACAGATATTACTGTTTGGATGGCAACTTGTTTTCTCCATTATCAGACTTGATGAGAAGCAGATGCATTTCACTTTAAGGTTGGTTGGTGAGAAGGGAGGTATCTTGGACAGGGTGTTCGGAGAGATAAGAAACGCAGGCAGCCACAGCTCTTGGAGGCTTTGAACTTGAGAAGTTGCTTGTGGGAACTAGCATTAGTTACCAGCTTTTTTTAAAAAAAAAACCTTAAAAGCACATAAGCTGCACCACAGGTCATGTTTTATTGGCGATACATCAGGTTGAGTGTACTGGGGCATTTTCCACCCCATCCCTCAAAACCAGTGAAATCACAAACGTCTTTTACTTTTTAGTGATGTAATGTTTATCACCAAAAATATCCTCTATCTTGGTGTTACCTCACTATTTCAAAAGACACTACAGGGTACAGATACGGTGTACTAAACTTTATGAGCTCTGTTGCCAGGTTTCTGTGAAAATGCGTCTGTGGGTTTATCAGGCAACTCTGGGTGGAGGAGGGATTCAGTTGAAAATGGGCGTTGGAGTGAACTACTCGGAATTTACCCCCAGACTGTGTGTGAGGTAATAAGGCACAGCCCTCTTGTTGAAGACAACTGTGGAACGTATCCATGACAATAACCCAAACCCCATAAAGTGACTCAGAAGCTGTCATTTACTACAAAAAAACATCTTAATCCTTTTATTACAATCCCTAACTTATTTATTTTGATTATTATTATTCACTAAGGCATATATTGAAATGTATTGATCATGTTTGACTCTACAAGTGTGTGGGTCTGTATCATAACAGAATATAACAGAATAATAATATTCCTCTTTTGAGGGCTCAGTGAGGGAATACCCCCCTTTTTTCCAGGACACACCCATAATATTTCCACTTTGCAAGTTGGAACACTTGGGGAGACCTCTCCACTTCTTACAGGAGGTGGGACGAGGGAGCTGCTCTAACTGGAGGATAGACTGAGAGTTTGTGTTGGTTTACCGCTCATGGAAAGAAAACCCACATCTGTTATTGAAGTTGTTCAAATGTTATACATTTTATTTTCTGGTCTTTGTTCGCCCTGAAACTTTAGTCTGTGCTGCGCTGTGTGCGCTGTGTTTGCGTCTGTCGTTGTCCAAGGCGCTGGAAAACATTAGGTTTAAAAGGGAAACTTCCTGTCTTGCCTTTCAAAATAAGACACTTGTTTGTGATAGATCGATAGATAGATAGATAGATAGATAGATAGATAGATAGATAGATAGATGAAAACGTACAAAACTAAAATATGAATCTATAAATGCGCAGGTAGCCATTGTTATTAACAGGAATGTATTTAAATGCTATGTAATAAAGGCCATAAGTATGTATACTACTGATTAATCAATCAAATGTGCTGTACATTATGTTATAGACGCAAACTATATTTCATCTGTAGCTAACTTGTGCCTTTTAGAAGCAGCCAGTGCTGCTTCTGCTTTTATTGTGAAGGCACTTCTTCTGTCGCTTCCTGTCATTCTTGCTAACTTGACCGCAGACACCATAGATAGAAGTGATGCGTTCAGGGGTTGATAGGATCACTCTTGACCGGCAGTGGAGCGAGTCGCGTCTCTGCATCGCCTCACCGGAGAAGTTGGACCGAAGTTGGATCTTTTTAGTCTCCTTCTGAAACCCGGGATGGAAGTTTTACTGGACACCTGTGAACGACGAAGGGTCAGACATCTGCTGTTAATGTACCTCTTTGTCGTGAAGGCAGCAGGTCAGTGAAAACTTCAGCCTCGCAGTCTGGTTAATGAGATAATATTTATCAACGGAGCGAGTCACATGAGAGTTCAAGCGCGAATAGCAGGCTTCTCCACAGTCACTTATCTAATGTAAGCCTCTATTCAATTATGCCTCACTAAGTCACATATTTACTGGTGTTTTGAAGGAGTCTACAATAGGATTGCTGTGTAATAATTTAACAAAAAAATGTATAATATTCTATTAGATCTGTGAGAAAAATAAGATATATAATAATAATAATAATAATAAGATATCAATATAACTCGGTGTCCAGTTTATTAGGTACACCTACAGTCTAATGCAATCCAATACAACTTTTCTGCCATAAAGTCCACTGTTATGATCCCTGTAATGTACAGTTTTGTTGACACAGTCATAGAGGTGTAAGTTTGTCTTGTGCTTGTATTATTTAGAGAGGTGCTTTTAATAAGCTGCCCCGCTCACTCATACTTTACAAATGGGAAGGACATTAAATTTAGACCTTTCACTACAAAGTAGTCCAGTACAGCACCACCTTTAACTATATCCTCAGTAAGAAACATATTGTACAGGTGTAACTAATAAAGAGGCATTACTACCAGGTTGAAGAAAAGTTATTTATTAATCAATAACAATTATATTAAAAACTTTAAAGGGTTAATAAATAATGGGTCCCTCATTAAAAAGTGTTTTCCTCAAAAGACAAAATCTTGCATGTTCAAGTTACACATTTACAAATAGTCCAGAGGGAAATCAGGTGAGGCATTTTCTCACATGCATTGTCTCATCTCAATAAATGAGTATAATATTTACTGCAGTCTGATATTAGCTTTATTTATTCACTTATTTATTTATTTCATCACGTTACAGGCTTTCAGGTTTACTATTTAGTGGAGCTACATCATCATACCTGATTTATGAACAAAAAGATGTTGCTGTTGATGTTGTTGCCGCTGTCTTCTTCCCCCAGCTGACTGTCCTAAACCTCAGGGAAAAGGAAATATTGTCTTAACCAACGAAGCACTTCTAAAGAACAACTTTCCTGATGCCTCAAGTGTCACTTTTGAGTGTGTTAATGGTTATGTTCAAGAAAATGGCACTGGGATTATAACCTGCGTTAGTGGGACATGGACTGAACCAGATATCATCTGCATAAGTGAGTCCTGGCTACTTTCATTATAACTCTACTGACACTTTTATAAAACAGTATTATTCTGTCAATTTGGGGTTAATGTCGTGGCATAAAAGCAAAATTATCTTGTTTTTCTTTTGTTACAGAAAAGGACTGTGGTCCTCCTAAACCTCAGCCGAACATGAGCTTCAACATCAGCGACGGTACCCTGTTTGGTGCTGTGATAAAAGTAGTTTGTGCTAAAGGGTGAGGCATGAAATCTTGCCATCTAATTATAGATGGTTGAATTACACAAGTAAATAAATAGCTATGTCTTAAAGCAACATTAAGCAAGAATTGGGATTTTTTTGCTATTTTGCACCGCTACAGTTTCAGAGTGCAATTCACTTATACACCACTGTTGTAAGAAATGGACAGCTGTACATGTGCATTTGTTTGCAAGATTGCATTACTTATGATCAACACAGATAAACATCAGACAGAGCAAGCCAGTTAATATAATTGTCCAAAAGCGCTCACCAACGACTACAAGCCAATCAGAGATTCAGCTGCTATAATCCAGCACCATTGCCCACTCACCTGGCTAACAACAGTTAGCGGTTAACATTAGTTTAGCACCAAGTAAAGCTATCTGTCCATCATGAAACTCCATAAATCGCAGAAAATTGAAGCAGAGCAGCTGGAGGACATCAGAGGGGAAAACCAGAAAACATTTTCTCCATAAAATATGATCCAGTTTAATCAAAATCAGTGATTAAGTTTGTGGTCCCGGGATGTAAAGTGTTATGCACTTCTTGTAAGAAATCGTGCCTGTTCAACCAAAGTAGCGTGTGAGAATCAAAGCGGCACCATTCTTCCTATAACAAGTCAGTGTACCATGAAAATGATACTGAAGCTGTTGTTTTAAGGTAAAAGATTTGCTATTGATAAGTTTAAATAAGCAAGTGTTGGCATGGAGTCCTCAGTAGATAGTCACGTAGTAGTCATTGCTGGTACTGTCAACAGATGTCTACCAGACAGTGCTGCCTGCAGTCAAGGTGAATTAGCAAATGGAAAAGGTCTCTAAAGAAAACAAAATAGTCCTGAAAGACAAATAGAGCCGTGGCTAGAAAGTGTTACCTCATGGTTTCACTGATTACTTACTTTACTCTTGCCAACATCAAGGGAGTTGTTGATACATACTTCTCGACTAGACTGTAAGAATTTGGTTTCAATGTTGAACATTACCATCTCATTGTATTACAAAATCATGGCTCTACACTATCAATTCCTCATTGAATAAACAGTCCTGCTTTGTTTGCCTTCTTTCAACAGTTACCAGGTCATTGGATCAAGCTACAAACAGTGCTATTCAGTAGGGTGGACTGGAAGAGCTAAGTGTCAAAGTAAATGTCTCTTACTTTGTATTTCTTGAAGCCACAACCAGAAGCAATAAAACAATTGTTTGGTACATTCCTACTACAAAAGCTATTTCTAAAAGGCAACCTCTTTTTCTCTCCTCTTGCATGAGTTGTTTAAGCACATGGCTTATGCAGTGGTTTTTGTTTTCTTTGTGAAGTTGTTCTTCTGTTTCTAGTTTTTTTTTTTTTACTCAGCCAGCAAGGAATATATATTATTGGTTTTTAATCCTTAAAATTAATTTTGTGGTAAGAATTTGTGAAAGCATCTGTTTGTCTTATTCCTCAGTTGTAACATGTCGTGCGCCTGATGGAGTGACCAATGGCAAAAACAACTGGGATTCTTCAGATGAACCAAAATATGGAGAAATCATACATTATGATTGTGATGAGGGATACACCCTGGTTGGGAATGATGAGATTACATGCAGTGAAACTGGTGAATACGATTCACAGCCTCCTGAATGCAAAGGTAAGCACACTCCATCCATGTGTTTGACTTCAATAGATAGATAGATAGATAGATAGATAGATAGATAGATAGATGGTGGGAAGCATTGCATTCACCAGCTAAAGTACGCTGTCTGGAATTTAAGCCAAGAACAAGAACAACACACGAATATGGACACAATGAAAAAGATTCTGGGAATTTAATAATTTCTGCCATTAAAAACATTGTATTCCAAAGCTCTGCATGTTGATTTGAACACTGTGGTGAAATAAGTTTAAAACAATAGCTGCCTGGAATGTAATCAGAAAACCTCTGGTATGTTTTGAAATGTTGTCATGTAATGTTTGCATGATTTGTAGTTATGGGCTAAAACATCCAAAACCACAGGAGTGGTCTTGAAATAACTTTCCAGTCCTCTAAGATCAGTAGCGATTTTGCACTTTTAAACATGCAACTGAAGTGCACATACTGTATCTGTTGCTATGGTGTCACCAAGGACGCTTAGCACTGAACACCCTGTTGGCAAGTTTAAACATCATCACTTAAACTGCTCTCCACACACTCTTGGCTTTTTTATGGAGCAGTATTCAAGCTTAACAACATTTTTCTATTGACCGTTCATGTCTGTGCTCACTCTAGTTGTTTGATTGCAAACTGCCACACTCATACTCTCACTAACAACTTAACGATGTAACGAGCAACCTTTCTTTAAAGATTGTCCTTCACCTAACACACACAGTGTACAGTTTTCTCCAAGACGATGGCTAAACATCTGAAAGCATATTGATATTCTGTGCTGACATAAAGTACAAGAAGCATGTTACTGATGCAAACTGTCATTTGCATGTCAAATCAAATCTATATGTGTGCTGCACCAACAGTCTCATAAACGACTGATGAACAGTATTTGTTTGGACCCATCAATTCAGTAGTGTTTTTTATTTGTAGGTGTGACAACAGAAGGTAGAATTACAACAGAAATGGCAACACCAACTACACCCATCTACACACAAGGTATAGAAATATTTTACAAAGAGTTCAAATCAATGTGTTTATACTGTAGAATAAGATAACTGATACATATTCAGTCATTTTTACTTTACCTCTGTCAGTACAAGGAATCCAGTATATTAAGAAGACTTACTTTTTATATTATGACAACACTTATTATTTTCCATGTCACAGAAGCGTCCACTTCTACAGGTCCATCTACCACACGCACAGCTCACAGAGATAAAACTATCACAACCAGTCCAACAACAGCTGTCCCACCTTCAACAAAAGGTACAGAAAAATCCATCAAAACAAGCAGATCTGCATGTATTTAAGTGGTGAAACCCTGTTTGGTACAGCATTTGGCATTATGAATGGATTATGTGGATCAGGAGTGGCTTCTCAGCTTGACGAGTCACTTTTATCCCATCCAACCTTTAGAAGAATTAAGAATCGTTATGGTCATTCTGTTTAAAGGTGGCAGAGGCCTTTTGGCAGCTGAGGATAAAGCAACTACAGCCAGTGTAACAGCACCAACATCATTTCAAGGTATTGAACAATTTAATGAAAAAGCAGTCAAGTCTGAATCTTCTTTCCATTTGGAAGTTGCATGATTACAAGCTTTACAAATTTAATAACGGACTTCTGTTCCATGGATTTTTACTGTAGCTCCCATGAGTCCAGTTTGAATAAAATGTATTTTAAAACTTAGACTTCCAGACTTTGTGTGTTTTATGTCTATTTGGTCTATGAATTTGTTATTTCAGTCAAATTACCTGGTTGTTTCAGTAAAGGGAAGAAGGTTTTTTGTTTCTTTTTTTTATTTTCTCATCACTACTGCATAAAAACAATATCGTAATACCTGGCCTAGATTTTCTTTTAAGCCAACTGAAATGTGTCTGTGAGTCAAACACTAGATTTAGTGCTTTAAAACTGGTCACAATAGGAAAATAATGGGTAGCCATGGAATTTATAGATCCCACAGAAGGAAAAATATAATAACTCCTGTCCTTTGCTACACTTGGACATATAAAACCATTTACGAGAATGAAAGTTGTCATCAGTGTGGACAGCTCAACCCTAAACCATCAGACTGGCCAGAGCTTAAACGAGCTCGTAGCTCACTGAATAGAATTATTCGTTCTTTTGTCGCCTTTTTAGATTTCCTGGAATAACTGAACTAACAAAGTTAACTTAAAAATAGTTGAGCATATTGGGAAATGGCAGAGAGTTGGGGATGAACCGAAACTTGACGATTTATGGGGGGGTAATCCGCCAGGCTATTTCTTGGCTCTGAGCAGTTGCCAGGCAACCAGCTGAGACTCTTGGAGGCTACTGCTCACAGCCAAGATATAAAATGGTAAATTGTGTTTTTACACTTTGTTTTTTTTCTGCTTTATATTTAACAGACACATATGAGAGTGGTATCTAGCTTCTCTCCACCACACAGCGAATATGCATATTTCCCAAAATGTCAGACTATTCCATTAACGCTGTAATTTATGGCTTTAAGTTTGCCATGTTATTGTTTTCAAACAGGATAATAATGTTAATATTCTCAGACGTGTCTCCCTCCCACAGTCCATGTCCCAGTTCATATATTAATGTTTTTGATCTTCTCCCCCCCCACTGATCCAACATGGACACTTAGATGAATAGGCTCAATGCAATGCATACAACTTTTCTGACATACAAAAACATATAGCAGACAAATAATTTCGACAGATGCCGTAATCGCCTAACAACTGTACACACAGTGTTAAATTTGTAAATGAGATGCTCTGTCTGTGTCTTATTGTATTGGCATTAGTTGGCACCACTATTTAAACTGTGTCTTCAGTTTAAATAGTTTGCATACTAATAAAACTGTTCTGTGCTTACAGGAAAGAATGATGGGGCTGTAGATACTAACCAGGATAATGGTGAGTTATTGAGCCCAATAAAGATGTTAACATGGGTGAATATTTATGCTCTGCATTTATAAACTTTGCATTTTTCTTTCAGGATATATACCTGTTATCATCAGTGTGGTATCCATTTCAATAGGTAAAACCTTTTTCTCTTTGGACTTTTTTGCAGTTGAAATACAAAATACAACACATACTACATTAATTAACTATTTTCTTTACAGCTGTTCCGATAGTTGTTCTATTTTTACACAAGTATCTTCTGAAGAGGAAAGGGTAAGATCCAATATTTCAATCTTTAATGCATGGCTAATACTGGATCATGCTTTTTTACCCCCTTCTGATGCAATTTCTCTTGGCACTTTCTGCTCTTAAATGCATAGTAACAAGTACAGGTCACTTTTTGCACATATTTCTGTAAATAATACAGCATGCAGTAAAAAGATATGCAGTAACTAACTAGTAGCTAACTTTGCAGCAGATAAAGATTCTTCACTGCACTTCATTTTTGAAGCTGTCTGAGGAAATCTAGATTCCGGACTTGCGTGCTGAGGAATGAGGGAAGTTAACAGGAAATCCTTTAATAATATAAAAAAGCTGTGACATAGAAATCAGCATTAGGGGGGGAAAAAATTCCCCTCTGGCCAGAATGAATCAGTTCAATAAATGTACAGGAATGTGTCAAAACAATGCAGAAACAGGGACATGTCAACCTTTTTGTTGACATTTATTTGACCTGAATTTCACATAAAATGTCCAGAGACTAAGACATTTAAAGCTTTTAACTGCAAAACAACAACTTCATATTTATCCAGATAAATCAAATAGCTCGGATTCACACAGGGAAACTTTACTTAAACATTAATCTCTAAGCCAGTGTTAAAGCTTACTTTACAAAAACTCATTATTCTCTCAAAGTTGCAATGACTAACACTAACATGCTAATTAAGTATGCAATAAAAACATACAAATAACATAACTGAACAATTCTGACCTAAATTCCTTATTTGATGACACTGTAGCTCATATGACACCAGAGAAGACCTGAAGCCGGAGTTATTACAGTTCCAAAATCTTTAGATTGCCTGCCTCACCAAGGTATCTGTCAATTCATGTGTATCTACTTTTATCAAGAGCTTTTGTCAAAACAACCAAAATACTTCTAAAAATCGTATTGAAGAATTGTTAACTTGTTCGATTTACTTCTCAGAAAAACGCTAACATACAGTTTTGAAGTGGGGAAAATGAAAAAGATATTATCAATGAAGACAAAAAAGCATGAATGGTGTGTTATTTTTCTGTTTCGTACCACTGTGTGAATGAAGATCAACCTAAACAGTGTTCTCTTTTTTCTCGTCAACTCTAGCTCTGCAAATGGATCCTTTCCTATCTAACCCTAAAGAGCATCTGTGACTCCAGAAGGGATGTGCCTCAACTAAATGTAGCAGTGCCTTTCTGAGTCAATTGGGGGAAAAGGAGAGCTCACTTTAATGTTATTGCACTTCAAATGGCAGATAATTGAATCTAAAAGTATAATTTAATTCAACATTCAATGATGAAAAGCACTTTTTGTAAATGTATTTTGTATTTTTCTCTATTTTAACGATTGTAAATAGTTGTCATTATACTATTACTATTTTATACATTATTTATATTATAAACAGGAATAAACACTTTAACATTGCCTTCATGTCTTATTATAGTTTTACAGAATTGCAGTATTTAGCTTAGAGGTTTTGAAGCAATTTCCTTGTTACTAATGTCCTGTTCTGGTAGGACAGACTTGAAAACGGTGATTCAAGAGGCATACAATGTGGTTGAGTTTGCCGAATGAAAGATACAATCAGCTGCATTCTTCGCCTCCTGACTTTTTTCGTCATTGTCTATTGTTCTGGGGAAACCTTCTTTTCATGAGACAAGAAACCAGTATAGTACCTGCCATCAGTGAACTATACAAATTCTTAGGGAAGTGATCAAAATATTTTTGTCCTTGAATGTGTAACTGAGTCAGCTCACTGAACCAAAAGCCTGTACAAGTTTGTTAACCATTCATTTGTTTTGAGAAAGCTGAATTTGTTAATGCAGCCATTGCTCAAAAACTTTTTTATATTAAACTGTAACTACCAGATCTGAAAGAAGATTTTACAAAGAAAATAATTACCTTGAAGCACATGTCCACATTGTACAAAGTAGTAGTTTTTGTTCCTTAAAGGACAGACTCAATGGTTGCATTCACAGTCATGGCAGCAGTGAAGTGAAGGGCCGAGCCTTTATCCCGGCAGGGGTGTGGAACAGTACAGAGAAAAAGCCCATAATGAAATGTGGTTCCACTGTTTCATTGTACCCTGGTCTGTTGTTGTGCCAGAGGCTTGAACTGTGCCTTTTGGGGATTAGAAAAGGGGGTTTCTTGTGCCTACTTCAAAAGAAATAACAAGTTACAGTAATCTGATTTTACAGTTCACTTCAATGTATATGCTTTTGAAAATAACATGAGCTGTTGCTGCATTGAAAAGATACTTTAATGAACTCATGAATTCCTCTGGAAGACAAAAACATAGACATAAACTGGATATGCACTTATAATCATGATAATTCATCTCAGTTATGTGGACAGACAGTGTATTAACAGAGAGAAGGGGTTTGCTGTTTTTCTCAGAGAAAGCTCGACAACAGTGGTGATTGTATTCATCAACCATAACCCAGCCCCTTATGGTGTTGTTCAGTGTTATGTCTTTTTACATTGGAGCCACATCCATTTGTCAATGGACTGAACACCTTTGATTTAAAAGATAATTATGTTGATATTCTACATTTTTATTATTGTCAAAAAATCCAGAAAAAAGACCAAAACCACCAATGAATGGATCCTACTAAGTATTTTCTATGAAGTCATTTTTGCCAGCAAACTACAAAAACACATCTCTGAGCCACACTGTTGCACTAGATGACCATTGGTGCAGTAATCAATACTGTGATAAATCCACAGCCACACAAACACAGTTTAGTCCAGTTTGACTAATATTTACTAAACACTACAGTGCACCTTCTTTGAACCTGAAAGTCCATATTTGTGATGGTTTTTGAGGATTTATGTCTTGGAATGAATGAGCTTAAGACAGAGAACCACAGATAAGCTGCAAATGCTGAAAGGTATTGGCCAAGGCTATACCCATTAGACATTGTGTACAAAGGCATCTCTGATGTAATATAAACCAGAGACAGCTAACATGTTCAGACAAGACACTCAAAACCACAGAAGTCAATCTGGCATTAGAGGAAAAATTCTGAGAATTACAAAAGTCAGTAGGATCCAGATTATATTTCTTTGGGCTTATTTAATCTTTTTCAGAGAAAATCTGATAGTTGAAAATGCCCGATTGGTCAAACTGGTGTCAGAGCAAGTTCAAACAAGAAAGCATGATGTCTGTGAGATACACAATATGGTAGTGATGATACAGTATGAGTCTTAATGGGTGTGGTACTGTACTTGTGCAGTGGAAAAACAGGGTTTAAAAGAGGAGGAGGAATCAACACTTCTGATTGAGTAAAGATATTCCAGTATAGACCAAAGTGGTGGTCTGCCTAACCAGCACTGCCATCCCCAGAGCCACGCTGCTATCATGACTAAAAATGTAGACTATCACCAGCATTATCCTTTAAACAAAACATCAACACAACACAGTCAACAAAGTGACTTCCCCTTTGATTCGCACCAGTCTTTGGCCCGATGATCCAGTTGCCATGCTGTACAAGTAAATACTGTACTGTTACTGAACAGTCTTCTGTCAGATGTGGACTCACCACAGGAACTCAAGAGACAAAAAAGCCTAAGGGACAGCAGGAAACATGCTGGGTATCCTCCCTGTCTCAGCAAGTTTTCCACCCACCAAAATCAGAAACATTGATTCCTGCTCCTCTTTCAAATCCTGTTTTTCCACTGTACGAATACAGTACCACACCCATTCTGGCTTCATAGAAAACCCTGAAAACATGCATCTCCCACACATCAGGGTTTAAATCACTTGTTCTGACGCTGAAGGCCATTGAGGCATTTTCAAAAGTACGCAGTTGTCCCAAGCCTCAAGAATTTGTACGTTTTTCTTTAATGTAATCCTTCACTTTAAAATGAAGATATGAAAATCCCCAAAACTGGAGTTACGAGGCTTTCTCACGACAACAGCAATATATTACTCAGCACCTGCTGGTTTTCCATTGAACTCTCTGTCCTGTTTGTGAGGGACAGGAACATCGTAATGACATGTCTTCCCATCCTCTTTGTGGAGATTCTATTACAGTCACTTAGTACTTTATATAACATAACACACAATGCTTTTATGATTTAAGTGGTGGAAAAGAAGAACACCATAATGTGGTTGTAAACACATATCAGGATCAAAGCTATTTCCGTACATACATTCATAAACAATTGTGGCCCTTCATATAAAGCATTTACATTACTTTTTAGTGTGTTTATTCATTTCATGTATACACAGTGGTTGTTATTCACACATTAATAAAGATTTAACCCCTCCCATTAAGCATTTGTACCAGATTTGTACACATAAATTAAATGTACTAGATGTTAATATTGAGCAAATGTTTCATGGGCTGTAAAAATAATTAACTCTGATTTAAGGTGGCGAATTACTTGGTAAGGATATTGTCGCCATGGCTGCCTGTCATTGTGTCATTCCTCCTATCTGTCCCTCTTCAGCCAGATTTCCACTTTCCCAGACACCTTTGCCCTCTGACCTTTTCTACTGTATACAACGGGCCAGATCCATTGTTCCTCTTGTAAAAGTTTCCGTGCGCCTCATACCTTTGAGTCCCAGCCATTTGTATTTGTATCTGATCTGTTCCTTTTCTTCGGTTACCTGTTATGCATTTATCTGAATTTGGAACTGCTGCCTGCTTATCACCTGCATGCCTTCCTGCCCTTGTTCCTCTGGAGTTGTTTGCCTGTTTTTTTCTACCTTCCTGGTGTTGACCCTCGCCTGCCTCACAATTCTATAGGCTTGTACCGTCTCTGCAGCAATAAATCATTGTGCGCTGCCAGTCAGCCTGCATTATCTGCATTTGTGTCCTATCCTTGTTAGACCTCACATACCAGCAGTGACAGATATGGATGCAAGAGGACCGGATGAGGCTGAAGTATCATGACAAAGATGAACAGATACGCAGCTCTCAGGCCTAACTAATGAGAACATTTAAAGCTGCAACACAACAAAATAAAACCACCAAAACAAGTTTTAACCAGCATATTGCAACATCTTATGCTCGATGCTTAGCCTATTAGATATATCTCCACCCAGTTGGTTGATGATTGTTAGTGTGTTACAATACACACTGGAGTATGTATACATATACAACTCTCTGTAAACTGTCACTGAATTAAGATAAATAATACAGTTGTACAGTTTTACTAGCTGCTAATAAAGCTGTTTGTAAATGTATTAATAATAATATAAAGTACATACTTAAATGTTCTTTCAACTATGTAAGTGTGTTTTAAGTAATTTATTTCCATATATACAAATGTATAGATACTTATGGAGGGTTTACTTGAAGTGTCACTGAGTTGGAGTCCTTGCAATGTCAAAAATCAATCATTCTCTTTCAGGAAGTTTTAACTCAAATACAATGCACTGCAGCTGGACTTTTATCTGGCTCCCATGATATTAACTTTTCAAGATCATGATCCGGTAATCAGTCTTTATATTGTGTGAGAAGAGCAAAAGGAAATTCGTCCATAAGCTCTGCATGAGACCCTGTAGTTTATCCTGTTCCAGCCACGTGGTTAAGCATTGACTAGAGGGGGGAAATCTCAGAGGAAGTGATGCAATTTTACACAAGGTAAACAAGAAAATTAATTTCACCAGAAGCATAAAAATAACCGTTGTTCATCTGGCATTGCAGAATAAACCTGCCAACCTGGCTGGGGCACATACTGACATACTGTCACATATTTAGCTTTGTTTATGATTCATGTAACTTCACTGACATGGACAGACATAATGTGGTGAGTGTGGTTCACAGACTTGGCTGTAGTAAAAAAAAAAGAACAACATAAGAATGAAAAACTATAAAAACGCTTGTTGGTAAATGGCTTGGAGCTCCTCTTTAAAGTTGTTCTCATGAGTAGGGCGGATGGAGATCTTTAAGCTTAAGACAAACAAGACCCAAACGGTTCCCACTGAGGCCTCTGCACTAGACCAGAAACAAGCGTGAATACCTTACCATTGAAGTGGCAGTGATCAAACTAAATGTTTACATGCTTTTAAAAGAGGGGCTCTTAATGTAAGCTATTGCACCAGTATGGATAATTATTTTTACTTGAGGAGCCCACTTTCAGTAAGAAGAAATGTGAGCATAAGGTCATTAACATCAGCTGTAGAATTACACTCTAAATTATGTGGGCCTTAAAGTCACACAATTTATACTGACACATACGATGTAGATATATCGCTTACACTGACAGCGGTAATAAAATTTCAGTGTTGAGCTGTGGTATGCTGGTTAAACTTTTCGAGGACCAAAGCAGTGTCAGTTTAAAGCTAAAATAGAAAATATGGCAGCATAAAGGCACTAGTTTACTTCAGCAGTAGTGTGAAACCCCTTCCCTAAACGACACTGTAGTTGTAGGTGATGTGTCTGTAAATTTCTTTAACTTTCAAAAACAGGCAATCTGAAATTTTACACGTGTGGAGGTGAGAAAGAAGGGAGGAACTTCTCTCAAGCCCTCTGTTTCATTCTTTACTTAGTGTTTACTTATGTCTCTCTCTATGTGTACAAATGTATGCCAGTTGAATGCCTTCCAGGAAAGACTGCGTTGTTATGCCGATATTTAAATGGCTATATCAGCTATTCAGCTGTTCGGCTATTGGATCAACCATAAACGCGTTCCCCTTCAGACAATTTTGGATGACATGCCGCACAAACTAGTTCTTTTCAAGTATACGCCAACCTTAACAGTAGCGTGAGTAGAGAATCTTAAGGAGTCAGAAAACTGACTCAATAACATGACAACAGGTTTGCTGACAGGAGCCACCATAAACCACTGGTCATAACAGACCAATTACAGCTGTAGCAGCACAACCTCTGACAGTATTGAGTAGAGAGAGTTGTGTTTTAAATGTTATAAATTCAGCTTTCAATTTGTAAGAAGACGAACATGCTATTTCTTCCTATCAAAAGCCACATGCTCTCACTTAAAAACTGTCTTTGACTTGGAATAAAAACATTATCCTATCTCTTTTTTCTTAGTGAGACAGTTTTACTTCCTTATATTCACGTCTGCTGTGACCAATCCATAATTTGTAATTGTCAGTTTTCCACCCACATCTGCTGAGGTCAAGGGAAAATACTACGTAAATGTAACTTTACGCAACCAATGATAACAGTCACGCTGGCCACATCACATTGAGGCGGGCATGAGGGCTGAGAGGAATCAAATCCTGATGACGACGCTGCTGCTGATGTCATGTCAAACGAGACACTCCTTATGACTCATAGCTGCAAAGTGAAAAGACATTCATATAGTAACACACGCTAATAATAAATTCTTGCCTGTTCACCAGGTTGGCTTCTTGCAGACACCAGAGATAAAAATAGGGTTATGCTGGGGTTAGCCTTTCAGTATTTTAAGCCTTTTCAATTTAGCTTTGACTTAGCTCCACAACACTTATCCCTCTGTTTGAGAAGGTCAGCAGTTAGCGGGGAGTCATCAGAACAGTGGTTCCCAACCTTTATTCTTAAGGGACCCGTTATTGTCGTTGAGTAAACTGAGTATCCCTGACTAAGACATATTTTGTGGATATTTTATATTATATTCAGCGCATCACAATAGCAGCATAGAACAACTGATAAACTGTACAATTAATCCAAATAGAGAACGCAATAACTGCAAGACGTTTGTGTAAAACAAGTGACTTGGATGGATTTTGAGCAGATTATTTGCTGTGAATATTGCATCAGGGATGAGTTTGGAACTTTAAATACGATTCTCACTTTTTCTTTTTTAACAACATACTAAATAGGCTTTCCTTTTTTATTACAAATTCAGTGTTTTCTTCTCCCTGACTCTAAGCAATTGTTCCATTATCTATATTGTTTTAACTGCATATTCTTCTAATGCAGGATGAGGCTGTTTAATAGAGACTGAAGGCTCTGTGAAGTTTGTGTTCAGGTCTACAAAGTTTAGGTCTTAATCTAAACATTATAAAAAAAACAATTTCATTTAGTTCTCTTCACACAAATGAACAAAAGGCTGAGATACTATCCCCACTGTGTAATATATCATGTAAAATCAATAAGGCCTTCTGACCCTCAGTGAAGCTTTGCTGACCCCTAGTGGGGGTTCTGACCCCCAGGTTGGGAACCACTGCATTAGAAAGCAACTTGAAAGAAGGATTACTGTTACTCTCTTATATAAGAAAATGTCAGATAAGGATTTGAAAAGCTGGAAGGAGACTTTTGAACAGTGTCAAATGATGGCAGATCTTTAATTCATGGACAAACAAAGCAGCATAATGCTCAAAATATCAACAGAAACTGGACTCGACTGATAGAGTGACTATCACTGCTAATTTTGTTTGTCATTAATATATGTTTATATTCAAATACATATTGGGACAGTGGGAAATATGTTTTTATTGTTAAGCCTTCCCTCATTGATATAAATGATAAATTAGAATAGATAGATATAGAAATGCCTGTCAGCATAACACAATGCAATTTGACAGCACCACAGCCTTTAAAATGATTGTGCAGCTGAATCACCATCTCTCTAAATGTTTCAACCAAAATTGAAGATTATAACCTTCATGAAGGTAGAACTTACTACAGGACTGTTGTATTAGACTGCAAGGTATACTTAATAAACTGGCAACAGAGCATAGCTTGATAATTGCTTTTTAACCTGCTGTTAACCTTGGCAGTGTGGGTTAATCATTCATACATTTTAATTAAGAGTTTTCACTCATTTATTCAAAAGGATAACTGCATTAATATGTATATGTCAGTGATGTGACATGTGCAGGGTAACAGAGTTGACAGTAAAGGGTTTGACTTATATTGGCCCTTTTTCCCATAGTCTCAATGTAATGGCGCATGAGATAATCAGACAGGCATGTATTAAAAGATTACATGCTATAATTAAATTGAACTTAAAGCACAAAAACTCAAAAGAACTGCCTCTGTGATCAGGGGCTGGAGAAAGTGACAGGTTGTAATTAGAAATGGTTCCATGACAACCTACAGTAGTTGAAGTCATATTTCTGTCTCTCTTCTTTAAAACAGAACAGAGGTGACACGGTGGTGATAATTCAATAACACAGAAAGATACTGAACTCGAACATTAATTATATCAAACACAAAAAACCTAGTTGTTACATTTCTATGAAAAAATCACACACAAGCAAAAATCTCTTCATTTGAACAAGAAGACTTTAATAAATAGAATACTGTACAACTTGTGAAAACAAGTGAAACCATTTTTTTTTATGGATGTAAATACAGTGTGGAGCTATGGACAACAACGTGCTGATTTAACTATAGTTTTGCTGTATTTTAATATTTAAATATAAGGAACATTATACATTTGAGAGCTCTGCAATGGGTGGATACACAACCTCTGAACTACTGAAGCATTTAACTAGATAATCTCTTTCTTTATCATCTGTTCCTGGTAGAAAAGTACAGGAACACAAGAGTACAGGCCCACAGCAAGGCTGAGGTTCATGGTTAAATAAAAACTGAATTATTAAAAAACTAAACACAACAGCTGAAGAGGCCTCAACATGATAAAGTTGTGCTTTGTTCCAGCTGGTCTTGCACCTGATCAAGATCATTCAGTAAAACCTTCACTACTGCAACGATAGCATGGATTGCAGCTCAATGCTGCCATCTTTTGGTCCTTTAAGGAAATTCATCCTGCAACCGCTGAGGCAAAAGCTTTTTGTTGATAGTCCCTCCACATTGTAACCGATTTCAAATGGTGCTAGACATGATGGAAACTCTGAACACCAGACGAAAACGGTCAGCCTTGGTGAGAGGGGGTTTCAGGTTCTCAGCTTATCCAAGACCTTCTTTTCTTCTCATCTCTAGAGTGTAAGCTGTGTAGAGAACTGATCAAGAGAACCAATAGACACGTAACTGTCGTTATTAGTGGATAATAGTTTGTCAAAATTTGGATATACACAAAGCCACCAAACTTTCTGGGAATTTAGTGAATAAAACTGTCACTGCCGTCACTCCTGAAGTCTGTTCCCGCTCAAGAACACCGATTTCAAATGGTGCTAGATGGGATTTTATACTCTAAAACACCATCTGAAACCAGTTCCCTGGGGGGGATGCTTTTAGAAAAAACACTTTCTGAAGTCATGTCCTCTTCTGCAAGAAGAAAAAAAACATTAGTCTAAAATCAACATGTTGCAAGCATTTTACTAACTAAATTATTTCTAGTACAAACAATAAAAGTAGCTCATCTTATCAGAGGGTAGATTTGATTTGTGTGAAGGAATATAATGGAATTTATACTAATTTAATTAGTCATTAAATCGATTTTCTTTTCCAGTGTCTTGCCAAAATTTCTTAATAAACTTACTGCTTTGCTTTATACTGATAGACATGTTTAAGAGGATACAGTCCTTATCAATGTATCACCTGCATAAACTTTATTCCAATTAAGATAAAGAAACATGTTCAATAAGACATGGTATGGTAATTGCATGTTGCCCCAGACTAAACGGACAAAGAAAGAAAACAATGCTATTTTTTTAAATAGCCGATTTATTTTGGTTCTGCTCGCTTTTATAGAAAAAAACAAATTCCAACCCATTGGGCACAGATCTGTTCTTCTCAGGGTTATTTGATATGGAGAACTGTGATTTCCCGACACACACACACTAAAAAAAAAACTTTTTTGCAAGTGTAAACTTCTGCAGTTTGTTTGTAACGCTGCCTCGAGGTTTAGGCGTGGTGTAGAAATTACATAAAAGAATGTTTGATAACCATCATCTCAACTTTTGGTTATTTAACGAGAAACAGTATACCTACCTGTTTTATCACACACACTGTGAAGAGAAATATTTGCACAAACAACATTTACTGACTACAAAAATATAAAACAAAAGATGCTTTAAACCTGGACTCTTTCCAAAGAGAGCGACAGGCAGAAAAGAAACAACAAAACGGAAGACGCAGACTCTTTGCTGGCACGGAGACCAATGAGTAGAACCACTGAGTCATGGCCAGTTCCTCTAAGAATGACACAGCAGCTCAGTTCCTTGCATTAGTGCATCCGATCTCAGTGTAAGAAAGGGCTTGGCAGCAGACTGGCACCAGAGATGAACCCCAACAAAAAACTGTCTATGAATCATACTCAGGGAAAAATAGATCTCCACAGCTCCCTGTGGACTTCTTTGTAATGTACAATAGGATACTGTGTCGTCTCCTGGGTCTGCCTCAAGCATCCAGTCCCTCTCCTGGTCCAAGTGGGGATGACTGTGGTGCACGATGGAAAAACCAGATCCTGAAATAGGTAAGAATTCATTAGTATGAACCCCTGTGTCCATCCCTATAAGGCATGCAGTACAGTATGTCTACAGAGAGCTCATTTGAGACTTTCTCCTTCACAGTTTCTATTTTCTTTTGAAATGACAGCACAATACCGAGACAATTAATGTGGAAAACTCACTGGATTCTATTTGTAGGTCTGGCATTAAAAGACTGGCATTATCTGCCTTGTCAGTGTCTCAGACGCTGTTGTCCTGTTGATGGGAAAAGGTGACGTAGCAACTAATCCAAAACCTTCATGTGTCTTTTGGGGACAATTTACCTGTCTGTCACTCCCTAATCCTCTTCACTGCTAGTTTAGTGTCTCAGTTGAATTGATTGGTTATATTTTCACCACGGATAATCAAATTTGGGCACATATGATGGCTATCACTGTTTTACAGACATGTACTGTACTTTCACCCGAACAGAAGATCAAAATATCCTCGATTTCGACAAGCACTGCAAGTATTTACATGAATACAGTGTGAGCTTCGAGAATAACTCAGGCAGACAGTGAAGTATGAAGGCTGCAACACTGCTTTCATCCCGTCTTCTCGTTTTTGCTATTCTGCCTCCTCCCATTTAACTCTGCTATTTATGAACTCTGTATCTACCTCTCTCTTGCTGTCTGGTTCTTTTTACTACAAGCTCTTTTTGCCGACCATTGTGTGCGCAGAGGCTGCTTTCTGCATCAAAGCATTTTTTTTCCTGCCAAGTCACCTGACCATCTACTGCTTGTTAAAGGCGCATCAGCCCATTTTAAACCCCAAAACAAAAAACTAACTGGTTTAATTTAGAGCCGTTATATTAAACTTTTTGCACTGTCCATCTTTAGCGACAAATTGCAGGAGGAGATGCTACATAGAAAAGTTAAATAAAACTGAAGTAATTCTTCAATCAGAAACAAACTGATCTAATGGTTCTGATTTAAGAGGATGTTAAAATAACACGTCAATTTGGTTTACATAAACGAGATGAACACATCCCACTGTGCATCAGGCAGAGCAGACTGTCAGAGGCCAAATTGTGTCACAGGAAGAGTGACTAGGCTGGGTCATATTAAAGTAGGTGACGTAAAATGAACACTGAATGCCTGTATGTGTGTCACAGTGTGTGTGTGCAGAGCAGTGGGGGGTTGGGGGTGGGGTTGTGTGCATGTGTGCACGTGCAAATAGGGTAGGTGGTTAATCCTCTTACAGATTAGAAGTCCTAATTTATCTGGAGTGAGAGGGGCAAACTCATCGAGGTAATGTGTTTTTAAACCACCTCTACACATTTGTGCAATCAGGAAAAACTACAGAATATCTTAGCTGAAAATAGTTTTGTTTTCTGTGAGTGTGTGTGTGTGTGTGTGTGTGTGTGTGTGTATATATATATATATATATATACACACACACACCTTTAAGTCATGAAAGTACCCTTTGTGTTTGAATCGCGTAATATTTCCTTCTACGTTGCATCAACTTCAACAAATTTGTGAGATGTTTGGAGATGAGACAGCCTTAACACGTTTAGATGAGCCCGACACTTTGTTTGTTCTATCTGCTGCGTGGTGGGTGGAAATAAATGGGAAGGCCACAGTCGGAAGAGTTGATTTACACTTTGTCACCCTCTTCTGGCTCCTTCTCTGCCTGCTGGGAAATATCAGATGTCTCACTGAAAACAGGAGTGGCTTTATGAGTTAAATAACTCGAGATAAAGGTGCCCATAAAGATTTAAAATATGGCTGTCTGTGTAAGACGGATCAGGTTTACAGAAAGACATAAAAAACCTGGCTGGTGCACCTTATTGATTAGCATAAATTTTGGACAAAACAGTGAAGCAACAATAAGCTATCTCACTATTTTCCCCTCCAATATACTGTATATCTTAATAAAATATTTACAGAAATTAATTTGTACCATTAGTAATGGCAGTAAGGAGAGGTACCTTCTGGGTTTTAGACACAGTAGCTTACAGTAAGGTTTTTTTCGCCCCTCTTACAGCACGTTAGGTGTCTAGCTGCTAATGATACCTGCGAATGAATGCTGCCTCACACTTGTCTATTAATACATCATCATCTAGCGAGGCCAGCAGTGCTCCGAGTTTAATTTTAGCACTGTCATCTCTTGGCTCTTTGCCACCTCCTGTTCCATAATCTGTGTGTAGGAGGGATTTGTTTTAAAAGGCAGTGGGTCGCTCATCATTTTCTCTGAAGTTTTATGTCGGCTACAGGTGATGCTGGCCCCTGCTGTAAACAAATCCATCAGTACATGCACACCGCCTCTCCTCAGGATTCTTGTTTGCTGTGTCTACTTTTGGCCAAACAGCATCTGCTGAATTGCATTTGTTCCAGCTGAAAAAGCAGGGGCTGTTTTTTTTTAGTACTCAATAACAATATTATTGTGAAATTTCTCCTAGAACTCTGAATAAAACTAGGTTGAGTGCGTCGCATTTAGCCCACTTGTACTGGGCTCTTCTGTTTGTTTGACTTAAGAGGCAGCGCCCCTCCCTGAAAGAATAGCAAAATAACTATTGAGGTCACGTTTTCTTGTCTGCGAAAGTGGGTCACTTACTGGTCAGCCTCAGAAGACTTGGTAAACATTATTACTGCACAGGGTATGTTACTCACAGTCAGTAAATATATTCTTTTAAGTAGAATTTGGGTTTCCATATTTTCAGATGAATGCAAATAAGCACATGGGTTCTGCTGTGAGGCCCTCCCCCGACACTCTCCTACAGATCAGCTTGTACTTCCTCCCATGACCTTTACCTGTTTGTTTCAAAACTACCATAGTGACATTCCCTCAGGAGTCAAGTTTCTATTCAGTACACATAATTAAAGTTCTAAAGCTCCCCTTCCCTAACCCTCCTCTCCCTCTCTCTCTCTCTCTCTCTCTCTCTCTCTCCATTTAGTTGCCAATTGTTTAGCAACTCATGAGGTCTACGGCTGATTCTCCCGCTGACCGAACAAATCCACTCTGCAGGAAGGAGTTAGCTCCTCCTGTGTGTGTCATTTTTACCTCGGAAGTGCTGCTATGCGAGAAAGTGCCTCCATCTCCCATCCCTCTGGCAGGTAAGCAGCAGGAGGCACCACACCCTCCTTCACTCGGGTCATTAGGAAGGTACGAGAGGCCAGCGAACGTGGTGTTAACAGCAACAGTGTCATCACATCAGGCGTGTCAGCGTCCTATTGTGCTCTGGCAGGTGTGAATTACAAGGTCTAGTAAAGGGAGACAAATCTGCCAAATGTTTTTCTCGACAGCAACAACAACTTTAAGGAACTACAAAACTATAACTCAGTAAAAGAAAGCTCAATGATGTGTATAATTTACTGTATTCACACTGTACAACATTGGATAAAATAGGTACAGGTATAAAAAGCAACAACAGTGAGTGTTCAACATCCCTTTACAGCAGATGATTCAGCCCATGGATTGTGTCACTCACTAGCACCCCCTATGTTTGAGAAGTAGAGCTTGTTTTCATCATATCAAGTGCGCACTAAAAAGCCAGATTACTATTAAGGACCTAGGTCTCTGTGACGCAGCAATTGTTGTTGGACACCTGAACGACAAAAGAAAGCTGCGTCACTGTTGTGTCGCTAACTTACCTCTAACTTGTTTTCATTTCCCTCTCAAATAAAACAAACAATAGAACAACCCTACGTGCGTCAATGTGGGACCATGTTTGGGAAGTATGTTTATCCTGTTTTATAAATTAAAAAAGTGACTTTTTCATCCCAGTAACAACACTAGACAGAAAGACCACGAGGCCATGAGGTGTTAAATGATCGTGCCAATATGAACTGCGTAATATCGTCCTCTCCCACAACAGGATTACGCACTATCCATCTCTTGCGCAGCATCCTATTCCGAGCTCTTCCTTCACACGCCATCCCGGCCGATTCCACGCTTTGTTTACATCTCCGTTTTAACATTAAATTCAGCCACAACTTCAGTTCGAGACCGAGCACAACTACGCTGTCATACCGTCGCAGCATGTTTCACCATCGCAGCGGAAATTCCCACTGGATTTCATGTGGCTTGTCGGTCCTTCCCGCTGACGCAGTTTAATTTACCTGTTGTCACGTCGATGATGAAACCACTTATGATTAAAAAAGTGCTCTTAACCTCTTTCCACCAACAAGTCCCCGCGCCCCGTTGAACTGCAAACACAGGACTTTTATTTTCTTTCTTTCATTATTCTTTCCACTTTTACAACAGCGCCTCTGGGCTTTTTTATTGTTACCTTCTCAACCCAGCACTACAGTGTTTATGAATTACATAGTGGTATTCTCTACGCCACATACGCAGCGTTATGTCGCTCTCGCCATGTAATAACATAAATAACTTACGTGTTTATCCCAAGCCTGTTTCCCTCCCGTGCCGAATGAGTCTCATCCATTTCCCGGCCGGCGTCACTCAGACCAGGTCCTCAGTGAATGGACAGTCCACCAGGTTCCTGTTTCAGCCTTATTGTCGCTATTATCAATTTCGGAGCGCACGTTTATCACAGTGTATCCCCCTAACGATTTTCCATAGCGCAACACGGGAACCCCGCCCCTGACACTCCCCCAGCCGCTGGTTGGTCGGGCGGCTGGAGAGTCTTTCCTCATCGCCAGAATCACATGTGGCTGACGCATGTTTACAAACATCGGTGAAATCACATGGTAATGGGCGCCGTTTTACCGTAAACTACCTCATTTTGACGCAGCTACCAGATGTCGTGTCAAGAGGCTATTATTGTTTTTTTGTGTTTTTGTTTTGTTTTTTTCAATGACGGTATGAAAAATGAAAAAAAAAACCAACAACTCTATTTACAAGGACGCAGACATTGCATAGGCCTACCACAGCCTGTTTACCCGTATAGGATACATAAGGGATATGAAATAGCATAGCATAAGGATTTAGATAATTAATTGATAAAGGAATGAAATGCGATATAAATACATATATATATATATATATATATATATATATATATATTTTTTTCTATGATGTTTTTTTGTGAAATACTGGAAATCCAAGAAAGACAAATCACTTTTGGTTGACCTGCGAACTCTCCATGATGGACCCCAAATTACTGTGTCATTTTAAATGCCACAGGCTACATGGTGACAGTCCAAAAAGGGGAACCACTGTCCTTTATGTTAGACATTGTTATCTTACTTCTGACCTCCTGCCTCTGCTTATTTTAGGTGTCATAATAACCACATAATATCCCAGAATATGAACTTGTATGGTCCTATTTGTCCAGTTCTTCATTAATCCTAATAGTTTGTATAAGGGTCCCTGTCAAATGTTTTGTAATCATGGATCCGCCTGCAATTTGTGAGGTGACGAGACAAAAAAAAAAAAAAAATATGACCTGAATTGTAATGCCGTTGTTGTTACAGCAGATGGCAGTGTAACACTCAAATATGGTTTGGTGGAGCGTAGTGGCTCTGTGCTTTTCAAATATCCTTTGGCATCACTATATTACCACCTAGGTAGTGTCTCTGAATTGACATAGACCTTCAGTGTTGTGTTTGTGTGGATTATAGCCTGCTCTGTGTTTTATTTATAATTTCATTTAATTTTTTTAATTAATTTACAGCTACTTAAATAGGCTACTGTATGTTGTTCTGACCAGGGTATGGAGAGCTGCTTTTAGGGGAGAAAGACATCATTTTCTAACTCAGAACCGCTCAAAGATGCAACTTTTGGGAAGAAACATACATCAAATACAATGTAGACAGAGTGCATTGGGGCTACATGGTGCTACTTTCTCTATTTTCTTTTCTAACATAAGCAATAACAGCATTGAAAAACACAGATCGACTAGTTTTACTTCTGTAAGTCGTTCCTTAATGCTTGACTTCAGTGGAATTTACGGTAACTGAATCATCATGCTCCACTGTACTGTCCCTTACGGTAATGGGCACGTAATGGCACGTCACTCGCTATTTGGCCGGATGTCAACCTGAGAGACCCCCTAATTAAAATCAGTCAAGTGTGCTCCTCCCTCGATAAACTCTCACATCCGTTCAAGTAAGTAAATAACATATGTTTAAACCTTAAAACTGGTGTCTGGGTTAAAACATGTCTGTGAATGTAGTTTTTGGGGGTTTTAATGCTAAAACTGCAGAAAGGAAGAAACAACAATGTTTTAGTAGTCGCCTAGCAACAGTGTTCTTGCCACTTAAACATCAAACATATGGCACACTCGACTCTCCTTGTCGAAAACAAAACACCACATGAGTCCAATTTTAAGGTGGTATTCAACATAGCCACTGTGGGACTAATCATGTTAGGCCCTGTGGTTGTTCAACAGCAACCTCACAGCTGACAATGACGGAGGACTCCCAGTAGGTGGCGGTATTGGTTTTTCTTTGCTGGAAACACAGTTGGCACCTGGGTTTGCTCTACCCAGTTCAAATTCTCCACAGGTTGTTTTCCTTCATAAGTTTGCATGGAAAATTTATGTTTGCATGGGAACTTCCTTTTCTCTGTTGCATCAGTGTGCATGTGCAGAGGTGGAAAGTAACTCAATGCTCTTGAGATACTTATTTATATTTATGGTACATTAGACTATAAAAGAAATTGTTTTTATATATAAAATATATGATCTGCTTATAAAATGTGTGTTGTTATAGGCTAAACTCTACTAGAATATGAAGGGCTCATGTTTGCTGCCAATATAGGCTACACTGACATCACTCACAAATTTCAACTGCATGTCTTTTTCTTTTTTTACATGGTTGTTTTGCTACTATTACTTAACTAAAGGATTTAAATACTTTGTCCCTCACCGCTCAGCCTGCTTGGCTTGTTTTTGAAAGTGAGAGATTGTATGAAATGCATATCTGACAATCACCATTGCTTCAGAAGGTCGTGATATCTGTTATTGTGAGTATAATCTTTAGCGATGGAGTGATATGGCCTTGTTCAGAGTGATTGCAGAGCTGCTATCAGCAAAACAACACACTGACCTTTGCACCCACTCAGCTTTACAACAGTTGTATGGACAGTGGTAGCCTCTGGCCCGCTTCACTTGGTAAGTGAACCGTTACAGCAGGCATGTATAGGCTGTCAGAGTGTAACAACAAGGGTTGAAAAAGGTCACATCTGCTAGAATGGCAGCAGTGGTTAATTTGCTGTGGCTACACTAACTGCACACACACACACACACACACACACACACACACACACTCCCTCTCCAGAGTATCCACACCCAGAATGACAAGTGACCTCGTGACCATGTGTTGTGTGACTGAATCTTCTCTGCCATCAGGAGCCCATAGGTCATTGCCTTTTGTCTCAAAACACTCGCTGACGCATTAGCGCAAGGGCCATTACTGACTGTCACAGCAGTAACAGCACTTCTTTGTTGTTTTGTTGTTAAGATACAGAGTTAACACCAATAATTTTCTGTTTTAATAAAAAAGGAGATCCAAGCGTGCTGGGAAGATAAACTGCATGAGGGAGATTATCGTTCATTTGTGATAGTACACCAGACCAAATTATGAGGAATCAGTCAACAGGTGTTTAGTATTTATAATCTTTAATCATTACATCAAAGAGTGATTTTCATAAATAGCCTATTTAATATCGATTTCCACTAAGGATTAGCAAATTGATGCAATTGAATATGTCTTTAGGAAGCTATGTACATAACAAGATTGATAAGCACATAATGACCCTCCTGCACAGATCTATTTAATTATTTGTATTAATTAATTCACCAGTAACGTGCGCAACATGGGATCATAGTTGAATCAAAATTCACACACAATTCTGAATCACAAATTCAGCTTTTAATGTGCTTGTAATGAAATGAATATATATTTAGGTTTAGATTCATTCATTTATGTATGTATACAGTTTAAAGTTAAAGGAACAGTGCACATTAATGGATACTTCTGTAAATATATTTAGTCATTATTGTCCCAGCTAGTTCAACATAGAAACACACAGATATAAACACAGCAACATATAGATAAGTTCCCATAAATACATTCATACATCCCAACACAAAACATCAGAGTCGTCAGAGAGGCAGCCGTCCAGATGGCAGTAATCTGAAGTGATGATTGAGGGAGTCATCAGAGTCAATTGCTAGGCCTGTTGAGAGTTTTGGTATAGGGAGTCTGATGATTTTAGAGGCAGCATGTGTGATGCTCGTAGGTTTTCTTTTGTTTTATTTTTTGTTGAAGATGAGGTGGAACAGTACTCCAAGATATTTCGAGTTGTTGACCTGTTCTGCTGTCTAGGGGTTTAGTCCAGTCTGGGGTGTGTTCAATGTGCTAATCAATAACAGCTCAAGCATGCATTGTATAAATGTTTTTATATAATGGCTTAGGGAAACAGTATATTATTAATATCTTGTCTGTTCCTCATATTTACATTAGACTATCTTCATTACTTTTCTAATCAAATGGTAAACACTAGCAAACCATTACAGCACAAGAACATTATCTATTGGAAAGAAAACTTACGTACTTCGCTTGATATATGATGATATATGATGAACACCTAAATTGACACGTATCTTTGCAAATCAAGACATATTATTTCAATAGCACACAAAGTTGAGTTTTTCTTCACAGTCCCGGCTGTCCCAGAGCTGTCCCTCCAGTGAGAGGGCCCCACAGTGGCGACTCTTGGCGGGGCACTGTGGCGCCTTCTCTTGGCTCCGGGCATAGTACCTCATGTCGTCCCCGTTCACCCACAGCCAGTTGCCAGCCAGGTAACGCAGGCCGATCCACACGTGGTCTGTCTGGGCTTCCCTGCAAGTCTGCAGGGTTTTAATCAGAGCAGATTCACCACGCAGGCTGACCAGATCAGTGTGCTGCTGGCGACACTGCTCCATCGCCTCCTCCCACGTTTTGTTTTCCTTCACCAAAACCAGTTTGCTTTGAAAACAGTAGAAGTTGAATTCGTCCTCACAGTCCTTTTTCCACCAGCCTTCTTCATTTTGTGCCACACATCTGTTTCTATCATTTGGGTTCATCAGTCTTGACCTGTCGAACAACGCTTTTTTCCCTCCTGACCACTTCCATGTATCATTGGCATCGCTGTACAGGCCGATCCAGGCCAGAAATGGCTTGCTGTAGGTATTCCGATTATCGAGGAGGTTTTGATTTTCATTGTTCCTGGTGATTGAAGACAGATCAGTGTGATTCTCTCTACAGTATTCTCTGGCCTCTGACCATGTTTTGAGATTTCTGAGATAAATGTCATTCCCATAGAGGCCACAGAGAGCCACCTCAAAGAGAGCTGTGAGAATGAGAAAGACGAGAGCACTTTTCTTCATATTGAGTTGATGTTGAGGTTCACTTCTGTGGAGTCATCTCATCCTGTCAAGGGGTCTGTATTATATTTGAAGGAACACCAAGCACCCAATCACAGTGCATCCTAGGCTATGATGGAAATACACAGGAAATCATACACAGGTCTACTTTTGCAAATTGAGGGGCATTCAAATGTTTGCAAATAAGACCATGGGAAGTAGTGTGTGAAGACCAAATTGAATTTGTTGGCAAATTTTCATGCCATTCCCATTTACACTGGTCTCAATACTGGCCTTACACACACACACACACACACACACACACACACACACACACACACACACACACACACACACACACACACACACACACACACACACACACACACACACACTCCCTCTCCAGAGTATCTACACCCAGAATGACAAGTGACCTCGTGACCATGTGTTGTGTGAATGAATCTTCTCTGCCATCAGGAGCCCATAGGTCATTGCCTTTTGTCTCAAAACACTCGCTGACATTAGCGCAAGGGCCATTACTGACAGTGTGACGGTCCCTGTCTAGCGTTGATGTGCTGATGTGGTTGACCAGTTACTGTTTTTCCTATGTGTCCTTGAAGGTACCGTCATGCAGAGTACAGATTTGGAGCACCTGGTTCAGGCGCTCCTAAAAGGATAAAAACCCAGTCTCAACTCTGCTCTGGTCTCTTTGTCTCATTCGGCTGCATCCCCGCCAGCAGCAGCACCACATTCTCTTTGTTTGGTTTCTGCTTTGTTTTCACTTTACAACATTTACATTTCATATTGCTCACACATCCACATTTACATTACTGATATTACTGACTGACACACTTCACATTTGTACTTATAATAATAATAACCTCAGTTGTTTAAGTTAATATAATAAATTCACTCATTTCTAGCCATCTATTGTGTCCTATGCCGTATTTGTCATAGCCTATGAGCCGGGTTATGAGCAGCAATAACAGCACTTCTTTGTTGTTTTGTTGTTAAGATACAGAGTTAACACCAATAATTTTCTGTTTTAATAAAAAAGGAGATCCAAGCGTGCTGGGAAGATATACTGCATGAGGGAGATTATCGTTCATTTGTGATAGTACACCAGACCAAATTATGAGGAATCAGTCAACAGGTGTTTAGTATTTATAATCTTTAATCATTACATCAAAGAGTGATTTTCATAAATAGTCTATTTAATATCGATTTCCACTAAGGATTAGCAAATTGATGCAATTGAATATGTCTTTAGGAAGCTATGTACATAACAAGATTGATAAGCACATAATGACCCTCCTGCACAGATCTATTTAATTATTTGTATTAATTCACCAGTAACGTGCGCAACATGGGATCATAGTTGAATCAAAATTCACACACAATTATGAATCACAAATTCAGCTTTTAATGTGCTTGTAATGACATGAATATATATTTAGGTTTAGATTTATTCATTTATGTATGTATACAGTTTAAAGTTAAAGGGACAGTGCACATTAATGGATACTTCTGTAAATATATTTAGTCATTATTGTCCCAGCTAGTTCAACATAGAAACACACAGATATAAACACAGCAACATATAGATAAGTTCCCATAAATACATTCATACATCCCAAAACAAAACATCAGAGTCGTCAGAGAGGCAGCCGTCCAGATGGCAGTAATCTGAAGTGATGATTGAGGGAGTCATCAGAGTCAATTGCTAGGCCTGTTGAGAGTTTTGGTATAGGGAGTCTGATGATTTTAGAGGCAGCATGTGTGATGCTCGTAGGTTTTCTTTTGTTTTATTTTTTGTTGAAGATGAGGTGGAACAGTACTCCAAGATATTTCGAGTTGTTGACCTGTTCTGCTGTCTAGGGGTTTAGTCCAGTCTGGGGTGTGTTCAATGTGCTAATCAATAACAGCTCAAGCATGCATTGTATAAATGTTTTTTATAATGGCTTAGGGAAACAGTATATTATTAATATCTTGTCTGTTCCTCATATTTACATTAGACTATCTTCATTACTTTTCTAATCAAATGGTAAATACTAGCAAACCATTACAGCACAAGAACATTATTTATTGGAAAGAAAACTTACGTACTTCGCTTGATATATGATGATATATGATGAACACCTAAATTGACACGTATCTTTGCAAATCAAGACATTATTACATATTTCAATAGCACACAAAGTTGAGTTTTTCTTCACAGTCCCGGCTGTCCCAGAGCTGTCCCTCCAGTGAGAGGGCCCCACAGTGGCGACTCTTGGCGGGGCACTGTGGCGCCTTCTCTTGGCTCCGGGCATAGTACCTCATGTTGTCCCCGTTCACCCACAGCCAGTTGCCAGCCAGGTAACGCAGGCCGATCCACACGTGGTCTGTCTGGGCTTCCCTGCAAGTCTGCAGGGTTTTAATCAGAGCAGATTCACTACGCAGGCTGACCAGATCAGTGTGCTGCTGGCGACACTGCTCCATCGCCTCCTCCCACGTTTTGTTTTCCTTCACCAAAACCAGTTTGCTTTGAAAACAGTAGAAGTTGAATTCGTCCTCACAGTCCTTTTTCCACCAGCCTTCTTCATTTTGTACCACACATGTGTCTTCTTCATTTGGGTTCATCAGTCTTGACCTGTTGAACAACGCTTTTTTCCCTCCTGACCACTTCCATGTATCATTGGCATCGCTGTACAGGCCGATCCAGGCCGGAAGCGCCTTGCTGTTGGTATTCCGCTTATCGAGGAGCTTTTGATTTTCATCCTTAGTGGTGATTGAAGACAGGTCAGTGTGATGCTCTCTACAGTATTTTCTGGCCTCTGACCATGTTTTGGGCTTTGTGAAATAAATGTCATTTCCATAGAGGCCACAGAGAGCCACCTCAAAGAGAGCTGTGAGAATGAGAAAGATGAGAGCACTTTTCTTCATATTGAGTTGATGTTGAGGTTCAACTTCTGTGGAGTCATCTCATCCTGTCAAGGGTCTTTATTATATTTGAAGGAGCACCAAGCACCCAATCACAGTGCATCCTAGGCTATGATGGAAATACACAGGAAATCATCATATGCTTTTGCAAATTGAGGGGCATTCAAATAATTGCAAATAGGACAATGGGAAGTAGTGTGTGTAGATCATCTTGAATTCGTTGGCAAATTTTCATGCCATTCCCATTTACACTGGTCTTAATACTGGCCTCATTAACTGCATCCTGTATTGATCAGCAGTAAAACACTTTAATTGTCTCTTATAAAATCATATCAGTGCAGGTCCTAAAACGTCTCAGAGAGTTTAAAAAGACAGAGTTTGAGAAGTAAAATTACCCTGAGCTTTAAAAGAACATTGTATGAACGCTGAGCTCTTTATATTGACAAATGCATAGTTCTCTCTCATTTACGTCACATGCTGATCATGAATCACCATGAGTCCACTGACTTCACTGTAGGACATCGTTAATGGTGTGTTTCTGATCCCAGTTTTGCACATTCAAACTACAGGCTTTTGTTCTGCAGGCTATTTTTGCATCTCAATAGCAAGAGAAACCTTGCTCTAACCTTGTAATCACAGAAGAAATATTTTATCACGAGTGTTAAATTTTATTATTTCTTCAAATCTTCTTAATCTGTATGTTTGCTCTCTTTAATGAGTAATGTATGTAAAGTTTTGAGAGTGACAAAATTCAAGTTCTTATTTTAAAACAAGCTCATTTAATTTGACTTTCCCTTTGGTAAAGATTAAATCAAAAATAGTGTGCAATAAATCATATTTTAGTTAGAGTTAAATGGCTATTGCTTGCCACCAGACTCTATAGACAAAAAATGTAAGACCATTGTACGTTCATTTAGTGTGGACAGAAAGTAAAACTAACCAAAACTGTCTTTGTTAGTGTTCATAAGTAATGTAAGCACAACACAAGTAGCTGAAGACAACCCACAAAGATATTGTCAACAATCACAGTTTATGAGTTAGGCACAGTTACTACTAACAGAGAAAGCAGGCTTACTTACACATGCAGCATGTTATGAAAGCAACCATTTTTTTCAAAAGAGAAGCTAAGAAATGTATACCACTGATGTAAAAAATGTTTTATATCAACAAGGAGTTAAAGGCCATCTTGGGAATGCTGAACCTGCTGAATGTTGTGTTGGAATTTCATGGCAGTGTTTTCTGTACCAGCCCAACATGAAAACTCCCAATCAGTTTTGTGTTTGTGTCAGTTTTCTGCATTTTTCCTTTTTGTCTGAATTTAAAATACTGCTACACTTTACCATTCCCAAAGACAGTAGTGAGAGTAGGGAAAATTTGCATTTGTCAAAAAAAAGTGTACACTTATGTCACAAAACTCACCACACAACCACAAAAATAGAAATGCACTTTGCAACTGAACCCAGTTAAACTTTGACCAAAGGTCAGTATTTATCAAGGTTTAGTGAGATAATATAGCCAACTTTCATTAAATTCAAACTTGATGATTTCATTCCCTTTTTCTTTGCCTGTCTCACACTTAACACTTAACGGGTCTCAAGGTTAAGGCAAATAGAGAAGCTACAAAAACAAACATTTCCTGAATCACATAGAAAAAACAAAACAGTCAAGCAGTGAGCATCAGTGCCTGGCTTCATTGGTTTCATTACACCACAATTTGTGGTTTGAAATAATAGAGCATTCTCTGCTTCTTCATCTGACATCAACAGCAAATATTTGGCATTATTTGGTGATTCTACAACTATTGTTACAACTGGACTGAACAGGGCAGCTAACAAATCCCAGTTAGTGCCCTGCTGAGCAGCCTCAGTTCCAATTACAGCTTATGTACTGTAGGCTCCTCTTGACACCAGCAAAGGCCAGAGATCCCAAACTTTTCACATTACAGGCATTGTCATTATCTTCATCATATTTGTGAGCAATATTGTTATTGTCATCATTTTCCTTAGAGGTGCAGGTTGAGGAGAAGAAGAGCGGGAGGTGAATGTATTTGGTGGATTCATGTTGAATTTGTCTCAGTGTATGGACAGTCTTTGAGGCAGCAGAGGGGCTTGTGGGTAGTGTGTCCCAGTAGGTGATGGCTAGAACAGGAGGTCAGGGGTGTCACACTTCACATCTCCGTGTCAGCCACAGGGGTTTGGGTGGCAGAGTGTCCGTTAGTGGTGGGGGCAGGGTTGGTCCCATTTTCTGGTGGAGACTCGCCATTGACGGTCGGTTTATCGAGCGGCTCCTGGGGCAGGGGAGCCACAGACACCAGGGTATTAGCCTGGTTCTCCTCATCCACCTGGAAAGATTCGGCCTAAGAAAAGCCCAGAGACAAAACTGATATCAGAACTCATACAGGTTTAAGATACACATTTAACACTTTACTGTTCAAATACGTCGGGCAAACAAATGGTTGTTGTTCAAAAGTAAACAAATACATTCTTTGTAATTGAGGTTTATGGGTTTCAGCTGTGTTTGCACTCAGAAGGGTGTTGCTAATTGTTTTACTGTTGGGAGGTTTTTACTTTGCTTCTAGCTGAAAATATGAACCCTGTTGTAAGGGAGTTTAAGTTTGGTGCTTTGTCTGTTGGCAAGAACTTGGAGGATAATATTTGACGCATGCAACAGAAACGTATTCAATAAATGAGGCACCAAACAAAGGCAATTTTGCAATCTATTCCATCCATTCCATCACATGGGTGTGCCCTCATATGTAAACGCTTTTAAAACTGATGTCATGAGCTTGAGAGAAAAAAAACCCAACCAAAACCATCTGTAGCCCCCTGGCAAGGGGTAGAACAAAATCACAAATCTGTCAGTACTGCTTTGAGTTAAGGGACATGTGAGTCAAGAATGTCATCCCTTGAGTAAGGAATTTACTGGAGGATAACCATACGTTTGACCTCAAATCCATATTCTTTCAAATAAACAGTCACAGTGTACAGTTTCCTCAGTAAACTGGATCTTGTAGGACCAAATTATCTTAGGTCAGTAAAGATGGTTTCTTCATTGCCATCCCATAATGCATTTCTTTACTTGCACAGAAGGGGGCAATAGAGAGAAATGTTGATCCAGATAGGGTTACTTTTTAAGGTAACCAGGGTCTCTATAAGTGAACTTTGTCTAATACCTGACCTCATGAGTGCATTTAAAAGTAGTTTAACATGATGATAATGATATATGTGATGTGAAAACCCACATTAATGTTTCCTGAAGTATGACTAACTGGAGATTTGTGGCTCACAGTGCAACACACCTCCTCTAATCTACTCACCAGTCTGACTCCTTTGGAGTTCTTGCGGTGGGTCTTGAGGTAATAACCAGCTACCAGCAGTGCAGCCAGCAGCAGGCCCGCCAGCAGCAAGGAAACCAGCACTAACTTAGAGTTCTTCCCCCAACGAGGAACAGCCTCCTCCACATCGGTCTAACAAAAATGAGAACAAAATTACCATGAGTTAAGTGTTCACATTGTGTGTCTATAGCAAACCAAACAAATCTTCAAACACTCTGTACAGACTGAATCTGACACACATGAAAACATGAGATACAATGCAGATGTTAAGGTGTTCTTTTTGTGTAACTGTGACACTGGCAGAAAAATATATTCATTATCTGGTTACTCCTGTCTAGTGAATTGTGACTGAAAGAAAACAACCCCACCCAATGCCTTTGTTGATGGAGATGTACCTACATAATTGGCAGTATTTCCTCTGGCTTCAGGGCAGGGTCAAAATAAAAAGTTAGTAGACCATAGATGTTGTAATGAATAATGAAGATTGACTGTTTGGCTGAAACATTGGAAAATTGGTTCATTCAGTATCTTTGGAGTAAAGAGGGAAATGAAGTGTATGGCGAATGCAAATAGAAAGAGGGGTGTGACAGGCACACCCATAACCCGAGATTGTTCCCTAGGTAGTTGAAAAAATGTTTTGCAGCTGACAAGTGGGTTGTTTGTGGGCTTTTTGTTTGTCACACAAACTGTCAGCCTGGCTTCTTCAAGCCTTTAGAAAAGTCTACAGACAGTGTTTTTTTTCTCCCTAGTGTATTTCCCCTGTCTGGTTTCATTATGAGTCAACCAGCAAATTTATGGTGACTGAGTCTATTGGAACTGTTTACTTTTGGATTCATATTTTCTAGACCCTTCGCAGTGCATGGTGGGATGTTGGTAGAACATGCGACGTTGAGTATCAGCTTGGTCCATTCCTTGGACATTAGGAACCGTGATACATTTGGAAGAGAATCAAAGTCACACGTGTGTAGAGTGTTTCTACAATACAATATAAGTGGTACAGTACCTTATCTTTGATGTTGTCATTGTTGAACTTGTTAGCCATGCCGGCAATATCAGCTGCAAATAACAAAAAAATACATTTTTATTTACAGAGAAGTGGATGTAGAGATGCCAATTCACTTAAAGGTACTGTGAATAAAAAGATGAAGAAGAAGTTTTTAAAGTCTGGCTGATAATAATACAAATTTAAAGGGGACTAAGTATTGCTACTTCAAAAAATTACAAATCAGCCTCCTTGGCTGCTCGTCTGATGCTAAAAATATATATCATCTGTATCATCATATCATATAATGCATCAGCTGAATGTTTATGAGGTGTAGCAACATGCTTTGTCCATCTTTTAGTTTTGTATTACCACAAGGACATTACTGACCTTCAACATATTTCCCAGAAACAAGAATTTCGTCCGAGTTGTCCTCCTGGAAGATCTCCAGTTTACAGTCTTCACCACACAGCTCCTGCAGAACACTTTCAAGCTTCACTTTAGTTTCTTCCTGCAAGGAGACCAAAATAAAAGATAATTAATACTGATGTATTTTTCATTTAGTTTAATTTATCAAATCCATGTGACATTTAGTGCAAATTCCAAATGATTAGCTCCAGACAAAATATCGTCTTGAATCTTCAACTCCTCTAATCCTCTTATCCCTTCACCTTCTGTTTCTTTATCTTTGTCTTTAATCCATTAAGGGCTCTCGCAACTCTGTGCACACCCTCTTCCCTGATGTAATCTGATCCAAGCATCAGAAATATACTGTAGGAGCCCTTGATCCCAGTTCAGGAGTGGACAGATGGCTTTCTTACAAGACAGCGTAGCTATAGGCAGGACACAGTGACCTCTATCTGGAAATATTTGTCTTGATGTGATCTGTTTTTTAACACAGTATGACATTTGGTCTTTACATTGTCTCTGCTCTTAAGTGCATGCACTGAGACTCTAGTTGATCCTCTCCATCACTAAGCTGGATGGATGTGCTACTAAAACCTGGTTTATTTACAGCTCCATCATCCTTTCATCCAGTATCTCAGATCAGGAAGAAAAAATTCCACTACTGAAATAATCCACTCCTTAAACAACACAGAAGTTGAAGCTTTGACACCCTCCTCAGTGCTTCACTCCTCCTCATTGAGCAATATTACATTACATAAGAGTGTCTTTAAGAAATTGAAATAGTATATTGCACCATAGGATCACACCAAATGAAACCATGATTCATTTTTAAATTACAATGGAAACATGGTTTAAAACAATACATTTTAGACCAATAGACCAGATTATTCCTCATAAAAGTACTAATGATTGTAGTAGTTACATTTGTGAAAATGACAGTATTGGGTTGGATGGAGCCAAAAAAATTAAGTTGTCCAGAATAAAATGAAATGAAAAAATAAATAAAAGACAATATTTTATATTAATTCTGGGTTTGTTGACATCTTTGTGCACAAGGACCCCTCGGTTGTAATATTTTGTTGCTTTCAGCTGCTTCTATGCATTGTTTAAATGTTGAAAAAAAGCTATAACTGCTCAGACTATATGAGAGCCATAGCTGAAATCACATAGGCACTGTGATTCCTGTAGACCTAAAAGCTGTTTTTCTGTGACACTGAAGAATTTGTGTTTCTAAACAAACACACCCACACTGCTGCTTCAGGCCTCTATACATTTACACATTCTACAGCAGCGTCGAGCCCACCCATTGTGCTGCCCTGACAGCTCAGTCCGTGCCCTGGCTCATATGCAACAGCAATGTCTTTGGACTTGCCTCTCCATCCAAAGAAATAGATGTTTAAAATGATGGATGCAGTGTTTCTTCAGCTCCACTGATTTATGGGCACAGAGATAAAACAGTCGCTGCTTCCTAAATAAGGTAGAATTTCCTGCTGAGCTTATGTTTAGCAAGCTGATAGCCAACTGGGAATGGCACCAAAACCAAGCTAGACCTTTTTTTTTTTTTCTAGAGCAGTTTGTTGGTTTGTGTGTATGTGCATGAATATTTTGCACTCCTACAGTATCATTGCCCCTGAAAGATTCTTTAAGCATTCTTTTGTGTTCTGCAGCACAAATAGATTTTTCTTCTATAGAAGGAGGTTTTCTGAACTTACACAGTTGGAGGAGGCCTTGAGTTTTAGATTGACAGCGTTTTTGTCCTGGACCGCCTCTTTGCTGACACAGACAACATCATCCTGTGGCACCGGCTGCAAAGACAAACCAAAACTTCTTAGTTAACCCATAATTTACTTACGCTTCATACTGTCCTGCATGTCATCGGTCAAACTGTACAGAATAATAAGGTTAGCGGCCAATCCCTTTAACGTGTCATAGCACACAGTATGGTGCACACTTAATATACTATGTGAATGCCCCTTCTATTATGAGAATAAACCTTTATTTTCTGTTTTAATTCTATTTGAAATCATCACAAAGAAAATGCAAATGTGTACATACAGCACATACTGTAGCTTAGGAACAAAATTATTTGACCATCTCTGATTTTCTTTGGTTTTTGTAAGAGCCCCACTGGTTATGGGACTGATATCAATTATTCATACATTACAAATTTGTATCCAATTTTACAACATTTGTAAGCAAGACCAAACAAATATGGTCCACAGAGATGCACTACATCTTTCTACACTTGCTTTCTTATGTAAAAACCACCACTGCTCATCCTTCTCTGCTTTTGCACCATTTGTAAATAGTCTTAGTGTCATTTAAAACAGTAGAACATTTGATGCAAAGGATGTATCCCACCATGCCAAATTATTATTTTTATTGTTATTCTGAGCTCTATATTTTGAAAAAACTAACTTGAGTGCTAGTTGCCTTATCAGATAACATGTTGTTTCTCAATGTAACCCTACAGATACAGCCAGACTACATATTATATGCAAGTAACCTAATATCGACATGACTTTATGACAGACTGAGTGATCTAAAGGGACTTCTTTATCTTACCTTTGGTACCTTTGGTATGTTGTTTTGTGGGCCGTCGCCTCTGGCAGGGATTGGTGCTGGGGTGTCTGCTTCCACGTTTTTTGGTATGTCAGTGAGCACTTTAATTGTGAACTCAGTTGCCTCAGTTGCAGGGCCGCTATTTTCTCCTTCCTTTTCAGTAGCTGCTGCTTCTGCTGCTGTAGTAGTCTGTTCAGTCAGATTTAGAGGTCCCACAGAAGGAAAAACTAAGACTTGTGCATCGCCTGTAGCTGCAAAAGATGATATTTTTATTAATTTATTTTAAGTGTTTGTGAAAATTTGAGTTTGAGTGAAATAGAGTCTTCTTTTTTCCCACCAGGGAGTCCTTTGTTGGCATTGATAAATCAATTTATAGAGGGTTTTTTTTTATTTTTTAAATAAATGGTAGTACAAGTCGGTGTTTCTTACCAGGAACTTCAGTTGTTCGTTCAATCATGTCTCCTCGTGCACTCAAATTTGGCGCCGTTGCTGCTTCAATTTTCCCTTCCTCTGCGATGACTCCTGCTGTAAAGTCAGAAAATGGCTTCATGTCACCTTGTTTGAAAAATTGAAATTTCTATGTAAATTGCCTCATTTACATAGACGCAATGGCATATTATTAAATCAGTGAGGAAACTCAATCACACACCGACATCAATTCTACAAATAAACTTACTATGAAGCTTAGTGATGAGCTACTGTTCTCTTATCAGCTCTGTCACAATCTGAATTTGTGGATTTGCTGTGCAGTAAAACATTTCGACAGCTCTCTCAGCATGACCTTAAATTATCAAGTCTCAGCACTGAAGAACTGTCTGCCATTAATAATGCACTTGTGGACTAATTCTTCTGCTCAGCCTGAGAAAATAAACTGTCCCTCAGTAGAAGACCTGGGCTGGTCCTCCCAAGCCAAAAGCTCTGACCTCCTGTTCACTCCCACTGGGACAAATACTATGAGCTTCTCAGGGAAATCTGTCAGCTCAAAGAAAACATGTTTTTTAGCAATACAATGGACTTGTGCCAAATAATTAAACATTTTCAATATTGGAAAGATATGCTGTGTTATCAGAAGGGTGCAGTTCACAGATTAATATGAACCATCAATCACAACAAAAAGAGTTCTGTTTAGCTTTTAAATGCCCTTTTGTATTTGTCTGTTGGCATATTGTGTTATTATTTCTGTGCCAAACTCTACATGCGGTCACTTGCTGCTATTTTTAAAGGACAGTTTTCCATTTTGTATTTGTGCAGTGTGAAGGATTTAGTGACATCTATTGGTGAGATTGCATGACTTAAAATACTTCTCATATGCTTCTGTATGCGATGCTAAGGGGTGTGACAAAACCTTGTCTGTATGAGAATGGGAATTTGGGATGAGAACTTGTTGCAAAAACATAAGAATTCTTATTTTCTGGTGAGTATACACTAATGAAAACATAGTTATGCATATTCTATTCATTTTCTGTCATATTCTGCACATGGAGCCCCCTAAATCTTACACACTGGACCTTTTTATTTATCACAAGCAAAGGTACAGCTACTCTGAAGAAACATGAGGTATTATTCCACACAACTCATTATGGTTCAGCAAGCATGATTTGATAAAGTTGTAATGTGAGGTAGAAGATCATAGCTCGGATGGACTACAGTTTTCACCAGTGTGCTGTCTTAACGTCAATAATCATCCTAATGCATGAACTCAAGCAGTGTGTGAAAGCTCTTGTGTGTGCTCACACTAAGATTTCTTTGTGTCCCAAGAGGCAGTGATTGAAGATTAGGTAATAGATCTTATTGCAGTAGATAACTGATGCTCTCAGATCCATGGATCACGTCATGAAGTCATTTACTTTGAAATGCAATCTTTCTCACTCTGGGGCTTATCAAAAGATCCTGTGGTCAGTGACTCAGGCACAAGTGGGATATACAAAATACATTTCTGAAATATATTATGTGAGAGGATTTTTCCCATCAACCCTGTTTAACAGTTGAAAGGTGCCAGGTAATGATTCCATTGAAAACATCACTTTTTCCACATTTTTGAATAATGCAATAGGCCATTATACAATATTCCACTTTCAGGGAGTTGTATGACTTTGGGGTAAGGGTGCTTGATAAATTGCAACACTAAATCAAAGTCTTGATAGGATATTTCTAGTCAGGTTCTTTCAGCTGTTAATTAGTTCACCTGCAAAGTTGTAATAACCTGGATAACTTCCAGGGCACGTTTTATTCTCTGGGCTAATTTGTAAAATATGCCACCACACCCTGCATTTGCTGAGCTGCTCTGATTTGCTCAGGTCAGATTGCAAGGTTAATATCCAGAAGTCAAACCAGAATACCCAGCATGCATTCCTTGTACCCAGATTTCCCTCTCAACAACAGCATTACCTCACTCTCAAAACATTCCCATAATGCCTTACCTCTGCATATCTCATTATTCCTCACTGGCTGCCAGATTGAGTTCCTAGATTGTTTGTAAATGCAGTGTACTGCCCTCTGTTGAACCAGATTGTACTACCACTTGTTCCTTTGAACACTGAGATTGAATTTGAATGCTGGCTTTGTTTTCAGTGTGCACATGTAGAAATAACAAGTAGAATATAATTTGCATGCTGGCCTGCTTGACTAACTAAACGGCAAAACAAAACATGTGTAACCTTATTCATGTTTATTTGGGCAATAAATTGTCATAAAATTTAGTTTTATAGTAGTATTATATACTTAAGTTAAATTTAGAGGACTTAAAAGTAAAGTAGTACTTTGTTTACCAAATTAACATTGCATTCTCCATTTGCCTTCTTACATGTTGATGTTTTTTTTCTCCTCCGTTACACACTGGTGTCCTCATGGTGATCTCACTGTCTCTAGTCACTACTTGAGGTTTTCACATATATTCACACAGTGGTGGCACTGTGACACATGTCCACTCACTTCCTTTGATAAATCATTGTGACAGACAGGTGCCACAAGTACAGAGTAAACACTGTGTGCCGTGCTGGCAGGTGGGGCAGTAATCTCCAGGGAGGTCTTCAGGCAACTGTCCATTGCAGCTGTCTGTCATACAGTATCTAAACAGGGGAAATAGACCTACACTTAGTAACTGGTTCAAATAAATAAGAAAATACATCAGAGTCACTGGCCTCTAGGCTGTTTTGCACTTTCCTTACAGATGGTGGTCAAGTTTCTGTAGAGAGCCAGGCTGTTGCTGAATTTAGTGCCTCATTTTAGTATCCTCGGTGTCTCTAGTTTAACATTAGGAGCATTAGCGTGGGTGTGGACCAGCGTCAGGTCAAGGACTCCCTAACCTTAAGTGTGTCTGTTAGACCGCTGGTCTGTAGCCTATGGACTACAGCTGCCATGCCTCACCCATCTCTGGGTGGTCTGTCTGTTTATTTTACTGGAAAAGAGGAGGTTAAAAATGGGTAAGATGGTTGGAATAAATCAGGTTTTCTCATACAAATGTGACACACAGGAGTGCGAGAGTGCAGAGGCTGAAATGTGTTGTTTCAGCTCTGTGATCGCTTTACGTCGTCCGGTGATTTGTAGTGGACAGGGGGGTAAGACTCTGTCACTGGTGTTGTAAAATAAAACAGTAAAGATTGAAGCTGTGACTCATGGGTATGTTTAATTTTCAGTAACTGTTTGGGGTTTTGGGCTGTCTCCGGTGGGATATTGGTGAGATATTGGGGTGAGTGACTGGAAATGAAGTCACATTTCCTTTTAAAATGGAGAGAACCACACTGGAATCGACATTTATGTTAACACAATTTTCCTGTTTATACAGCACATGTTTGAGTCTGAAGGATTAAGGAGGATATTAAATCCATACTGTAAAAATCAACTGTTTTACTAGTCTTCTGCTAATGATGTCATGGCACCGCATACTTGTAAAACTTGGCAGATACATTTTCATAACGCAAAACATCCTTGTTTTAGCGAGCTTTTCTAGCTTTAGGACAATACGTTATGTCCTGTTTTTTGTTTTGTTTTGTTTGTTTCCAGTAAATCCTCTCCAGCTCACTGACCATTCATCACTCATTACACAAACAAACTTCCCTAACAGACCAGAGCCCGGCTGGAATGAAACCTCTGCATATAACTACCTCTTATGGCCAGCTTTTACAGAAACAGCACGATCTGAATGACTGCCTTTTATTATTTTGTTTTGAAGGTAGACCTAAAAGCTTCAAGTCTGGCTATTATTAATTTCAGGACTTGATGCTTCCTGTTACACAACCACCATGAATTATTGGCTGCTTTGCTAATATTTATTTACTGTGGATGAAGAAGAAACAGTAAGGAGAAAGAAGTCGTAGAAATTAGATTGTAAGCTTGAACTGTAGCTTTGTGCTGTAATATAATACAGTTGTGTATTAGTGAGGTCAGCACACTTCCTGACAGTGTGACCTCTGAACCCATCATCACCTCACTGCCCTCTGCCCTTCACTCCCTCATTCAGCAGGAGCCGCAGCTAACGGTTATTATTCACTGATCTGATTGAACCATTCCACTGATGCATACTGTACACAACCCCCAATACCCACACAGACTTGTCTCTCATTCCTTTGTTTTGTTTAATGTTAAAAAGCAGCCAAGATATCAGTCATCAGTCATGGGTCTTGCTATCATTGCACAACAAACCTAATCAGCTCTGACTCCATATGTTATACAGCCTAGGCTCTCAAAGATTTTCCCACCATATTGTGTGTGAGTGACATCTGTGGTCTGGAAATGCTCTACCCCACACCCCCTGTCTCTTGGGACTCCGGATGGAGGAATGTGGCGGGCTTTGGAAGAGGACAAGCCTGCAGCTCCACGCCCTTTCCCTCCCAACCCTCCCTGTCTGCTCGCCCTCTCCAAGTCACGCACAGCTAATCCCAGGCATCTATCGAGGTGAGATGTAGGCTTCAGCCCTCACACCTCCCACACCACATAGTGTAATGTAAAGCAACATGCCAAGAGCCATATAGTAACAGCTACTTTCTCTTCCGTGGCCCTGGAAGGCTTTGCTTGATTTCAGTCTCCTAAGCTTGCTTTGTATCGTATCTAATATGCTAAACATGCACAGGTTGCAAATTAAGCCGCAATGTTCTTGTTCCATTTGAGGAACTAGAACACATCTTTGTACACAGCCAATGGCTCCCATTCATCTGCAACTTGCATTGTACAACTTCTATTATTGTGACTCTGTATGTGAAACATGAACCAGCCTGGCTTCCAGAGAAGTTCTGAGCTACGTTTAGGAGGGACAACCCCCAAAAATATGGCCTTGCCGCCCACCTCTCCCAGCTTCCTTTGCTGTGTAATGGGGCACGGTGAGGTGATAATGATCTGCACACATTATTGGACCACCATGCCAATGATTGAGGTTCTACTGAAACCCTTCCCGCCACATGCAGCATCCAATAGTTCACATGATATACGAAGTCTTTTCATTGGAAATTAAAACAGTCCAACTCTCAAGTCATATCATTTATCTTAGATCTTTCTATCCACAGATGACGTTTGCGGCTTTTGTGCCAAACCCATTTTTTTGGATGGTTTTCAAGCAGAATGTAGATGTCCGAACTGTTTTGACAGAATCAGTGAGAACTTGTCCAATCTGTCCAGAATCTATTGAAAACACGGATGTATCGCCTCTTTTTATCAGGGTTACATGTCCTGGAAATATTCCTTATATCTGTCTATATCTAGGACATATATGGTGGCCTTGCACAGGGTTGTTTAAGTAGGGTCTGTGGGAAGGGGCAGCATGGACGCCCAGGCATGTGAGTCCTATAACGCCCCTACTCTGGGACTTACGTATTGGTTTATCACCATCACATGATAACAAATATATATAGAGTAGCGTTCAAGATTTTGAAATAGTAATTGGTTTAGGATTTCTTTAGCTGTAAATGTGATTGAATGCCTTATAGATAGTGGAACGAGTTATTTCAGCATTTCTGAACAGTATAATACCGATGCCCATTCAATTGGAATTTTCCTTCTTCTGCTTGTTGCCCTGCCTCAAATGTGTAATGTCACAGTACCGCTCCAGAGGTTCTCTGACATCACTCTGGCATCAATTGGATAGAAATTTGATCCGAGAGCACACCTCCTCCACCCCACCCCTCCTGCACTGAGCCTAACATGGATTTTCATAATAGAAGGTAGAGACAAAACAATGAAAGTAATCACCTTGTAACGTTTGTCAATCTGGCCTCTCATAATTATGCTTTATTTATGTAATTGTTTTGATCTTACCAAATGCACTATAAGAAATGGCATAAATAATTATTATAGCTGATGTTCACTGTCTTTCAAATGCATCTCCAGAAGTTAATCAGAAGTTTATACTCTGAAATTATGTAAATACATAGCCAAAATAGACATTTTAATTTTTTTCTCATCTTGTACAGCGCCATAAGTGGTTGCGTCTTTGTGGCTTTTCTAGACGGTATATTGCATTAATGAAAGCATTCAGAGTGTTTTCTTCATGAGGAGTGTTTTCATGATTTAATATCCTGCTGCTCTTAAAGAATCTGAATTTGAGAGTTAAGAGCGTGCTGAGGAATGTGACATTGGAACCTAGTCCCTTAGGGTTAAACATGCTCTGCAACTCTACCCTCTTTGAAACAACAGACTGCCGACCCCGACTATCTTGACCCCCCCCAACTGCACCCCCTCCTCTGTCGTTCCTGTCACAGCGATTAATAGCAGAACCCAGCCCATTCTTCTCTCTTGGCAGAAAAGCAACTGGATCTCATGGTTTCAATCAGGCCCGTAGAAGCAGCACTTACTTCACCCAGTGTTGCTCAGCGGCAGCGTTCACCCAACCCTGAGGCCATTGCAGCTCCTTATCGAACAAATTCCTGTTTCGGGGGACCACAATCAGGAAACATGACATCTGCTTTCAATTGGGAACTTTATATCACACCCCCCTCCCAAACACACACGCTCACAATTGCCCACTACAGTTTCACTGCCTTCTGCATTACCTTGAATGAGCCTGTCTGGTTTGAGTGTATGCAGGTAGACTGTTAGGGGATCCTGTTGCAGAGTGAGGCAGATCAGGGCGTCAATAGCTCAGAGGCTCAACATTGATTTTGTCCAGAAAGAATTTGAGACACACTATATCTCTCAAAGATCTACCAGAGTAATTACTTGCACAAACACATTCAGGGGTGGTATTGAAAAACAACCATAATAGGCCATTAAGACGGTGAACTAGAGTGCACATAGTGAATGCACACACATAGAGCTTTTCTACCTTAACAGATAAAGCGCTTTACAATTGGCCTGTTGTTTACTCATTTACATACTAATGGCGACGGAGATGTCTAATTGGGAGAAACAGTGTCTTGCCCATAGACACTTGTCTAGTGGACAAGAAGAGCTGGGGATTGAACCGCCAACCCAGAAATTAATGGACCACTTGTTCTCTACCTTCTTATCCACAGCCGTCCATAGTCGACTTGCTAAGATTTGTTCTCTGCTTTTGAAACACCAGTTGCTTTCATTTTGACTTTTTACTGTACATGTTACCATCTGATACTCAAGCTTTGACTTCCCTTTCCTTCGGTGTATCTAATGAGGACACATGCTGGTTGTTTGATTAAGCAGCTTGTTTGGCTCCTCCATGTCAACACTTATTGTATGTGAATACACACAGAGTAAATAGAGTCTAAAAGCACAGAGGCCGGAAAAAGTTCAAAGACAAAGCCGTTAAAAGCTGAGTGGAAAAGCAGCCTTTCTGCTATTAGGAGAGGATGAAAACCCCGATCCCGAGTGAATGGGGATCTTATGTGTGTGTGTCCAGATGTCTGCTTGTCACTGCTGGCACACTTGACTCTAGGATTTGACTTGGCTCATCAGTGCTACTTTCTTCATGAGAGGAATGAGTGCTCTGTTGTTGACATTGTTTCTGCGATCCTTTGGTGCATCTGTTACTTCAATGGGAACTACGCAAACAATGATTTACATAATTACATGCTCTGGGGTTGGCAGTGAGGTTGGGCAGGGTTTGTTGCTTAACCAGAGAGTCTCCTAAAACCACTTTACAGTGCAGGCAGAGCTTAAGCTGTATTACGAAAATTGTTTATAAGTACAGTTTTCAGATATTTAAACTGAAACCCTTCTGAGGATGAGACATTCCAGTCATGTCACTGACAACAAAGTAAATCCAAGCATCTTTCACGCCCTGTGCATTGCTTCATCTCAACCCTCTGTTAAACATTCTCTACAGGGGTTTCCCTCCCCTTGTATTTCTGATCATCACCTGTTTAGCCTCTGCTACTAACCCCCCCTCCTCCAGGTTGTCTGGGTAACTGTTACACTCACTAACATCTGTGAATCCGCTCTGACCTCATCAGAGTGAAGTTGTGCAGTTAGCCCTTCTTTCCTCTACTTACATAACACTCCCCTGCTTCCAGCTTTTTGGGTTGACAAGACAATTCAGCAAGAGGGATTCTGTCTGACTCAGGAGACAGATGCATTATCCTCTAGTTGAAAAATAGTCGAACATAAGTGGCCTTCTTTTTCTTTGCTCTGTGCAGAGCGTTCAGAGCTGCTTTGTGTTAGCAACTTGTGATTTCCACGGAAGATAAACATTGCAGTGCGCATCAAGAGATTGATTTATTTTCTCTCAAAAGCAGAATAAGAGTTTTGCTGCCTCTGGTTCAGAATCTATAGGTTGAAATGATGTCAAGGCAGTTCTATTTCCAAATCAGATGCAGCTGCCCCTCAATGCCGATGATCTCATTCCCGTAAGCTATATCCCATGAACAAAACAGAAGGTTTGAATTAAGCAGTCCAGTGTGTGATTAATTTCCAGCCACAACAGAGATCGTTGATAGCATAGATGTATAACTGTGCTCATTCTCAGCTCAATTTTTTCATTTTGTGTTTATTAATGATATAAGTTGGATTATTCATCTAAAAAGTTTCACAGATATGTTTTTCTCCACATGATCCATCTCTTCATTTTCTTTCTGCCACTGCAGGTGATTTATGGGGTAAAACTGCGGTTGTATGTAATCACACACCCATATTGATCTACATCTGCAAAAGCCACTGAGAATTATTTTTACATTTGGGAACAAACTGAGTTTGTCGCCTTATTTGGTTTTGGTTTTGAGTAGTTCTTGATTTCCTCTCATCAGTTTTGACTTGTACTTAAAGTGGACACAGTTCAAAATCAACTTGGACTGAATTCAGAGGGTGTACACTACATCCCTGGCTGAAAGGAAACAAAATCTTAAAGAAATGTAAAGAACAATTCATTCAGTTGGTTCTTACTGACTAAGAAGGTCAGCTATGTAAGCCACATGTTATCTTTACACGTAGTTTAACACCATTAGTTCTCCTGATGCCTCACTAAATCCCCTTACTATGTCAGCACAACCACATTTGAAACGCACATTAACGACCAAACTCCACACCCTCCGCTCACGCACACTTCCACTGGCCTCACATTACAACCAGCTAAATATAAATACACATTTCTCAAAGTCTTTGAAGATCATGGGAATCAGGTCAATGAAATAGCAAACATAGCTCCAGGGGAAGGTTTACAAATGGTTAAATACTGAATAGTATATAGTAAAAATGAAATGTATTAAATTCACAAGTTCAGGATTGAGATACTTTAGATCTACTTCATATAATACTTTAAGACTTCCCTGTGCCTCCATATAATTATAAAACCGTTCTCTCTAAAATGACCCCTTTGTCTGCCAAGGTATACTCCAACGTAATGTTTTTCTGTCAGGATATTTGGAGGGGAAAGGCCTTATCAAACCCTTTCCAAAACATATAAAGTATCACATTATAGATTTGTTTTCAGTGTGTTAGCATTTCAGAGAGTAAAGGGGTTGTAGGGTTAAAACCTGGATTCAACTCAAAGACCATTCAAAAAAAACACTTCTCCACCCCAACCCCACCCCTGGCCCTCCCTCTTTCCCTGTAGATGGCCATACGATCTCCGTGATGTTGACCCTCTTTGCATTAAGCATTTCTTTTCTACTTACCATTTAGTGAGGCGATGAGGAGCAAGGCAAAAGCCAACATTTTGCAGGGCCCGTTTGTTCTCTGTGCAGATGATGCTGCCATTCTCGACCTGAGCTTGCACACGTCCGACGGGTGTGAGTGAAAAGGCAGAGAAAGAAAAGGGTAAAGCTGATTGAGCCTGAGCACTTTAGGGTTTCCTCTTACCCAGAGCGGGACAGGGTGGATAAAGCACCTCTTGTGTTCTGTCAGTTTTTATATAGCCCCCCCTCCTCCCTCACTGAGGCCCAGCCCAACACCCAGTCTTCCACTGGTTACTTTAACCCTTCCTCTGTGCCCCCACCCCTCTGGAAGACTCATGGCGGAGGGAAGGAGGAGAATGGGGTCTTGTTGGGATGTTGTGTATTTTTCCCCCAAAAAAAAAAAAAAAAAACTTAAGTGCAACATTCCTCAAATACCGATCAATGTTTGTACGTATAGATACTTTAAGTATTCCAGTACTTGAATCCACCTTAATTGGGCTGCAGCGTATATGACGTGTGCTGTGTTGCAGAATGATTTTAGTGATCAGTGCTCTTTACGTTATCCTTTGCTCACACTGTCTGCTTGAGCTGTGAACCCTGTCTGGACGGGAGCAGTAATCCACTACACAATGAAAGGTGATAGTTCACAATAGGCAGTGACACTCTGGTCCTTAATAGGCTTATGGAGATAGACTATGGAGCAGAATATCATACTCTAAACAAAAGTGTGATCCACTGTTATGCTAATGCTATTAATCCATTTCAGTGGCCCGAAGCCCCCACCACTCAGCAAGGCCATCAATCAACAACAGCCATCTCAGTAGTGAAGACACCACAGGATCCGCTTAAACCTTTCACACTTCCACAGAATCCTGAAAGCACCCAGCCCCCCTGCAACTTGAGGATCTTTGCTTTACTTTTGTTAGCTCTTTTGCTAGGAGTTCTCATGCTCTCTGTAAATCACACATCTGGAACCACTGGTGAAGGTATGCTAAATGACTTGTTAAAAAAAAAAAAAAAAAAAGCCCCACCCTCCTGGACAACAAAAAGTAGCACAACACCGAGTCGAGAAAAGTAAACTGGACCACAGCTACATCTAACATGCTTGGGAAATGGTCTTGTAATTTGATACCGGTCCAAGTGCCCATAGTCCCCCGTCCCTGTATTGGCCCCATCACCCCCATTTCCTCCCTGTTACTCCCCCACCCCAACCCCCCATCCCTTCCTCCTTGCCAGGCCCTTATCAAACATTCAACTCAAACAGCAGGGCTTTAAGGTGGGCAATTGGCCCCTCACTGTGACTCAAGATGAGCTTTGCAGAAAACCCCAAGAGAAAAATCAGTGGTGTGCCCATTACAGCAGCCACAGCTGGACAGCAGCAGTCGTGTCACCCCAGTAAAACATTCATTAGACTGTTAGCTAGTTAAGTATTTCTGCTACTTGAGTCCTCATGAATCACAGCTTATGTCAGATGGCAATACGGCACAGAATAGACCTTTTACCCTCAACAAAGGGCAGCAGGACAAACCCTGGCAATTTAGTTTTCTTCTTCCTTTGTATATTTCTCCTTCTACCTTTCTTTCTTTCCCCCTTGCAAGGAGCTTAGTACCTTTGTTTTGTTAACCTATTTTATTGTTACTTATATTAAATGTGTATGTTTTTCATTTTGTGCAGTCCCAAGGTAGATAGGTAGGTACGTAGATAGATAGATAGATAGATAGATAGATAGATAGATAGATAGATAGATAGATAGGGACGTCTACATGACTGTGAGCCAGTTGCCTTAAGTGGTTCACCTGTATTTTAATACCTGTTTCCTAAATCTTGCCCCTGACAAACAACCCCTAAACAAAAACTAAACATTTTTAAACCATAAAAACTGAAATGAGCAAATCCACTCTGAAACTTAAAATTTGAAGAAGAAAAAACACCTAACTTTCTTATCTGAGTCTTCTTTTGTGTCTTTATGTGTCTCTTCTTAAGTGTCACACAGTAAAACTCTTCATGGTCGCAGAGCAGGAAACCAACACAAGTGCATTCCTCCTTACAGTCGTTACAGAAAGCCAATCTGGAAAACATTTCTACCACTGGCATCCTGTGATTTAAAGCCTATAGGCCTGGCTTCATATGGCTTTATTTGTTTATAGTATTGACTGTTCTGCACATCTGTTGCAGCTTATGGAGTTTGAAAACATAGCCTCCCGTTCCCTTTTAGCTGCTGCACTGTTTCTTCAGTAACAGTACATTGCAATCACAATATATTGGCTGGTGTCGCAGATGATTTCTGACAGCAGTGTGTATTTTGCTTTAGCTTGCAAGTGTGTATAACCAGATTTGAGGTTTGTGCTTTTTAGTTCCCTGCATTGTGTGTATACACCTCGGAGCGTGTGTGTTAAATGCTTTCTGAAAAGTGTCTCAAGAGAATATAGGCAGCGGAGTTCAATATCAAAAGAGAAGCGTTGCGCTTTTGTGCCTTTACTTTCTCACGAGGAGTCCCCTTTAGATTTACCCTATACTTTAAAGACCACAAAAATCCTGATCTGTTGCCAAACATTTTGTGAACATGCAATTTTTTTTTTTACTTGCATGCAAGCTCTGTCTTTCTTTTTTTTTTCCTGCAGTCAAAATATATGCATTCACACATGCACACCTGTTTCTAATCTAAAACAGAAAGCAACAAAACAGTGTCAATGAGCATTACTAATTACTTTCTGGGGTAAAACTTGCAAAACGGTGGTGATTTAAGATCGTTTTTAGTCAAAAGGTCACTGGTGTTTGGTCCAAGAAGTCTTATTTTGTGGTAATGGAAGTTTAAGCTGCTAATCCCTAGGATCACTGAGGCTTGGCTGATGAATCAGTAGGCTACTTTAAATGGCAGAGCTCCCTCACTAACTACAGAACTTGTTAGCAGAATATGTCAGCGATTATATTATCAAAACATTTTTACTGATAAACGTTAAGTCCAGCCTCTTTTGAAAGGCAGTGACTTTGTTTAAAATGTAAATTTTCAGAATGTTTTGCTGCACCAGCAGCTATTTATTCTGTCTGAGAGCACGAGTTCACCAGCAATGGATTATTTGTTAGAGCCCCAGGCAGAACTCTGAACAGGAAGTTGTAAAACAGCGACCCTCCTAATGTGACGATCTTTTGTGGGAAGAAAATTTCTTTGCCATCCGTTCATAATTAACAATTCATGGTTCTGTTTTGACTTAAGCCACAGGAAAAGACAAAAAGCAATTGTCATGCTCTGCTAAATTAATGGTGAGGACATTTTTAAAGTCCTCATTGAAAGGGTGTTCCTAATTTAATTTTTGGTTAATTTATTTGCACAAACACATGCGGACACACACAATCGCAGAAACACATGCACCTTGTAATACACATTTTATGGAGCTTTGAAAATGGGAACCATAAATCCCACAAAGCTCACCAATTGGCTGTGTAGGAGGGAGCCTGTCTTGAAGTGATTTCATGAGTGCAGCAGAGGGAAGTTGAGAAGGAGGGAAAGTGAGGGAAGGTTTGGGAGGAGGAGTAGGAGGAGGAGGAGTAGTGGGAGGGGATTACATTTCAAACTGCAGCAAATGTTGACCGTTACCTCTCTGGGCTGAGCTGCGAGGTCTCGCCTTCGAGTGAGCGGGAAGATGAAAAAAGAAAGGAGAAAGAAAGGAAGTGCTGTGTTAATGAGGTCACTTCTTCCCAAAACAAAATGTGCGTCAAGAAGACACCCCTGTGTGGGTTCTCCTCTCAGTCTCAGGGTACAGTCCGGGTTCTCAGTATGTCTGTCTCATGACCTACAGGACCACTGCACAGCTCTGCAGATGTTCAGAACACACACACACACACACACACACACACACACACACACACACACACACGCACGCACGCACGCACGCACACACACACACACACACACACAGATACACACAGATACACACATACCCTCAGGCAGCACTGCTGAAACAGACACTTTTTGTTACAGACACATGCTTACCCTTTGCCCTCTTCCTGCATCACATTTTCACAGTCTCACATGATCCTTCTGTCTCATCCCAGTTTGTACTCTAAATAGATGTAACCATTGGATGAAGAATGAAGAATGCTCATTCTGTCTCTGTTTCAAGTCATGCTTGTGATAACAACTTCCTCCAGAAGATGGCACCAATAGACTGGTCTGCTGTCCAGAATCAGCTCAACCTGCTGTCCGATTGCTTCATCAGTACATCATTAAAGTCCTCATGTATATTTTTGTGGAACTAAAACCATTTCCACCTGCATATATTTAATGAATCCAGCTGTTGGTGTTAGGTAGTGAGTAATGAAGGCAGTTATGACCAGAGTCAGCAAGTGACCGTGTTATTGCTAGTGGACAAAAGAGAAATTACTACAGCAAATGGGGGAAATAAAATGCCGCCATGGATTAGCTCACCCAATAAATCCTGAAACAAGTTGTTACTGATAGAGGCTGAGCTGCGGTCATTTGGGATTTTTTCTATACAGTCATCAGGGATTTTTTCCCTGGTTTGGACAGTTGTCTTTTGTCCTTGGCAAGAACAAACATAGCAGTGCCTGTTTGATTATGTGCACTCTGATAATGTAGTATGCATTTAATTAAAGCAGCAGGAGACTGATGCTCGCAGACCTCTAGGCTGTGTTCCTGTGGTGCTCGAGGGAATTTGATGCTTGATTGTACCGTAGAGGGAATTTACATTATGGAAGGGAATAAACAAAGGTGTGACATATTTGTATCTATATCCACTAACAGTGGCTGCTGGTTTTCATCCCAACTGAAAGGAGAAAGGAAAGCATCTGTGTACTGTATATAAAAAGATGTATGTGTTTGTATGTGCAGTTTCAGGCAATCCTGCACAGCAAGACAGCAGCCTCAAAAATTACCATAGGCTTTAGGCAACACCTACCTGACAGAGTTTCAGCAAAAATAAATCACTATATAAGTCAAGTAGTATTTAATGTAGGGACATTTTACTGCATTAGGGTCTGCAACTAATGATTATTTTCATTATCCATGAATTGGAGGATTCTTTTTTCAGTTAATTGAGTAATCAAGCGACAGCCCAAGGTGCCCAAGTTGTATTTAGATTGCTTGTTTTCATTCAATCAGCGCAGTCCAAAACCCACAGACATCACAGTTTAACAACGTATATGACAAAGGAAGGCATTTTCTCACATTTGAGAGAGTGAATTCAGGTTTCTTTGCTCAATAAATATTTGAATCTTCTCTCAACAACCTGAATTCTTGACTTCTTTGTGGATTGTATTGTATTGTATTGTATTGTGTTTTTTAATCTTTATTGAATGCATGTAATGATTTGATAACCTAGTGTTTCATCCCATTTAAGCAGAGCATTGTCCATCGACTATTAACACAAACTATGCTGGGTTGTGCAATGTGCATAGTGCAGGGCCTTTTCCATTCAGCATTCATTCCACAGTTAGAGCCACCATTTGAATTATTCTTCAAGATCTGCAGTGTGTGCGTAAGGTCAGTTTTCCCATGAATCACATATTCTGTGCAGCAGGAGAAGCTGAGGATCTGTTACACCTTGCAGCGTATAACCAGTGATTTCACAGAAATTAAGCATTGCACTGTTGTTTTACTCTACGTCACAAATATAATGTAGTTGCATCAATCACGGGTCAAAACAGAATTAGATATTATGAAAACTGTCTGGGATTGATTGAAGATCAATGGGTTCTAATGGCTGTAGTAGCTCCATAAACCTGTCTGGTATCATCAAACCACACAGTCTATCAAGAAGCTATCCTGCAGCTTGCTCAGCTGTCAGTAGAGGAGGTTTGAGTTCTAATGATCCTCCTCCTCCTGCGTGTGTGTGTGTGTGTGTGTGTGTTGTAAGTGAGAGGGAATTGCTGGCTGCTGAGTGTAGGCACTCTGACAAGCAAAGAGAGAAGAGAGGAAAGACAAGGGGTTAGAGCCTGGCAGGTGTACAGAGGACTCTTCGATACGCTGATGATACCCCCACCTGCATCTGACAGGTAAGGTTTGGGAGGCCTGGATGTTCATACATCCCTCCTTCTCCTCCCCCTTCTGCTCTGCTTGCCCAGAGCCCCGAGGGTTAAACATGAATAATGAATTCTGGCTCCTTATGGCAAGTGCTCAGGAGCCCCTATATGCTGCTCACATGCCATACCAAATACTGTCACAATATGACGGCACTGAAAACGATTCTTCACTCCTGAGAGGCCGTTCACTGCATGTTTAAAAAAATAAATAAATCCAATTCAAAGGGATTTAGTAATTTACTCCAGGATATTTCTTTGTTGTTTTACAAGCTCAGCTTCTCTTTCTCTTTGGTGTTAAATGTGCTGCTCTTGTCTGGCAAGGTGTGTTTAAATGGTACTCTGCTGCCTTTGTTTCCTCAGATTTCTTTAGTATTATTGCAACCTTATTGTACCACTATTTTCTTTTTCCTTTTTAGGAAAGGTGACTGTTCCATCTGCACCTTCTGCTGCCTCCAGAATAAAAAAAGCTTTAGCTGTTTGTTCTGGAAAATACAATGCCCTCTTCCTGTGAACCTCTGTGAAGAAAACCAACAGACAGACCAAAACCCAACTTGGTAGCACATTGCTAACTGTCTGCCAAATGTAAATTGTGCGTAATTGTCTCAAAATTGATTTTATTCTTTACAGTAATTATACTGATTGATGTTAGAATAATACACGTAGTACCTTTTCAACAAGACCTAGTGATGCTTGTTTCCCTCCAAAACAAAAATAATCACTTTTGAGTGAATGTTGTGGAATATTGATAATGAATTTCTTATTAATACAAAGCTGGGGACAGCTCATTGTGTCTGTGGCCAACAATTATGTTAATTTAAGTACAAAGGCTGAGTGATGGATGTACCCCTGGGATCAATGACATCATCATCTTACATTTAAAACCCTCCCACGAAAGCCCAATAATAGTTTAACTATCAAATTAGCATGCTAGTGATCCACTAATATAATAAGAATAGATTATTCAGTTGTGTGTGTGGCTCAGTTCAGAATGACTTAAATAATGATATAATGGTTCTTGGCCAGTCAGCTTTGTTTTATAATGCAGTGTTATAAATCAAATCTGTACAGTCTAAAATAGAAATGTACTTTCCATTCAGCTTTTAAAGGTACAAGATTTGTATTGACCAGGGCTTCAGTTTAGGATTCAACTATTATGAATATGGATACATTTCTTCAACATGATTTTTCAGAATTTAGCGTAATTACGAAAGAAACCAGGCAAAAATAATTTTCATCAGCTGCGCATTTAATGTATAACAACAGTACAAAGTGAATCTTTTGCTTGCAAAATAGGAGTGTTTTTTATGTACAATATTTATACAATAATATAGTTTAAAAAACATTACAGTTTAAACGTCTGACAGTTTATTGCACAACACATTTATAAATTATCATTATCAAACCACACATGGAACATATGAGTTCTCTGTCATATTTCAACACTTAGCAGGAAATGTATTTATTATTTATCGTATTTTATCTTGTTCTCCTAGATTAGCATGAGTCAAGGTCCTGTGGGGAGTATATTAACCCCACTAATACTGAAATGGTTAAAAAAAAAAAAAAAAAAAAAAAGAGCAGCGCTCCAGAATAACACTGATAGACAGCCGTGGTGACTATTATATGGAGCGATGAAACATCTGCAAGCACAGAGAGAAATTCATCTTTCACCATTGCAATGGGTGAAATAAAAACAATCAAAACAAGACCCCTGAATTAATGCGATGCCTCAGGCTGAATTTTTCCTCATGATAATCATTTTTAAGTTTAGATATGGCACTCTATAAATACAGCAGCAAGGAGACAACAAGCAGTCAGGTAAAATGTACATTTGAACAAAAAACTAAAACTTGTGAATTATACGCTGAGGCATGGAAAACAGGATGTAAAGCAAAGAAAGCGCTGTGAAGCAACAAACTGATGTTTCATTAATTAACTTTACAAGGACCAATTGGTGATCCAAGCACATATCATTAATCATATATCCACTCTGTGTACAAATATATTAGGAACACTTACTTTAGACAGAGCTGCAGACTCTGTTACAGCACCTCACGGCTCAAATGTCTCCAGGGTTAAAATTCGTCTAAATTCCAGGTTATGCTCAAAGTGGATTTATTTGGAAAATCAATAAGGCATCACAGCCTTCATCTAACTTAATCTGACCAGATTACTTCACAGGATCAGCAGGTGTTCTTAATATCTGGTACACTTGGTGCATTTCAAGTATCACGCTAAATGTAAACAATGACTGATGAGACAGGGAGGTTGGGGGGTGGGGGGGTGGGCGGGGGAAGCGGCGCTGTTGGCCAGGGTTAGGCTAATCTGATCCACGATCAGATTTAGAGCATCATTAATCATGCTTTCTGCTACAGTTCAATTTGGTCTCCACTTATCTTTGAATGGTTGAATTGGTGGTCTATAGATCATCACTGTACAAAATTTCCTATCTCAAATGGGATCTTTTCCCGCATAATGGCATGTATTATTAATAGCTTCAATAGGAGCATTTAACATGAATGAAACATGATACATTATATTTGGCACAAAAGTCAGGGTTTGGGTCTGGAAATATCTCTACATATATTTCACATTTGAAGGTAATGCCTTCTCAGTGTTATATTATTAAAGAGCTGGACCCTCACCTTGTCAATGACAAATTTTGTGTTGAGTTATAAGTCAGAAAATCTTCATTGAACAAAAAATAAACTGTGATAGGGAACTTCAAGTGGGGAAATGAAAAGTGATGATGCAATAGTCTTTAGTGTTTTCTTTTTTAAGCCTTTAAAAGGCAATAGGAAAAGGCTTAACAACACAAAGTTACACATCCTTGCTCTGAATGGCTCCGAATGTCACTCCAAGCCTGTGATATGAAGGGCGAGTAAGTGTCCGTCATCTTTGACATATAAAAAGTACTTTGAGTCTTGTCTCACCACATGTGCCGTCCCATTAAATTGGCTCCTGTCTTTGTTGAGCTTCTCCAGTGACTTTTCAAGTTGAGTCATTCTTTATTAAGTGCTGTTCTCCTCAGAGCTCCAGCCATGCCACACACAGACATTTTGTATAAGCACCCACTACAAAGACAAACCATTACCCAACGGATAAGAATTGGCGGCAAATTCAGCAACTGTGATGGCCCAAATCCCCTTTCTCTTTCTCTCTCTCTCTCTCTCTCTCTCTCTCTCTCTCTCTCTCTCTCTCTCACTCTCTGTTTCTCCCTTTCTCTCTGTCTCTTTCTCTATAGGACCCTTTTAAAAGTTGGATGTTTGCCTGTTGGAGTTTCTTCTGAAAAAACAATGACATTGGATTCAAAAGTCGTGCTTTTGGACGATCTGCTGTTTGATGTGTGCAGTGGTTTGTGTATGTACACTTGTATGTGTGTGTGTATATATAGATGAATGGGCATGTGTGTATGTACTGTCAGTTTGTTTATACAATAGGTCCATTAAATCTGCAATGTCTGTGTGTGTGTGTGTGTGTGTGTGTGTGTGTGTGTGTGTGTGTGTGTGTGTGTGTGTGTGTGTGTGTGTGAGTCCCACATGTGTTGCAGATGGGTTTATCCTCTGTAACCAAATATTGTGCTGTGTGTATGTATAGTGTGTGCATACTGAATGTGTTTGGGTATGTATGTAGGTGTGTGTGTGTGTGTGTGTGTTGTCTCAGCTCTCTGTAGACATGGCTGAGATGATCTGCTCCACTTTATACGCCAACTTCTGCTTCTGGGCCTGTTCATCCTGCTCCAGTGCCTCAATGATCTAAAATACACACACACAGGCACAAACTGTGAAGCCAAGGACATGAGGCATACTATTGGTCAGCTATATGAAATCATACAAATATGCTCATGCACAAAAAGAAATACCCAGCTGATCTACAACACTGACAGCTTCCACATGAATAAATATATTATACATTTTACTGCGTTTGATTAAAGTTTCTGATTTAAATGAATCACCACTGGTTTAATTAATTAGAATTCAATGCATATCAATACATTGGCAACATTAGCAAAAAAAAGCTCCATTATAACTAAAGCTTATCAAACAAAAAAAGCAAACATTTTCCAGTTGCAGCCTCTTAAATGCAAGTATTTATACACGCAGTTTGAAGACTCCAGCTTCGGTTTTGAGAAATTTTGATGGGCATTTTTTCCTTTTTTCTGACATTTTATATACTAAAACTATTAACTGATTCATTGAAAAATCAATCAACATATTAATCCCAGTGAACATAATCATTCAGCCCAATCCCTAATCATTTAACCGTGACATCACTGTACAGGTGCAACATAGCAACACCTCTGACCATTAACAAGCAACCAGATAGGGCGGCCTAACCCTGCTTAGTTACTCTCTAAACCTGCATTAATTAGTATTTTTGGCCACTTGGGGGCATTGACATGTACAGTAATAACCTTATAAAGTTGTTATGGTGGATGGATGGCAAACAGTTGCCTGTCTACACACCCAACAGACACAAAGCAACATCAACATTTATTAATAGTCGCGTTTGTGTTCGCATGATTAATTTAAGTCCAATATTCACTCAACTTTTAGCTCGGCCTCCACCAGCTCCTGAGGGAATGATGTGGTTCTACAGTGGCTAAATGCTCCGCTGTGTTCAACAGCTAGTCGCTAACATTGTCTGTCTGCTGTTTGGTGCTGGACAGCTAGCGCACAGAGGGTTTATCAGAGCGTAACAGAGCTACCAGGCGCAGCTGTTTTTAATGAAATGTTGATGAATCTTTTGAGGGCAACTGCAGAGTCTCGTGATAATTCTCTGACGTGAGAGACACCTTGTACAGTACACAGTCATTTTATACTTTCTTAATATAAAAATATGGATTACAGCCACTTTAATATGTCGGCTGACCACACCAGCAGGACCTCTACAGCACATATCTATGTTACAGTGTGTTGACTGGGCCTCACCTCTTGGCTGTACTTGCTGACGTAAGCGTAGATCTCATGGAGGGCACTGAGCATGTTGAACTCACTGGAGTGAAGGCGGGCCTGTTCAGCCAGATAGGCATTCATATCCTGATCACTGATGGCAGGCAGGCGGTTGATGTCAGCATAGTACCTGAGAGGAGACATACACACACACTGTCAGAGGCAAGGGCACAGCCATGCATACCAGAGCTTTCCTCCTCACTTGGATTCAGTCTTTTGCTGTTAAAAGTCAAAGAATATCAAATGTTAAAGGGTGTCAGTAAATCGGAGGTGTTTTGGCAGGAAAATAAGGAAATGTGTCACTCACAGGTTCAGTCATTTAGTCACAGTGACTTCAAACCACACCAGCACACTGTTTCTTATAAACAAACAGCCTCACATGATTATACTTATGACTAAATATTAATTCTGTCACTCTCAACCCTATTTGGTCTGCATGATTAATTGCATCATGATTTGCAGTCATAACTATGCAATCCCATTTATAGATGAGGATTCTGCCTAATTGCATTAACGGGAGATCTGTTGCACCAGACCAAGTGCTCCGAATTTCACCCTGAAGTTGCATCACCAAAGGACAAGACTTCATCACTCCAGAGAAAAAAATAGCATGTTAAAAGATAAAACTTCAGACGAACAAGAACAAAATGAGTCAAAATTAAGAAGACCTTCATCCGCCAATTCAGACAAAACCTGGTACTGCTGGTCCAGGAAAGTACATAAATAGCAACCAGTGTTCTAACCTTGTTTCTGAACTGTGTAGTAACGCCACAAATAGTTGCTACCACAAAATACAATATGATGAAGCTGAAGACCTCTCATAACAAGGTGATTACAGTGAGAAAATCATGATTTTCCTTTTATCCAGAATCATGCAGCTCAATTACAAGACTCCCTTCACTCCTAAAATGAAGCTCTGAGGCAATGCTAACAATAATCTTTGACACAACAAACCTAATCCTACATGAACTTAATCTTATTTATAACCAAACAAATGTGATTCTAACTTTCCATCTTTCTATCCTTATGAAGGGCACAGATACTCACCTTTCTACCCAGCTTTTATAATGCGGTATGTCCTTGGCATAGAGTAGTTTGGTGGAGGGTGAGTCTTTGCCTAGACGGTGTTCAGATGTTGAGCAAGAGTCCATGAAGGTTTGGGCCACCACAGACAGACAGGCGTCCGTGATGCTGCTTTTATGGATGTCAAACACAAACTGGGGATTCTTAATCACGTTTACCCAGAAGCGCAGGGGCAGGCTACAGAAAGAGCAGAGAGAAAGATTTTACACATTTTCACACTTGCATATAAAGTAATATGATTTACTTCATCTGTATAAGATGTGTTTGGCTTTCTTCTGATCAATCCCTTATTGACTTTTCAAATTGACTTACATTTTAAGAATAAGCTTTAGTTGGAGTTTGGAAGACTTACATGTCAAAGATGTTAAAAGAGTTACAGATTTTGCAAAAGAATAAAAGTTAAGTTCTTAAGTTTTTCAAAGAGCAGTATAAAACAGCTAAAAATTTACAAAACACTAGAGAGTAAGATAAAACGAGATAAGGGTGCACGGTGGCATTAAGGGTTTCTGAATTCAGAAAAGTTCACTTTAGCCCTTGAGTAAAAATGAGTAAAAAATGAAAAAGAAAATTCCTATACGAAGCATTGCAAGCAAGCTTGTTGAAGAGCTTTACAGTCACAGTAAAGGTGACGAGTCATGTTCCTGCTCATTCTCACCAGTTGCTCTTCCAGGTATGACGAACGTCCATGTCATGAATGCCGTGCCTGTCGGCCTGCTCGTCCAGGAAGTCGAACATATATTTGATTGCTAGAGGCAGGGCAGTGCCACGACACACAGTGCTGAACAGGGTCTCAAACAGGTCGTCCACAAACTTCTGCAGTGTGCCCTATAGAAAACAGTGCACAGGGTTAAGACTTGTTGGGCTTCTACTTATAGTGTGTACTGTAAATCTGAAGAGGTGGATACCAATTTTAGAGAGGAAAAATTCTGATTGATATGGTGGATGATGTAGTTAATTCTTTCACCGATATAACCATGCAAAGGTCAAATATTTAAGTTAAATATTCTTAAATCTGTTAAATAATTTAACATATACATTGTCAACCAATCCTAGTTGACATTGCCAAGAGCTGCTTCTTCTCTCTTACTCTGTGCTGCTTGCCACAGTGTTATAAATCACAGCACACTCTGCTGGATAAGCTTTGCAGTGACACTAGTATATTACCACAAGCATTTTTCCCGGCATTATATACAAAAAACAGTTTTCATATCAGAGCATACTGGATAACATATATGCTGATAACAATATATCTGCGATAATATTTTTATATCGACCAAACCATATATCGGCCAGGCTCTAATTAGGGATTGTTTATATTAAATAAGTCAATTTAACCTTAAATAAAGTCCAACATATTTTTACTATAATATATCTAATATATTGCACCTTTGTTGCTAGTAGCCTCGTCAGGTAGATCTCAGACACCATCTTACTGCCGCGCTCGCCCTCTTTCTGGTCCCCATGGTCGTGGTTCTTGACTAAGTGCCAAACTTTGACCCCGCTCTCCAGGTCAGGGGTCAGCATGGGCACACGGGAGTGGGGGCTGTCTGGGCTGGTGGGCGTAGAGCGGAAGGGTACGTCCACACCTAGATGGTTAAATGTCAGATAAAATGAGAATATATATTCCGAAAAGGCTTCAGGTGTACATTGTAAAGAGAATATATCTCGCCTTGCTCAGATGGAAGGAAAGTCATGTTTGTTTCTCAGATATACATTTAAGGCAGAAAGCCCTCTTTGTAAACTGCAAGCGAACAGGGTTGGATGCATGCTGTTAGACTCAACAATTATTTGCTGTCATTATTTCATTGGTTGTCATAGTAATGATACAGATGTGCACTCATTCACTAAAAGCATGTTTTCTATCCGGGCTCTGATCCTTCCTGTCTGTCACTTTGTGTTTTTATGTGCCTGTATTCTCCTTGCTCTTGTGAGAGCAATTTCTGCTCTTCTTGTCATCCTGTTTGGTACACATGTCATGTTTTTAAAGAAAAGTCACTTAAAGCCTAATATGAAATATCAGTGTGAGCTGCTGTTTCAGGGATGTGATGTGAATCAGATTTTAGATCAGCCAGGAAGGTAGTTTATATAAATCTAAAGTGATAAGACTGGATTTCATGTCTCCTTACATATACTACATACACCAAATAGTATAAAGTAAACTAAAGATAAGTCTAGATATAATTGTTTTAAAGGTGACAGGATTTGTCTTATTGTTGTGCTGTTGAAAAATCATAATACGTCTCTTTGTTTATTGTGTTGTATAACAGACTTTACAACAGATGAGATGAGTGACAGCAACAGATGGTGTAACATTGCTGTAAGTAGGATGAATATTAAGTACTTGTATTTCTTAAACAGTACTGACCGTATCTGCTGATGCTGCGCGGGAAGCTGGCTGAGGAAGGAATGTTGAAAGAGGACATCTGTTTGGGCACCAAGGCCACCACACAGCGCTCAGACACCTGGAAGACAAAGGTAAAGCCTATCTATTATTTTTTATGAATTTGTGGCTTGCAGCTTTTAGTCAAAAGTAATCATGGCTGGAATTTAACAAATTGTTTGAGATTCTAAACCCTAAACCTGGGGATTTGTATAATTAAAATTCAGAGGTTGAATGTCTTCTATAGTAACAAGAAAGACCAACAATAAACATATAAAGGACCGTCCTTCATGTCAAGCATTCTTTACATTCATCGAGCAGGATAGAAATACAGACAGCATCGATCACAACAGCTTCAACTACCAAATAGAACCAAACCTATTTATACTTAAAATATCTAGTAGATCAATGGAATTCCTAAAACCTTTTATTAAACCTTTTTTTCAATTCAATTCAATTTTATTTGTATAGCGCCAATTCATAACAGAAGTTATCTCAGGACACTTTCCAAATAGAGCAGGTGTAGACCGAATTCCTTATAACATTAATGAGGTCTTGGCCACAATAAAACTCAGTATTGCCTCACTGTGGAAAAGAGGCTGATGACATATTAGTCTAATGTTTTCAAACTGTGAGGCACTGAGAGTTGAAAGGAGAGATGTGAAGTAAAGATCCTGCATGAGGTGAAAGGGACAGTGTTGTAAAAACGACAACAACCAGACAAATCTGAAAACACATTTTTTGATTCAGTGGGACTTACACATCCAGAGGATATCATATATTATCCCCAGTGTCCATCACAAATTAAATTCCATGAATCCACTTAGGAAATCAAAAAGAATCCAGTGATAGTTGTTTGTTAATTAGTGGGTATCTATGGGTGTTTCAAATGTGGTCATAGCTAATTTGACATTTTAACATTTAACGTTGCCAATTCGCCAAAATGTTAAAAACATCTATAATCCAAAAAATCATGGCTGAAGTTTTATTCCACAACAAAGAGACTCAATAGCAACATGTTGTACCACATACCATTTTCAATATTTTATCTCTCTCCGTGTTACAAAGTCATTCGCTATACCTCCAGTTTGTTTCACTATGGAGGAGAATAGGTGGGGTTGTGTCAGGTAAGGCGTGTCCTTGAAATAAGGGTGTATGTTTGTTAGTGGCCGTTGTCGCTGCAGTTCAAGCAACTATTTTGCATTTAGAAATCCCCAGATGATTTGGTAGGTGCTGAAATTTCCAAACGTCTGGTATGGCGATATTAGAAAACTCCTGGTCTAATGTGTGAAACATAACATCCCAGAAAGCGATACAGTTCATAGTGAAATATATAACTGCTAGTTTGAGTGGAGTTCACTGGCTGCTGAATGTTGGCTAAGTGAAGGCTCATCACTCCAACATCCAACATTTTGTCTGTACAGTCGCTCCAGGTAAATTCTGTACACTGCAGCTGTGCATGCAAGACGTGGTGAGGTCATCTGCGGCGTGAACAAAATGTATTCATTCTGCATGAGCCACAGATGTTGCTAATACAAATCCAGATTAACAACAGAATAAATATTTCCATACCTGGCAGAGAGATTAAGAATGAAAGAGTGAAATTGTTTATCTCCTTGAAAGATAAGAGTGAGTGCATACGTCTTCTGTCAAAACATTGAAAATGCCGATTTCCTTTTGTCTTTATTTCTCTTTGTTTAAACAAGTATGCTGCACTAAAATATTAACTATATGTGAGTGGTACAGTTGGCCTGAAGCTTATAGTCAAGACAAACACTTGACTGACAAAGGAAGAGAATGACTCATCCGAGGTTGGTGACCTGTGTAGTCGTATTTATGAGCTGAAAAAAAGATGTTGTAAAAGACGGAGGCACACAAGTGCATGTTCGGGTTGACTAAGCGTGCTTGTGACCGGGAGGTTGAAAAAATGTTGGCTTGGGGTGAGATGGGTGATATGAATATGAATGAGTAATCCTCTGTCCTTCATCAACAATATCTGCTGTGACGCCCTTGAGCAACCGGATAATTGCAGATTTCAAAAAAAGGTTAAAAAAGATTCAAGGTTTGCAGGAGTCAGAGAGAAATAGCTTTGTAAGCTTAGTATTAATTAGAGCTGAAATGCTTCTTCAATTGACAGAAAATTAATCTGCAAGAATTTTCTTTTTCATTTAATTTGTTAAGCATAACTTTTGAAACTAAGAAACTTTAAACCTTTTCCTGCTTTACTCTGTTTTAAGTAGTTGTAAATTTAATATCTTTATATTTTGAACTGTTGGTTGCACAAACAAAGCAATTTCAGTACGTCAACCTTGGCTCCGGGAAATTATGATGGGCATTTTAAACTATTTTCCTACATAATAATAATAATAATAATAAAAATAACTTAATTTGGATAGGATTTTTCCTACAAGTAATGCAGCTCAAAGTGCATTACAACAAAGAAATTACATGACGGAATATCATTATTAATAGAAAAAATATGAAAAATAAAACTCACTTGATAATAATAGTAAACATAAGATAAAAATTCAAAAATAATGCATAACATAAGATGGAAAATAAAACCCGCTAAATAATACAATAGACAAAACAATCTATCTATTAATCAAGAAGGTAATTACTAATAATTGATAACGAATGTAATTGTTAGTTGCAGCATTAGTATCAATATTATTAACAGACCTGGTAGTGCATGAGTGTGTTGAGTCTCTTCCAGTCACTCTCTATTTTGGTGGTGATGTCCTCATCCTGCAAGACCACACGAGCTGTTCGACCCTGCCGCCACTCTGTAGGAAAATACAATCAATAGTGAATGTGTGACATATGGCATTCTGGGAAATGTTTGTATCCCAAGTGCCTGACAGTTACATATTGTCTAATGTCCATCGTTTGTCTTGCACTGTCCCTTTGTGCTGAAGATGAGGTCATGTTATCCTTGTGTACTGTGTTAGTTTGTTCTTTGAAACTTTGTAAGTCGTCAAGTGTAGCAGCCAAAATGTCACCAGGACTTCCTATACCTTTCTTCTTGACAATTCAAGTGATTCTGGAAACAAAACACAAATGACACAGTGTCTTCACGGGGATTTAAGCTGCCCAAAGCAACAAGGAGAAACTGATCCTCTCCAAATCCCTAACCTGTTAAAGCCCTTTAAGGTGTAAAACTACAAACCCAAAGCAATATCAACCACTACCTACAAGGTATCTTATTTACTTCCTTTGAAGGTGCGTGTCAGCTGGATTTGTGCCGAGTCATTCCGCATTGGATGACATGTTGTGGGTGTAAGCCTAAGTGTAGGTGAGCTGTCAGTAAGGTTTAATGTCAATGTTGGTGAGTGTTGCTCTGGTTAGGGCTGTAAACAGGTGTGGGGAGGGGCTGTCCTCCAGAAACTGATGTTAAACCCTTTGTAGTTGTCATATGTCTTCAGTGAAATATCTGTGATAACTCCCCTGACATGCCTACTCTCACCTGTGTTCTTCCCTCCTGTCATTATTCCAACATATTGTGTGCCATGTTTTACCTCAGAAGGTATAAGACAATAAGTATTGTGAAATTAGTCTCTGACAGTATGATTGCACCCAGCGCAGCCTCACCGAGATCCATGTCTGCAGCTCGTGGTCGCTGTGAGTAGGGCATGTTCTTGTACACCGCATCCAGGATCTTCTCCTTTACCTGGGTAATGGTGTCACAGTTGAGCACCTTGACAGGGATTTCTGGGCTGTTCTCATTGTCTGGGTTCACACAGCTCAGCGTCTGGGAATACGGGATGGATGGGGGGGGGAGAGAGAGAGAAAGGTGTTGCTTGCTAGGAAAGTCCTTTCATTACCTACTCCTGACCAAACTGTCCTGGTGGAGAGGATCTTGGCCAGAAATGTAATTTCACACCTCCAGGATGTGGCTGTGCAGCTCTAGCGGGGGCATTAAACAAGTAATGAGACACAGCCTCTCAGACTCTCCGACATGGATATCAGAGAGGTGTCATCCTGTCGCTGGCTGGCTGTACGTCGAGCTAAAGCCTGAGGGGGAACTTATTCTGACGGGCTGGTGGAGGAACCCAGCCGGCTTAATTTTAATGGAAAGGTAAAAGAAAGAGGCATGTTGTTTTACACATGACTCTTTACTGATTAGCATAAATTAATCAGAATTTTGTAGACTAAGTATTCTTGATTATATTTATTCTCTTTATTATATTTTATAATTTTTCCAATAATTTGGTTAGCCAGACTTATCTTGTCAAAGTTCATCAGGCCTGGAGAACCTTAAGCACAGAAGCTTGTTAAAAAAGAGCCAAGAAAAGTCACTTTGGACGAAAGCTTCTGACCAAGGCATGTATTGTAATGTATTGTGACGGGAAGCCAGTAAGGGATCAAATCCTTGCTTCTCTGAACTAGAGACTGCTTGATATTGGTTGGGATGTTTGTGCGTCTGGGATCTTGAGATGATTGCGTGAACCTCCTTGCATATTATACCCCCCCAGTTAAGCTTGGAGAAGAAAGGGAACAGTCTACTCCGTCCACAGTTGGAGTTAACGGTGCCTGCAGTGAACGGGGACTTAAACATACTGATGTTTACGCAAATAAGAACAATGAAACTGGGATTGGGGTTAAACTCACAGCAAATTGAATAGCTGTCATTCTGTGGTCTTATTTTTTCTATTTGTTTTGAAGAAACTGTCTAGATCTCCTTAAGCTTGATGAGATGGAAATCTGGCTAGGCAAGATTATTTCTTATTTTGAAACTATCCAAATATTCAAAGCATTCATAAAATTACAACCACAGCCTCGGCACACGCCAAGGCAAAATGTTGGACTTATTTTCTTTTTTTCTTTAATAATGTCTTTATGACTCACCAGCGTCTTGTATTCAATCTGCTGTCTGATGAGTTTGTCCTCACTGAGGGAATAGCGTGCCTCTCCAGTGATAGAGTCTATGGGTCCCTTTTCCATTTGCTGTTTGATGGCACAGAACAGCATGAAGAGAGGCTCGCCAGCACACTCCTTTGTTTTGGAAGGAAACCCAGGGATTAGAGTGAAAGGTGGGAGAAAGGAAAATAAGACATAGGAAAGAAATGTAAGAAAAGAGATCTGTATTCATCAGCAAATTGAATAGCTTTTTAAAAAATAGCTTTCTCTCCATTTGAATTGCAAAGCTAGAGATATGTTTGACCCCACAGGTAACCAATATCCACAATGTCAATAAAACTCATCAATATCAGACAGTTAAAACAACAGCTACAACAAAAACATGCACAGCGGTCTATTTCAAAATCAGTGCTGATAATTTTAAGAAGCATTGTCATAGTATTTCACTATGACACCTGTAGCGAACAGTTTGTCCTTGTTGTGGGAAGGATTTCATTTTACCTTGAGAAATTTGTGCAGCAAGAAGGCAAACCAATTTGTCAGCATCTTTTCTGCCACAGACTCTGTTCTGCAAGACAAGAAGAAAGCACACTCATTTGTTAGCAAGAGACGTCCCACAGAGAGCTGGAGTGCTCTGATTATTCTTTTATAATTTAAGACGTAGAAGAGCCTGACATTGTTGGAACTAAAAAACATGGAGAGTTTACCGAGGAATAACATCCTTACTCAGACGCTCGGTCTCAGAGGACACGTACTCTGATATATTGTAAGTTAAGTGCTGCTAGTACCGAACATATTTGGGTCATGACATAATTGTGCAGACACAACTTCGATGTCCACTTCAAGTCCTTTCACTTTTCCTCGCTGTGTCTGCACTTCGCTACTTAACATGAGTACAGATGGGAAAGATTTTATGATTTACAATAAAGCCTTTACCTAGCAGTACAGAGCGGCAGTACCCTTTAAAATGGCGTATAAGCCCTTTCTAATCTGTATCGGATCCAAAGTCTGCAGCTTTCTAGCCACCATTCACTCTCCCTCCCTAACCTGCTGTCTCTCTGTCACTCCTTTTGGGTCCTTACCTGCATTTCAACCCTAACCTGTACTGACTCTTCTGTTGACGGCATCCCATTAAATTTTTGAGTTTTTCCGCAAGAGCAGCATGTTTGGGCTAACAAGTTCTTGTTGTACTGGCTCCCATGTGAACTCATCCTTATATTTAATGAGTGTACTTCAGATTGAGAGAGCCCTCTTTTTCAAAAAGATTAAAAAAAAACTCATGAAACATTCAGTAGGCCAGCCTCAGCACAGGGAAAACAATCGACAGATAACCAGAGGTGGAGGAGAGAGGGAGAGAGGCGAGAGAAGGGAGGAGAGGAGAGGTGACGGAGGGGGGAGGGGGGAGAAACGTGAGCTACAGCTGAATGTTTCATGAGTGGCACACAGAAGATAAGTCAGACTGACAACGACTCCACCGCCGCTGCACTCACTCTTCCCCATTAGGTTCTCTTCCTCTGCCGGTCCCTCCCACTCTCTATCACTTTTACCGTTCCTGTCTTTCACCTGTCTACTCAGGCACCCTATTTCTCAAACTCGTAACGGCTGTTTCACGCCGCTGCACAAAACAAAGCTGAACAGAGGTGGGCTCTCCTTCGCTGGCCTAGTTACTCATCCATCAGAAGTGAGGTAACTGGGCTGGAAAGAACAATTCACAAAGGAATTATCTATGCCAAAAGATAAGTTGATCAGACCTGGTCAGGTTTGTGACAGAAAAGGCGTCTAGTTTAAAAGTGGAAAATGTGGACAGAGAAAGTGAGGAGGAAATTGGAGAGTGTTATTCTAATTGGTCCCTGAAAGTCACAAGGAAAACTACTTTTCTCTTCCTTAGCAATTGCAACTAAGATTCGACTATTGCCTAACCCCAAGCTTTTCCAGTAAAGAAAAAAGATTGCGGTTGTACAAGTTGTACAACTCCCTGCAGTCAATGTGTACTTTTTTGGCAATGCCTTAACTCATATTTATACAGTTCTCTGTGTTAAATCCAATATTCAGCTGAACAAAATGACTCACTGTCCCAAAATGACTAATAAGACAAAATGAAAAACATTATCACACTATATAATGGGATACAACTTAAATCCTTTGTTAGTTCACCTGCGTAAAAGTAGTTTGGGGTGGTTCTTGCTCTCCAGGTTGCGTTCTATAAGATCTGAGAGCAGGTGTTTGAGGATGTCTGTGGCGTACTCCAGCCGTCCCTGCAGAGCGGTCATGATGAGCGAGGCAACGTAGCCGCGGTCACGCATGGAGAAGGAGCGCTGCAGCTCCAGTGTACGGATGAATGTCAGCAGGAAAACCTTGTTATTCACCAGCTGAGCAAACTGCTTCAAGGCTTTCTCCACATTCGCCTGTCCGCTCCCCGGCACCTACACACATAACGCATTTTTGCACACACACAAAGATGCACATGCTCATTAGATAATGTTCACCCAAGGATGAAAAATGTCACAACATAGATGGAGGATCATGAAGAACAGAATGAAATATACAGAAAATGTCTCATAAACCATCTCAAGGTGTAAATGCAAATCAGAACCACTGGTGCAGCTACAAGCTTTGCCCAGTAGCAGTGACGTAACCCTCATGCGCAGCTCCTGACACATCCATCCCCTCTGGGAAACTTTTGAGTTATAGTTTCTAAACTTACTAAGATGTTTATCAAGAAAATACATAAACTAAGCTTCATTTGTCTGCAACAAATAAAGGGTCTGTTAATTTGATTTTTAAACTGCAATCAGAGAGGCTCTTCAGAACACAAATCTTTAGAAATCTTTGTGACCATAATAACAGCTTGATTAACTCAACCATAAATGGCAACACCAGTCCAATTTGACCTTGAGTACCTGACAAGTTGTTGAAATAATGAAAAGGCAAATGATTTGTCATCAGAGTCTCTTCTAAATTAGGTATGAAGGGGTTCAGAATTAAACCCTTGAGATCAGGGCAATAATAACAACAGTCTTGCCCAGTCTTGTCAAAGAACATTTTCAAAACCAGGTCCTGAGTATTTGAAAAGATGAGGATAAGAACAAAATCAGAACAAAACAAATCCTACCGAAGACAAATATAAAATAGTCATTAAACACTATAGCACAAATGTAAAACTTATAGAATGATCTTCTTTATCAGCTTAAATGTAGATCTATTTGCAGGACATCTGTACTGCATCTTTCAACATCCAACTCATTGATGCATAAGATATAAGGTTTCTGATTAATAAATTAAACAGTGTGGGATCGGGTGTAGAAAAATGATTTGTTAAAAATGTTTTGAATGTAAAAAGTTAGGAGTCAGATACTCAAAATAGGTGCATGACTGAGACTAAGGGAGGGAGCAAACTCCAAATAAAATCTGCTCACAAGCTCTTCCGGCTGATGTGGACACCATTAAACAAACAGACCTCAAACCGCAGTGAGTAGACTGACATTTGCTCACCCCGCTCTGTTCGACAGCAGTTTGACAGCACTTGCCAACAAGCCAAAATCAATTTAGTTTGGAGTATACTGGAGCCTTAAGGTCAAGATGTCAGAAAAATGGTTGAAACTGGATTCAAGTACTGCAGCGCTGCTTCAGAGGTTACTTACCTCCAGCTCTCTGAGCACAGGGTGATCATCGATTCCAGGGAAGAGAACCCTCATGGCGTAAGTGCGATAGTCCAGGTAGGGGATGCCAGCTCGGTCCAGGTCACTCGTTAACTCATTGATGTCTGTCTGCAGCTCTGCAAAGGCTGCATATGATGGAGGTGTGAGTCAAATATTTTGCCAAATGTTTTGTGACATTGATCTTTTTAGCCTTTTATCATAGTAAAGTGTTTTCCTTTCTGTTTCTGATAAATACTTGAACAGTCTAACAATTGAATGATGACAAATAGTGATTAGATGAATCAGAATCATGATGAGTTTGGAATGCAGTTAAGCAGTAAGCATTTAAAATCTATATTTTGAGAGTGTTTTAGATCCATATGTCTCTGTGAACATTATACAGTTCATAATGTATCTTACAGTAGCTATATTTTTGTTTGTTACATTATTACAAGTCAGAATATATCTCACCCTAAAACGTTTATAGCTTTAAAATGACCCATAGCTTCGTACAGCTAGCTATCATTATTGAACTTTCATCAAGTCTTTCAATCATTCCTCAGCCAATATATGTGAGTAAATAGATCTACATTCATGAATAATTTTGTTAGCAAAGCCAGCACAAACATCAGTCAAAACATCACTTCTCAACAGATGGCGCTATAAGGCAACAACAAAAGTAGATGTTCTTTTGGGAATGTGAGTTTTAATGAACATGATTTATGATAATATAAACTCTCAGATCAGTCTCACTCACCCTCCTTGCACTCCAGAGCCACTCTGGACTCCAGATTGTCCATCTGCATCTGCAGGCGCTTCAGAGTGAGGTCGTTCTCATGTGACTTCCGTCTGTAGGCCAGTAGGACTATAATGACGATGATGAGGAGGAGCCCTCCTCCAGCTGTGATGCTGAAGATGGCAGGAAGGGTCAGCAGGCTGTCGGACCGGATGTGAACTTCTCCTGGAGAGATGTGGAGTCCTCCTACTTGGACCTGGATAATAATAATAGCACAGGCATACGCACAGTATTTCAAATCAGTGCTGAAAATAACAAAATAACAAAGAAAATAATCATTAATGAAAAAGGCCGGCCATGAATTCACAATAGTGTGAAGTACAATAGAGATATGGACCATTTTCCTGAACAGTCTTTGAACGCCTTTGATTAAAACAATCTTTAAAGGTTTCAGGCACACCAGCTTTTCTTTTTACAGCTCTTTTCTCATTATTTGCAAGAGTGTCTGTCAATAATTCTGGAGGGCAGTGTGTTGTAATTGGGAACCTACCAGACCATGAGTGACAGAAAATGACAGAAAGCCAGCGACTAACTGAAAGCCTGTCGGTGACCCACAAACACAGTGACGTACAGACAAGCACTGACCTACAGACAGTGACCCACATCCATGCAGACAGGCAATCAAATGCACAGACAGACAGAAAACCGCTGCATAGGCAGAAACCGTTTTAGACTGACCAGGACTTTGTGCTGCCCGGTGAGGTTTGGTGGCTCACAGAGTAACTGAGTGTCGGACACAGTGAGAGAACAGGGCGTATCTCCAATCAGCACCGTGTAATTCAGCCTGGCTCCACCAGATGCAGATGGCACCAGGTTACGTCCCTGCAACACAGTTACAGATCAATATACACAACTACAGAAAATAACAATTTACTTAAAAGAACAAAGTAGTTTTCAAAAAGTAAACAGTAATTGACAAACAAACAAATAAAGGTCTGGTCTAAGGCATCAGATGTTGTATTGTATCTATTGTACAGTAACTCTAAACAGTCTAATGCAAATGTAATGTTTTCACTATTTTGGAACTTCTTGCTGATCATATGGCATTTTAAACCCAAAAATAAATTATTACCTTGCAATTTGGGGGCATTAGTATAATTACTGTAATCAACCATCTTGCAGTCTTTTACAGTACATTCTACGCTGTGATTTTACAGGAAATCTGCTAAATTATTTTACCTAACAAAGGCAGATTGCTTCATGATGCAAACCCATCTGCCATGCTGTTCCTTCACAACAAACTGAGCTAAAAATGTGCGATTGTACATGGGGTGAAAGCGAAAGGCAGATGGAAAAATCTATTCCAGAAACTACAAGTTGTGTCCTCCCTGTGACAGGAAGCAGAGGAGTTCATGGGGAATGTCATGGATATTTCGTCAGAAAAGCTTTTTTTCTCAGTTAAAGAAACATGAGATAGATAAGAAATCACAACTTATGTCCACGATTGTGTCGTTTGTTTACAACATTAGAAAATAGAATTGATTTCACAATAAAACCGGTTTAGAAATATTAATTCTAGCAGATAATGTGATCAGATTTATCGATGACTTAAGGGACAGCAGTGAGGGTTAGGGTAAAGGTGCAATTCTTATATGTCACTGTTAGTACCAGACCGTTATGGATTCGAGAATTTCCTCTGTCTGTTGAAGGGGAGTCAAAAAATAAACCATAATAGCAGTAATAGCATAATTGCAGACGTACTTTGAGTATGATTGGAGCACCAGGTTTCTGCTCCAGGACTCCTGATAGACTGAGTGGTTCCAGGTAAGGGTTGGGGTAGTATACAAAGCTGGTGTTGTTGTAAGTGAGCAGAGCTTGGACGTTGTTGAAGACGAAGCCAAACTCGTCCACGTGTTTGATCGTCTCCTGGTCTGCAGTGTACTCCGCTTTTAGAGAGGGGGCAAAGCAGCTGATGGTGGTTGTGTTTAGCACTTTGCAAACCTGGAAAGGAATCAAATCAGGTGTCCAAGTTACACTGAGTACACAGTACAAACAATACCCACAGCCAGTGTGATACATATTATGGAAACCAGACTACATATGACCGTACACATATTTAATGATATAATGTCTCACAGTGTTGTTTGTTGCATGATTAAAAATTGCATAAATTATTGAAAGATGCAGATAATTAATCTTCTTACGGGTTCATTATGAGAAAATGGCCATTTTTAAATCTCCAGCCGAAAATCCAGGAGTCAATATTTTACCCACAGAAATATCTTTTGAAAGCAATTCAACTTAAAAACATTTTAAATATTCTAGCAATCATTAATTCTGCCTCATGTGAAGACATTAAGGCAATACATTTAGGGCTGCTTGCACTTTTTTGGAAACCACTTTTGCAGAGTAGATCCGAGCAGATGTCTCATTTCATGCCCAAATGTGACTATTATCAGTCCAGATGATGATAGATATTAACATCCAGATGTTATGAATCTTTTGGAGCCTTTTAATGTCATTCAACTTTAAATATACTCATGGTCTTTGCAGTGTTAACCTACAGAACCTGAAAATAAGGATATCTATATATCTGACTGATGAATAACATCAGCTGTTACAGTATCTCCAGTATATTTACCTCCTCCTATCTATATGTTCACCTGTCTGCTCTTATGTTTTTGACCTTCAGCCTGTAAATGCATAGTGGCTGCTTTGCCACAACAATTGCTGCAGTACTGATGTAAAGGCAGACACCTGGGTAATGTTAATGAAGGATGTTTTTATGTTTTGAGGCCATTTGTCCTGTATATCTACTAGAAACTATATTTCATATTCAGCCAATCCCCTACCCAGATAATACCAAATTCCTATAACAGCAGTTAGTTATTGATACTTTATCGATACTTGGATACTTTATCAATAACCAGTAGCTCTCTGGAGTTGGAATGCGCCTTCTGTTTTCTTGTGTAGTTCTTGAAAATCCGTCTCAAAAACAAAGAGATCTTTTAAACTCCACTGGCTTCAAGCCAATTTCTAAGCTTCGGTTTTATCTTAGGTTTCACAGAAAGTTGTTTCGAGTCAATTAACTGCTTTTGTAATTCAAAATATTTTTAAGCAATTCCAGTTATGTTTTCAAGATATGTGCGATAAAGAGACTGCCCTCATTAAATTTACCAATGACCCTTTTTTAGCTGCTGATTCGGGTGAAAGTTCAGCTTTAATCCCTTTAGATCTCAGTGCTGCCAGTGACACTGTAAAACATGCAGTTTTAATTGACTGGCTCAAATTCTGGGCTGGCATCATTACCAAGCCATTTAATTGGCTCAGGGCATACCCCTCACACAGAACACTGTCTACAGAAAAAACATGTTCTTCAAACACATTACAATTTTCACTGGTCTCATCTTGGTTTTCTTTCACATGCGTCCACCTCAGCTATATTATCTTTAGATACAGTGTTTCTTTATAGGAAAAGCACTGAAACCTAAACTTCGAGGCAGCTGGCAAGAATCCATCTTGTTAGGCTTCAAGCTATGCACTTGTGTCCAAACCCCAGTGGTTTGGACCAATCAGCGTCCTATGGAGAACTACTGCCAGCTACAGCATGAGCTATGGGCAGGGTTTACGGCTAGCTGTGTGTGACGATATGTGTGAGAAGTGACTGTAAAGAGGTTAGTATAGATGCTGCTAGGATTGGTTATATCAGAACTGTATATTTTCCTAGAAAGAGGAGCAAAGAACTGCACTGAAGGCTTTTCTCACTCTTCTCTTTCTTTTTCACTCTTCTCCCTGCTGGCTTCGGTAAGAGTTTGACTACATTGTATGGTTTGCTGATCTGACTGGTTGAAGTTCGCCTGTGGGGGACAGTGATAGACAGGTGGTTCATTCGTTCAGCTGTCTAGTATTTTTTTAAAAGTGGCTTTCCTTTTCCAAACAGTTTCCAAAGATGAGGCACATTCCCCTTTCCAGGAATGCCTCAGTGATACAGTATGTGTTTTGTGTTGTTAATTGAAAAGTTCAAGCTGTTTTGAGACTGACCTCGACATTGTTCCCCTCAGCTGAGAGCATTTTTTTTCCAAACAATTTCTCAATCTTACATGGTCTAGAAAAAAATAAAAACATTAATCCTCATACGATATGTCTTTATTTTGAGATCAATAAAAAATGTCTGTCTATCTTAGGCTGGTACAAGCAAACTATCTTATCATTCCATTGCTGGCATCTCTTCACTAGCGACCTTAAAATTGATTTTTAAGATTACCGGTATATATATTGATTTCTTTCAAAGTCGAGCCAAAAGTTAGTTCCAGAAGTTTCAACCCTGTATGCAGTCTCAGATCCTCAGGCAATTCTCTGACTTGTCCAGTGTGGAAAACACTGAGGCTAAAGGTGAGTGGACTTTTGCCATCGGGGCTCCAGCACTTTTGAACAATCAATCACTTTGAAGTGACCTGCCTTAGGAGCTCAGGCAAGCAGAATCAGCACCATAAATCACCTCCAAAAACTGAGTTGTACTTTCATGTCAGTTTTTCAAAATCTCATTTTGAAATGGACCTCTCTATATTGATCATCTTTCTAACTCTTTTGTTTATGTAGTATGGCTTAATTTTTACAAGCACAGCAACACATTTTCCAAACTACAACCTATTAGATTGTGCCATAATATGTCAAGCTCTTGTTGGTTGATTTGCACTCCATCCTGCAGGCTGTTTGGTACAGAGACTGGTTGTTTTTCTGCTGCTGTTCACACTTTTGGTAGTTCTGTAGGTATACAATATTTCATACTCAAAAGCCTAAACTAACCTGTCACTCCATTATAAGAACTATAGATGTGTGGCCAAACTGCATAAATACCTTTGGCTCCATTAAAATAATGTCAGTACAGACCATGTATAAACAAAAACTAGGACATTTAATTCACCACAATACTAAATCTCCCTTGTTAAAACTGTAGCAAACTATCAATAAGGAACACAACTGTGACATTTTCTATCAGCTTGAGTAAGCAAAATCAATGATGGTTGAGTGCAGTATATAAGCAGTTGTCACACTTACATTGACAGATTCATGGCCGCCATATTTGACTCTGACTCGTGGCTCCTGAACTACATCCAGGTTGGTTCCTGTCACTGTCATGGTGGTGTGTCCGCTGTTTGCAAGGAAGGAACAAGTTGATTCATAACTAACAAGAATTATTAGTCAAACACACACACACACACACACACACACACACACACACACACACACACACACACACACACACACACACATACAACACTTCAGCACCAGGTAGACTATATATGAACACAAACTGAATTTTCTCCATGATTTAATCAGTGGCAGCCGCAAAGAGATCAATCTTTTTAACTTGCAAACCCTACATTTTCCAGAGTAACTGCATTAATGCACGTTTGAGGAAGTATAGCTGGCATGGTAGCTTGTTCTTTGTTATTGGGCAGAAGAGCCAGATCAAACGGCGAACCAGCTGGCTGCTATTTTATATTCATCCATGACTGTGAGGCTGGCATAGCATGAATACAGGTGCTGCTTGTTTACATATCTGCGCTAGATGTGATTAAAATAAACCACTCTCTCTAATCTTTGCATAACCTGTGCTGCAGTGTGAGCTTAGAAACCTATAGTATGGAATTGACGAGTAAAGGAGGAGAGACAAAGACGGGAAGAATACAAGAGAGAAAATGAGGAAAAATGGCTTCAAAAAACTGGCCAGTCTAGTCAGCCTGACAGAGTGCCAATCCTTCTCTTCTCACACTTCAAAGGGTACCTAAGCTTGTAGGGCCACATAGTGGGACTGCACATTCATGATGAGGGCTCTTGATTGCAGCTCCGCAAAGCTCCTCCTGTCACTAGGCTGAGGGCCAGGGTGTCTCTCTGAAGTCTAATCTGTAGGGACGTAGTGCTGGGTAATCCCACCCGATACCAAATTAAGTGCCATTTTTTATTTAGTGGAATACAGGTAATGCACCTTTCAGGTACAAGTACTATTTTGAACACAGATTTTAATTTTTGTGTTAGTCACCTTGTGGTGATACTGATTAGGTATCGTTTAACAACCTTGTTATAACTGACTACCAAAACACTGCACATCTTTGCATCACTCTCCATGTAACTGTATCTCTACAAGCCAGGACTAGAGTGTCCTTGTCTATCTTTTGCTCAACACACGAGTACATACTGTATGTGTAAAATAGAGCTTATGTGCTGCAATGGTGCAATTTGCCAAATTAGATTGCTTCCTCTCGCATAAATTATTACACGTTTGACTAATCAAAACTAACACTATATTTGTCACCCATAAGCATGGGAGAACCTTGTAGAACTGCCAAATGTATTCTCTATTTGAAAGCAAGAATCATTTGTTAATGGTGACGCTGCTACCATTTGAGATACGCATGTGCGTACTACGAATCGCCTTTGTGTGAATGGCACTAAAGTTTGCATGCCTGTTTGAGGTAACAGTAACACAACAAAACCCAGATTAACACTGGAAAACTCAACACAGAAAATGTTCAGGGACTGAAACTCCATTCTCTTGAGGTGTAAGTACATTTGGCTGGTATCTGTGTGTATGCAGTACTATATTGATCAGTGTTACCTGGTAATGCTCCACAGGGGTTCAATGCGTTGGACCGTGGGGTCTTCTATGTACTCAAAGGCCAGACTTCCAGGAACTTTGGCCCTGTCCACACTCAAACTGACTTGCACTGGTCCAGCTCTCGTCACAGACGGCGCAGAGAAGCACACAATCTCCGACATGGTCCTCCTGGTGGGAGTACCAAAAGGGGGATTTATTCATGCCTTTGATTGTGACTGCCCACTCGCTGCTGCAGTGGCAAATCCCTGACTTCACGCAGTTATGAGCCATGCACATTACTATACGGGTAGAGGATTCATTATAGACTGTCCCATCTCTTCCTCGTTACAGACACATTAAGGATGGAACACTGTAATTAGAGGGTGCTCTAGCTAATGGCTTCCTCGCCTCACCCTCCTGACTCCTACCATGTGAGGCATTTTGAACTTTAAATAGACATCTATAAATACACAGAATAATACCTAACACTGTGGGTTTCGTCACCTCCTCGCAAATCATTATTAAGACTTTTCATTTAACGCACAGACACTTAATTGTATCTTAAGTGCTTCTTGCAATAGAGCAATCTCTTACTGTGTTTCAGAGAAATTACAGAGAGCTAAATCTTTAATATTGTGTGGAGGTCGTCATCAGGAGGTTGTGTTATTATCAGACTCACCTATACAGCTCACAGGTCTGATTACCAAAGTACACATTAACAGTGCTTCCAGCGCCCAGATTCTCCCCGACAATGGTGACCTTGGTGCCCCCAGATTCAGGTCCTCTGCCTGGGGTAAGGGCCAGCATCGAAGGGGTCTGTGGAGAACCAAAATTCATTAATGTTTCATTCAACATAGGTCAAACACAGAATATAGAATATGTCTTAGTAACTGTCTGATTCTGAAAAGCCCCGTTCTACTGGCCTTGGCTGAATAAATCACAGTGGAAAGCTAATAACAAAACTGTTAGAAAGGAACACCAAAGAGCTTTTTTAGAAAAAAATAAATAGTTTAATGAAGTATGAACCCCATCAACAATTTCAAAAATACTAATAATGCAATGCATCTTCAAAAGCAAACAAACGTCTTTATTGGCTTCAGTACAATAAAGCGCACCATTCTTTTCATTAGCAACACACGGTGAACAAATCATTAGAAACAACTTCATAATGATGATGAACTCTCTTATCCACAATCTGCTGTATGTTGTACTTAGAAATGATTCTGTGTTCCTCTGCAGTGAATCATTGCAGGGGCTTGAATAGATCAAACTAGTCCAGGTTTTCATCTAATTCAATTCAGCCCAATTTATAGCAAACACTTGATGTTTGTTTCAGAGCAAATGGACAAAGTAAATGTGTTCCAGTGTCAGAATTACCACAAAGGAGTACAGCTGGGAGGACTGTGCACGTAGTTCTGGTCTGCATTCGCCGACACACAGCTTCACTGGACCTGCTGCACTTCCTTTAGGAGCTGCAGCCATCTCACACACAATCCTGACAAAAGATACAGATACATGAATGTGGGGGCACAAAGACACAGGCATGCAACAGATCCTCATGCATACAAGTAATAACATAAGCCAGGCACACACACAGCAGAATCACAGCACTATATCACATTTGTTATGAAATGCACTGGGAGAAAATGGCCTCTACTGGCCAGTGTGATTGAGGCAGACTTTCATAGAAGTTGTGGGTCAATACAGAGGGCCATCTTTCTTCCTAATGGGAAACCTATAACAGCAATATAACTCAAATGATAAACTACACCCCTCCTCATCTCCAGCACGATTGCCACCCACCATTACCTCTGGTTGCCATGACAACATAGGGTTTTCTTCAATAAATCAGTATTGCCTGTCAGGTCAATAAGATAAAGTGTTCCATGAATAAGTCATTATAGCAACTGACCCCATGCTGAAATTAATGGTTGTAACAACTGTAATGCCATGTTTTAAAGCACAGTGCGGGCCAAATGAATGGCCCTGCCGAATGCACAGCTCTGTGCAAGTAACTCTGCGTTCCCCGATACAATAAGAGCACCCAATGAATCGTCCCTGCCCAACCCTGCTATTCATACATCACGAGAGTTTTCCAATTTTCTGCTGGCATGTTCTTTTCTTTTCTTTTCTTTTTTTTTTTTTTTTTTTACAAGGATATAAATAAAGTCCCTGCAGCCTGAGCCCAATCGCATTACATGGCTGTGAGAGAAACACATGGCTAACAGATTGTCCCTCCAGTCAGCGACATGCAGCGCATTTCAATTACAGCTGTGCCGACAGCCTCATAACGACAACGACACAAAGACTGTCTCTTCCTTTGGCTCTGACTGCACCAGAGCAATGCAAAGCCCCCCACACAATCCTACAACCTGATGAGGCATCACTGGGCTCCGGCTTATTCACAGACTAAGCTAGTGTCTGTGAAAAATAGCGTGAGAGCAAGAACAAGATTGCATGTGTTTATTTTCTTGTGTTTGTGTGTGTGCATCTGTACAGTACAGTATGAATCCATGGGTGTCTGGACAGGGGAGGGGAGGAGTCTCTCTTACTGTTCTGCTGTGATGTATCCCTCCTCCTGCGGGGTGCACTGCACACCCGCCACCTCCACGTTGCCCTGCAGCTCAGAGAAGGACAGACCCAGGTTCAGGCCCTGGATGGTGACCAGTGTGCCCCCCTCTTGAGGTCCTGCCACTGGGCTCACCTACGTAAGAAGGAGGAGAAAGTGATGATTAAGAAAGGATTTTACGTACAGTAATGGGTCCTCAGATATCAGCTCATCAGTCATATCCCCCTCCATATAAATGAACACAAACCTGCAATGCAAGTAGAATTTCTATACAATAATGACTTGATAGTAGTAGTTTTTCATATTAGAGAATAAAATGTTGAGTTAAACTCCCAAAAATGTAATTAGGTGCAATTTTAGTTGAGAGTCACATGGTTTAAATGGTTATTCAATCCACAAAATGTAAACGTGGCTACTTTAGTACAAAAATACTGGCCCTCAAATACACGTATATCGCTTAAACAACACCTAAAACCATAGCACAGTATTGTAGTGCTGAGTCAACAGTGACTGGGCTTGCTTTATATTCTCAATTCTTTAGATTCTTTACAGAATCTTGAGTCCGCTTTACTTTGATTCACCATAGTCTTTGTAATCTCTATGTAAACATTAAGTACATATATCTTAAGTATATGTGAATTACTTAAAATCAAAAAGCCTTGAAATCCATAATTCAAAACAAACTTTAATGAATGATGCAGTGAATAGCAAAACCTTGAGAAACCCTATTCACAGTCCTTTCCAATGTAAAGTTAACCATCCCAGCAGGAAACCTTTGGACCTGCAGAGCAGAACAGGAGCGATGTCGGAGCAATACTCCCCCCACTCCCAAGCAACACCCGGTAGTTGATTCATTCTGCTGCAGCTCCTTCAGAAACACTAATAATGTGACAGGGACATCAAAGGCTCGCGGCTCTTTGAAGTGGAAGAGCCTCGCTTCTCTGTGCCTGACCCACTGCGCCTCATTCAAGAGAATGAACAGGAGTTTGTGACATAAAAGATCCATCACCACTTTCTAAACAAACTGAATTCGTTTAGCTGTTGAGCACTTTAGGTATTCAGCGGCCGTGGAATAAAAATGTGAGAAAGTCTCAGGTAAACAGACACTTGGATGGGAAACTGGATAAAGTTTGTGTTTGTTGTTGACTACCAGGAATATCCATCAAGATGTGCTGGCATACTGTTTTCTGATACTAAGCGGTACAGATAGACAGATGGCTGAAGAGGCTTGTGACTGGACATTTTGTACAAAGGCTTTAGCTCCAAAGCTCTTCCAGTAAAGGCAACAATAGAACTCAAATTGTGGTTTCCAGAAGTAAAAACTATTAATAATCACAGGAAATGTGGTTATGCTTACTCTATTTATGCATATGAACAAAACTGTGGTATATGATCCCAACTTAAAATAAAGCCTTAAGCCATAAAATGATGTTATTTTAACTTACTTTTCAAGAAGTCTTGTCTAATCCCACATTTCTGGCAAAGCACAAAACTGTCCAACAATATTAAACTGAGTTCTACTAATCAACTTTAAAATTTCCGCACAAATTACTACAATGCCATAATTGCTTTCAGCTGTCTTGTCTAGTTCAAGACTTAAAACTTTTATTACTTTGATTTTTTAAAATATAGTTGGAGAAAACAAATGGAACATTTTGTTGAAGAAATCCCTGCTTCTGAAAAAACTAATGACTAAATAAAGCTGCATTCTTAGTTACTGTAACTACTAAACACACATTTTGAGTTTACACAATTTATTTAAATGTACTATATGTGTAAGCTTTGTGGCATGACCGACTAACAGAGTAACTGACTGACTTACTGGGAAACAGCCTAGACAAACACACAACAAACCTCAGTAATGCGTGGGTTGGTGCACTTGACATTCCTGGCAGAAAGGTTGAGCCAGCGGCTAGCGTAGGGGGAGATGGGAAGACAGTGCTGCTTCATGGTGCACCGTCCCTCGCCACTACACCATCCACACTGGAACTTCCTCTCTGCCCGCAGACACATGCCACAGCTGTCCCGCTGGGCGCTGCACTTGTAGAGGTGCACTGGTAAAATATCAAGTAATTTCACATATATTGATGTCTGAAGCTGAAGCTTGAAGAATATTCTGCAACATTTGGACTAGCAGGGAATGCCATTACAGTTCGATCTACCAACTAATCATCAAATCAGAATGCATTCTTCAGTCGGCATTTACATTCAACTCCAGAAATAACTCGCTGCAACCATGGACAGTTAACATGTGAATTCAATAAAATCCATAAAACGTATGTTTGTTTAAGTTCCTCCTTAAGTGTTAAGAAAAAAGATGGTGTATTAATCCAATAAAGCTTTCTTTGAAGTCTGTCTCTCATATCCTATCTCCTGTAAGTAGCCTTTATTTATGGCCCATATAAAGTAACTTACCCACGTCATGACAAGGCCTGTTCAGATTCATGGCTGTCACTGTGTATATCCTTGGTAACAGGGATATATTTGATGTACAACCCACAATGACAACTGACAAACACCTTTTTCTTGCATGATGATGATGAAAAGGAAACCAAGAGAGGCTGTGATAGCCAAACTGAGAAAATATGAAGATTCACCCTTTATCCTTCTGGGCACACAAGTGATTGGGTGTTTTTTGATAACACTCCCTGCTATTGTGAACTTTCTCTCAAGGCCCTTTGGAAGCCTTGAAGTGATCTCTATGACCCATCTATCCCCTGTGGATTGAGTGCTTTACACTTCTCTGGCCTGGCATTGATGGATAGCAAAGGCACCTTTAATCTTCTCGGGATTGTCGATGATGAAATTGCCGTTCCATACGATGGAGAGGTCCACTGCCAGGTCACTGATCTTCACACCCTCGTACATGTACTGAAAAGCAGAAACAGAGAGTGAGGGAGTGTGCAGTAAATGGATCCAGAGTGAGAGAAAGTCAAAGAGAGACAGAGGATAGAGTAAAATAAAAAAAAAGATACAGAGAAAGACAGAGTGGGGTAAAATGAGAGGATGAAAGGGCAGCAGAGAGACGAGGCTTTTAACCATCTGTCATTTCTGCCATGGCTGTCTGCTCCTCTCCTCTTTGACATGTAGGGACGCAAACCCTGCCTGGGGTGGCCGATCATCCACATCTGAGGAAAATGGCCTTTTCATTCATTGTCACAGAGTAGCAAGGTATGCTTTGCATTAAAATTTAGCCTATGATTTGCATTGTGCAACAATATTCCCCAAAAAATCACCTTTATTCATTCCAAACCTGTCACTGTCTTTTGGGAGCATCACATTTATGCTTTGTCAACACCTAGATGTTAGTCTGACAATATCCAGCATAGCAGACAAGATCACGTTGGAGTTAAGGTTTCAATCCTTTTGATTTTAACCACTTTTCCTTCTCTTCTCATCCATCCTTCCTTCTTTTCCTGCCACTCTCTTCCTTTCTATCACATGCTTTACACTTTTTCTCATCACTCTCACTTTCGCTTTCCACTACTTTCTCCTCAGTATGCTCAACACCTCAGGCGGTATTCACTGATGTACCCTATGTACCTTGCCTACACAGCATCCAAGCTGTGTGCCTCACTTGACAGCTGTGAGATTCCCACTGGGAGTGTTTGAGGTCATACCGAGCTGTTCTGGCACTGCACACTGGTGCTGTTGAAGCGCAGCGCTGTGACACGGTGGCTGGCACCCTGCACATGCACCACGCACTCGTAGCCACGCTGGCCCGACTGCGGCTGGGGAAGATTTCGGGCCCTCAGGGTGATGGGTCGGACCTCACCGGCCGGAATGAGAATTTCCCCAGAGTTTAGGAGCTGAGGGCAATCCTGTGAAAACAACATACAAACACTGTACTATTCATAGTAATAAAAGGCATATTTTTCCATATCCCTGCTGTTATGCCTCAATATTATGCATAAATACATAAGTAGTATTTTCATAACTAGTTTTCCCTTTGGAGATTAATTTAATTATGTATCAACAGTATGTAGGCCTCTGTCTTTCTGTGTCTGTCTGGCTATCTCTCGTATGTAATCTGTATTAATACATATGAATGTGGTTTATAAACATGAAGGGCTTATGTAGCACTGGGATTAATGTGGCAAATAAATTGTTAATCCAAATATAATTTGCATTCATATGCTACAGGATATGTCTACATGTTTAACTATATGTAAGACTGTGAGACTAGTCCGTTGTAAATGTGTATACAACCATATTGTTTAGGATTATTTAGGACAATACTTTTTGTCAATGTATTTGGTTTTCAACAGTAAATTCTTTTTGTATATTGTAATCCTCTTATTGTAATGTCAATAATTTTAAGCCAGCCTGGCTATTGGGATTCCCTGTCGGAGGGATAATTTAGTAGAAATTCATAGTTCCTAGACGATAAATCCTAATGTGATCCCCTGACTTTTCCTAAAGGGCCATCATGAGATTGAAATTTGTGGTTTTTAATAAAATATCTCAACAATTACTGGGTAGATTGCCATGAAATTTGGTGGAGACAAATGTCCCCTTTTTAATAACTGTTGGGCCTCTGTAAATAATCTTATAAAGAGTACAGTCTAGACCTACTCTATTTGAAAAGTGTCCTGAGATAACTTTTGTTATGAATTGGCGCTATACAAATATCATTTTATTGAATTGAATTAATTTAATTACATTGTTGATCCTACAACTTTTCATGTAGCGCTATCATCAGGTCAAATTTCTAATTTGTCCAGTACTTTGTTTATGACAAAATACTCACAAAGCCAGTAGACATTCCCATCAGCCTCAGCTGTACTTCGTGTTTTGCACAGTGACAGTATGGTTTTGGGCTAATTAGCTCATGTTAGCATGCTTACACATGCTTACCAAGTGGTAAACATTATACATGCAACATGTTAGCAATGCTATTGTGAGCATATTACCATGCTGACACTAGCATTCAACTCAACACACCACTGTTTGTTAATACACAGCCACAGAGAGCTGCTAGCATGGTTATACAGTCTTAGTGCAGCTATGTTTTCATATTTAAATCACAGCTTGTGCCTTTAAGGTAAAAGTGTCACACGGGAACAGATAAATTGTGCACTTGAAAGCTACAATTTAATCAGCTAATGAAAATGTAACTCACGCTTAATGTGAAGGTACAGTACCTCTGAGGCGTTCACTCTGCCCTCCTGGAAAGAACAGCTGCTGGGGTCGTGGGTGCACAGGTTGCGGTATTTACACCAGTGGCAGCGAAACGTGCTGTTTACACAGGACAGACACCTGCAGGACAAAATGTACGCGTTGCTACATACTGCAACATCGTGTTCTGCATTTACACAGTATGTAAAATAAAATATGAATATCAGCTTTATATCTATTCCCTACCCATCATCTACATCTTCCTCTCCTGGGTGAAGAGGATTGAAAAGAGGAGACTGAAAGGATTATAGCTTTCTGATGAATTTATCTTGTCAGAGTGCTTCATGGAAAGTCAGTCAAGATATTCAATCAGATATTCCCAGTTTCTATGCAGACACAACATGAATGGCCTTTTTGTTGTAGATGATAATATATGACCTTAAACATTCTGAAGTCTTTGACAGTAACTGTTCACTTGAAGCACTCTTTGTGTTGCAATAGTTGTTACAGTGCTATCTAAAAATGTATAATATATCTAACAAGGACACTGTGTTTCCTTTTTATACATATAGTAATAAAGCTGACCTTTTAATTTCATAATTCATTTAGTTTTTGGTTTTTTTACAAACTTGCTTTTTGACTAGACATTTTTGAAGTCACTCGTCCAACTTTGGATTATACACAAAATCTGGAATGAAAGTGACCATATTTGATGGGAAGAATTGCACAGCATCTTTGGCTGTGACTCTGTCAGCTGTAGCCAGCGGTCAGTTGTGGATTAAAGCTGTGCTGAAACAACCTTGTAAGACTGGATTTAATCACATTTCATTCAACAAACAGGGATGTGATTGTGATACAACTTTGGGTGGAGAACCTTGAGGTATAGAGATGAGAGAGCAGAGATGTATGACGCACAGCTGTTGATTTAACAAACATTGCAATTGGAAAGCTGGAAATTGAACATGTCCTATTTTCCTGGGGGTGGGGGTGCAGACTTTTCTGTGTATAATAGAGGTGCACCACTGTGCACAAAACAGATCCATGCACTATCAGAGTCTATTCTCCCAAATTTGGTCATGCACTGAGATGAAACCATGAAGAAACTATAAAACCACCAGCAGTACTCCAATACTGCAGCTCATAGCAAGCTACAAATGCCAATATATGTAGTGCAGCACCATTAAATTTTGATATTAATTAGCTGCCCAGGGCCAGAACGGACATAAAAATGTGTGCATGTGTGTGAGTGCGAAAGAAATTTGGGGGGTTGGGTATTAATAGAACTGGACTGGCAGGGAGCTGCAAACACTGGATAATTAATTATGGAGGGTGATGTGATGCTGAGGTGATGGTAGTGGGGGAGGTGGGGGAAGAGGTGCTGGGTTAGAAGTGTGTTTGGTCTGAAATATTAATCACAGGAGTTCACAGGGTCACTCCGCAGCTAATGGAGGCCGTATTGGTGTGGGGCGGATGTGATGAGCTTCCGACTGTTTCTCTCTAATGGCTTAATATGGTTATATTGGGGCATTCATGTCGCAGTCAAAGAGCATTTTGAATAGGTGGCATGTGTGTCCACTGTGGGCTAATTTCCCAGGTTTGGCTGTGAATACATCATCAATCAAATGTTCCCTCCTGGAGTGCACTTGTATTGTATATCCATGAATCCAGCTTTTGTGTGCTCGTAGTTCAGTATAATTCAGGGCACGGTTAAATGTTAGTGAAGTGAACATGTGTGGCTGTCAGTTCAAATCTCAATAACACTTCAAAAAAGAAAGGAAATATTACTTTCCCACTCTCAGCTATGACTGTACCGTTCAGAAAGTGAAAAAGTTTATGATAAAGGTCTTTAACTAATTCAGCACTGTGTAATTTGGCCTTTCTGGAGCTTTGTTAACTGTCTTCTGTTGCTGTGAAACTTGCTGATTTGCAGACTTTGTTTAATGCTGACAAATACTGCTAATTGGCATTCGTCCTAATAAGATCCACCTTTGTAGCAGTGTTTGTAATTGTTATTCAGATAGAAACACTCTTGTCATAGTTTACTGTTACGGTAAATACAGTTGACATTAGCATAATGGCTCAAAATCAAAGCAGCTTCTCTGCCCAGTCAAGAAGCTTATATTGGCAGGGTAGGACAGATGAGCATTTAAATGAAGTCCTCCTTAATTTACATTACTTTATCTACCCTCAAGGCACCAGGGCAAGGCTAAAAATTTAAAATGTCTTATGTGTCATATCTTACGACAAACACAGTTCTCTGGCAGGGCCCCTCAGGACAAAGTCAAGTCAAAAAAGGGGTGTGTGAGTCTAATGCAAGTCTAATGCTTATCTATTTAGGGGTCCTTGGGGACTGCTGGCCTACAGCAAAGCACACTCAGCTGCACCTCAGCTATGAACAATGAAGGTTTACTAGACAGCTGCCAGGTGTGAATATGTATAAAGTATTCCATAGAAAGAGCATATATGCTTTGCAAAATATTTGTGTATAAAAAAGAATAAAGCATTAATGTTTTGTTTTAGAATGACTGACAGAAAATCTGTTGTTATTTGTATTTAAAGCTGTAAACAATGAGCCCACAAACTGCCAGTTTAAGCAAAGTCGAAGGAAACAGGCCATGGCAAATGCATCATGTTGATTTAAATTAAACCTGACAGATAAATTGAACTCAGAGGTTATCTAACAGCCCGATCTTAAGTGGAGTTGTGAGCATCAGTACATCATTGCCCTAAATTAAGTTGTGCTCTTCCGTCTATTGAACGAATCAAAAGGGGGGGGAGAGAGGGAGGGGCGGTGGCAGCTGGACTCACGTTTTATGTGTGCTGCAGTTGTAGAACTTCACCTCTGTGCTGGCGACCATTTGACCTGTTTCCTTTGAGTTCAGACGTAGCTCCACGCCAGCCCAGTCTGAGAGAGAGAAAGTGGGGGGGGGGCAGAGAGAGCAAAATGAGTGAAAGAACAGAAAGGGAAAGAGAGAGAGAATGGAAAATATGTGAGAATCGATGGGAGGGGAGAACAGCGTGAAAAAGAGGTGAGAGAGAGAGACAAAAAGGATTGGTGAGAGAATGAAAACAATGAGCGAAAAGAGGAGGTCAAAATGAGAAAAAAAATTTTAATACTTTTATCACACTTCTGTAAAGAGCCACCTGGTGTCTGCGTCTCTGCAAGGGCATATTGCTGTTGTCGTGAGAAAACCTTCAGTCAGAAACTTCAATTGAAGGATTACTGTATGTGCTCTGAGAAAATTCTACTGCTCCTTGGTACTTATCAAACTCTTTGGATAAACAAAATTGCAAGGTGGTCAATTTGAAAAGAGGGCTATTTTTTGTGTCTGGAATATTGATATTTTAAGTTTTCCACCTGACATTGGCATCACCCTCAATCTGTATATGCGGGTCATTACCGTAGTTTATAAATTCATTCATCATTATTTGTTTACGTCGACACATGATGACAGCTCACCTTGTCCTTCTGGTATCTGAGGGACCTCCTTCCCTGCTGGGGACAGACACATGACCCTGTTCCCGTTGACGTGACCCTCCACTTGGGCCTGCTGGCCAAATGAGCAGGTGATTCCAGCAGAAAGGTCTGGAACGTTATTCACCTCCAACAGAAGCTAGAAGAATAGGAGAGGGTGAAAATTGAATGTACCGAACTAGAGACTGGCCTGGTGCACTGGGACATGTACCTTGATAAGCACTGAGACAGAGCTTTGACAGTAAAATATAACATTTTACTGTAGTTTTTTCTTTAAAGGAGCAGTTCTATTTTTTGGGAAATATTTTCGTATCCATTTTCTTGCCGACAGTTTTCTCTCCATTCTTGTTTCTTTATGTTAAATATGAAGCTTGAGCCAGAAAGTGGTTAGCTTACCTTAGCATTCCCATTTCCAAGACTGGAAACAAGGAAAAACAGCTAACCTGGCTCTGTCCAAAAGAAAGAAAATCTGGCATATAGGTATCTCATAAGATCATTTATTATTGAGTTAAATCTTATTGGAATAATTCATACATAAACCAATTCGAAAAGAAACCCATAAAATAGACCCCAGGAATTTATACTTTTTTTTACGGATCAAACAAACAAGATATAAAATTTGAATTAGTGAGCTTAAGGGGTGCTGGTAGGCAGGGGTTGTTACATTTGGTCACAGGCAGGCTAGCTGCTTCCCCTGTTTTTCAGTTTTTGTGCAAAGCTAAGCGAACTGGCTGCTGGACCCAGCTGCATATTTAACAGGCAGATACAAGAGTGGTAATCTTCTCATCTAACTCTTGGCAAGAAAGCAAGTAAATGAATTTCCCAAAATGTCAAGCTATTCCCTTAAAATAATCCTTAGCTCCTACTGTACGTTTCTCTTTTGTGCTCATGGCTACTGTGCAAAACAGTTGAATAAAGCTTTTAGGAAATGTAATCAACCCTTTGGCAGATGCAGAAAGAGTAGCTCACTGCCACAAACAAAACTCCCACCTACTTTTTTTTTTACTTTTGTCTCCCATCCCACAACACATGTGTCTGAACCAAAATAAATAGAGTGAATACCATACAGGGAGAATCACCCTTCTCTCTCCCTTCACCCCTCACAAAACTAATCTTCTCTACCAGGCTTATACTTACTGTACATGTAGCTGTACAAGGCTACTCTCAGCAATTGCTCATAAACATCGGCATTGTGAGTGGAGTGACAGAGCAGTGATTGGTGGAATGATAAGCAGACTCACAGGGACACTATGTGCTGATACAGCAATGCTGTCTGGGTGAGCGATGACCTTCACACAGCGGTCAATGTCAGTGGCGAAACGGAAGGTCTCCTCCGCCCTCTGACACCGATCCCTCCTGGAGCACCTATGGAGCAAGAGAGACTTATCATTAAACTTGCTGCACTATTTTATACATTTTTAATTATGAATCATGGTCAGCAAACTCTGTGGCTATATGGCTCTATATAGAAGTCCATTGGTCCAGACTAAAATTTCTCGACAACTCAAGGATATGTTGCCATGAAAGTCTGTACAGACATTTTTAACAGGCACCATGCCCAGAGGATGAAGTCTACTGACTGACTGGTGATCCTGGGCCTTTCCTTTTGGTGCTGCAACGAGATTCACATTTGTAGTTTTCAGAAATGTCAAAACAACGGATGGATGGATGGTGGATGATGGATGCCATAAAACCTGATACAATCTCAAAATGGTTGGTGATAACCAGATTTTTTTATCTAGCGCCATCAAATTTAAATTTCAGTTTGTCCAAACCCCCCCCCATATTTCTGACATTCACGTCAGCCTCAGTTGTACTTTGTGCAAATTAGCAAGTGTTAGCATGCTAATGCTTAACCGAGATAATGAACATATGGTAAACATGATACCTGCTAAACATCAACATTTTAGTAGTTATCATCGTGAGTATATCAGCAGCACAAAGCACAGCTGTGCCTGAGCCTCACAAAGCTGCTACCATGGCTGTAGAAGGCCTTGTTACATTTGTACATGAACAGCAAGAACAAAAAGGGAATAGTGAATGTCATGTTTGAATTAAAGTTGAGGTGACATCTGTAGACATCTATAAATGTACCCTGAAGCATATTATGAAATATGGATGTATCTCAGATATCAATTTAGAACTATTTGTAAAGCTGTTTAATGCTTTTCTATTTCTTTATTTTTTAACATGGTCCTGCAAGATGCTTGGTCAGATAATTCCCTTTACATTTCTACTTTTCTGCAGAGCAAATTACACTGTCGAGTGCAACAGTAGAATAAGCTTCAACTCCTAGATCCCAACAGGCAATTAAAAGTAAGAAGTGAAAGTGCTGGTATCATAGTGTGACCTTAGAATAATTTTGTTAGAGAGAAATGCAAAGTAGAAGTTCATTTAAAGTCGAGGAATTGAACAGATTTTTTTTAACTTTTAGCAATTTGTCCAGTTTTAGAAATAGGGATTTGTTGTTGAAATACTTTTTAATGTGATTATATTGATACTGATTTCTCTGAAAGAGGCATTATAGGAGTTAGGTCTCTGCAGGCTCTGATAGTAACCGACTGTATTTAAACATAAACACTGATTTAAAAAGAACAAGAGCTTCTCAGCTGCGGAGTTAAATTGTAATAGCAAACTCAGAGAATATTTTGGCCGTACACCATCATCTCTTCTTTCTTTTAAATGTGTAATGCGCAGAGCGAGGGGAGATAGTACTTAATACACTCTCAGATGCTGTTGAGGGGGTGGCACCTCCTGAGAGAGCTCAAAGAGCACTGAGGCCTCTGCTGTAATTACAACACAATATAAAGGCGGAATGGAAACGCGGTGACAGCTGTTGCTGGCTCGGCTCCTTGAGGCGGACCAGAGCCACAGGAGTATAGACAGTCACCCTCTGACCGCTCATCAGCTGAAGTGCCTCCGAAAAAAAGAGGATGCCTTTCATCTCTCATCTCTTTTATTCACTGTGTTTTGTCTGATGGAGCCATTTGTTCCCTTTTCCTTCAGGCTTTGTACATGTTCAGCTACGCCCCCCCACACACACACTGTCAGATAGGTGCTTTGGTGCACTGTGCCAGGGGTGGGAAAGTGAGATCCTAAAAGAGGTCTGCACGACACTCTGTGAGAGTCATTCAAAGGCTAGAAAAATACCCCAATCTGGATTTAATAGAGAGAAAAATAAAGTGGCCTCATTCTGCAATGTGAGGGATCATGATTCAGTTTGGGTTACTTGAGGGAACAGCAGCCTATCTATTTGCTGATAAGTGTAAGGCATTAATTTAAATAAACAGTGTAATGGGACTTGCAGACAAAGTCAGCACTCAGGAAAGAAGGAGGAACAACTGTTTAATGAGGTAATTTAGATTAAAACAAAACATTATTTTTTTCCTCTCACTTTGCTGGCCATTTGATAACACTGAGAGCTGCAATTTAAATACTGCTGATCATCATCAAGATATTGCTAGCTGAAATGCAGACGTCATATGATGAGGCGGGGGTAAATCCCCAGCTGAGGTCAGCCTCAAACACAGCAGCAGCTGGTTCATAAAAACACAGGGTTTTAATCTCCTGAATCCCCTTTGCTCCATATCGAGGTATTATGCAAGCTAACCTGGGGGTCAGATAATTAAGATGGAAGAGATAAGCTTGCTCCGTCAGGTCCAAAATGTTCCCCGGGTATGTAGAGGTGCAGTTTATACACCCGCTGCGACTCACAGGCTAATCCGTCCCTCCTCCATTAACACCAGTCATACTCTCGCCTGACAGACAATCAAATCTGGTGGGCATGCAGTTTCTGCTGTCCTAAATAGTGCTATTTAAGAGGGATCACACTGTCCTACAACCACTTCCTGGTTTTCTGTTTGTCCCACCAGCTGTTGATAATGGTGAACTCCAGGAAGCACAATAAGTCTGCTATATTAAACTGTACAAATCATATGACCACATGCTTAGCCTTATTTATAGCTTTCTACGAGCTGTTTGGTAAACAGTAATGTTGTGGTTTTAATCCCTTGGCTGTGATGTGTGTATGTGAGCATGGGAGAAAAATAAAGGAAAACAGACTCACATGTTATAAAGGACACACCAGCCACAGTGGGGGTCACCAGAGCTCAGACACTCAGCACATGTACTGTACTGCTCACAGGCTTCCACAGGGACCTGAGCCACCTAAACCAGAGGAATACACAGGTAAATGATTAAAAACAGACAGGGTTTCAAAAAAGTGAATACAACTTTCTTTGAATATCACACTGACAATCATCTTTTGTCTGTAAACTTATGGACATGATTCCAGTGGCAGCCTTCTTGAGTTTAGACACACTTAGGGTGGGAAAGTAATATATCATCCATATCATACAATCTTTATTTTTAAGGTAATTGTCGGGGTATAGGAAACACTGGAAGAGAGAGAGGGTGTATGACATGCAACAAAGGTCTCAATGCAACTTTATGGTAAGTGTCCCAAACCACCAGGACACTCCATATAGTCTTAAAGGAATATGCAAACATGTGGCATTCAATAAATTCTCCTACATGCATAATAAATGACTGAATAATGGATCTGAACCCTGGGGGTACTACAATGATTTCTATAATTCTATCCAAAAATTACACCTATATTCAAAAGGGAACTAGATGAAATAAAACTAATTTTGTCTGACTTGCCCATGGTTCAATTATACTATTGTGCAGAAGACTTCTAATTTTTAACACTATATAAATGTAATTCTAAAATTAAAAAAGTAAAAAAAAGTCTGCCATGTGGAAATAAGGTCAATAAAGACATTCTGATGGCAGTTTTGATGAGGAGAGACCCAAGCCCATTTCTTCATGTTGTCTGATTTGCAATATATGGAAGCTTCATCACAGCTCACACTGTAGAATATCCCAGAGAAAACAATCCATTATTACTCTACTTCTTGCTGCTGACACAAATTTGCAACATGCAGCATTGTGGTTCTGCCCACCAGCTTTTTCCCCCAGATGTCAGAAAGCACATGAAATGACACCACAACTATGTGAGAAGCATTTTTTGCAGCAATATTCTAATTTAACTTTTCTTTATGACATTTGAATATAAACTATGTTCTTGGACTACTAAATCATCACGCTTTGTGGAGTCCTGCAGTAGTAATTAAACTCTGAGCACACACTAAAGGTTTATGCTGCTATTTTGCACACACAGGAGCACACACAGACAACCACACACTCTACTACTGCTGCCACTTCCATGTGTGAATGTCTGGCAAAGCATAAGCTCTCCATTAGCTGCTGTGAGAGTCGCTGCTGTCGCACAGCCAGCACCACCCCTGCATACAAAACCAGGTTGGAGCAGCAGCCTGAGCCCGGTTATTTTATACTTTGTTATTATTCGAGGTCTGGACGTATGATGCAAGCAATTTCCTGATGTAAGCAATCACAAATGAAGAGTGGATTATGGATTAGAGTGTCTCCGGTGCTCTTGATAGCATAAGTGGGTGCTCTCTCAGGTCTGTGTTGGCAAAATGGATTATCTGCTGCTCCCTATGAAATAACTTTCTCTCTTTTTTTCCAGCAGTTCAGAACCCATTCGGTGCATTCCATTAGCAAAATGATTTTGTAGTGCAGGAGGGGCAGAGGGTTCCAAGTTCATATGTGACGCAGTTGGAATAATCCATGAATTGTTGTGAACGGGAGCCTGTCTACTAAACTAACCAAGTTGGTCTGAGGCCGTTGGGCTGCGTGACCTTTACAAGGGGAGAACTATGGATCTTCTGTTTTCTGTTGCCCGACTAAGAATCAAATGTGAAGCTCTCGCCGTACATCAGCGTTGATTTGTTTAGTGGAACTGACCTGAGCAGGGATGCACTGTGTTGAATCCAAATAAGATCAAAAGACGTGTCCTTAGGTTTAATGTTCATATGGTCTAAAAAAGCAGTGCAGCGCATTAGAATCAGTATATCAGTTACATTGTAGAGTAGGGATGTGCATCTCAATAATATATGATTCCCCTCTATAGCGATGCAGTGTGAGTTGACACAATTTGATTCATCGCGTGCAATTCAGCGAGATGCATAAGAATGTGATGCTATGTAAATCAGTATGGTACAGATAGATTTTTATTTCTTTGGTTCTTCTTAAGCAGCTTGAGAAACAGTTTAAAGGACTAAAGGTCTAAATATAAAACTATTGGTCACAAATTACTAGTCACATTTCTTGATAATTAAGGCAATTAGAGCCTCTATTAATACATTTTACCAATGCAAAGATATTAGAAATGATGCATCCTGATTTGATCCCAAATTGTATCCAGTGTACACTTTTAATCGGTGCAATTTCATCTTGAACTTTTATGCCGGTGTACTAATGCACATCGGTTAATCTTACCACTCCTTTGTAGAAGATGTTGTCTTAAGATTGTGTTTTGGTGTTTCGCCTTGATAGTGACAGTTTAAGTACAGGAAGAAATGTGGGCGTGAGAGAGGTCCCTGGCCAAACTCAAACGGGTGACGTTGTAGTTATATTTGTGTCTTATTCACTAGGTACTTTGTAGATTTACCTAATAAAACCCTAAAACAAGAAAAACTATCGCCTTAAAAATGAGGGTTGATTCAATTCATCTCTGGTATTCAATATCAGATTTGTTCAAATGTTTTACTGACATAAGTATGCACGCTGCTCTTTTTTATTAAGTGAGATAGATTTTTTTGTATGCAACAAATATTTAAAAAGGGTTTAAGTGTTGTAGTTGATGCTCGTTTATCTAATTGATAGTATACCCAAAGAACATGACAGAAATTCTGAATGAGAGGCTGTGGGCTAGCAGTACTCCGGCTCTCGGTTGAATTATAATATAGTGCAGATCTTCCTTTAATTGTGTCCAGCCCAATGACAGTGACCATATAATATCTATACATATAAATGTAATAATATATGGGAGATATTTCCATGATGACTTTTGCGGTTAAACCTAAATTGAAGGATACCATTTTTGGTTAATAGTTCATATTGTAGATGGGGTTCATTTCACAGTCCAGTGCATATACTATGTGCATCCCTATCATCTTTCTATAATTGTGGATGACTGAATTAAGCCCTCAGCCTCAGTTTATGTTCAATGTAATGTTGATGCCTCATAAATTATTCATGACCAGACGCAGTATGTTGTATTTCTCATCAAGCTCAAGTTTGTTTTGTCTTCTCTGGGATAATTTCTTCAGGAGAAACTGATCATTTAAAGCAAACACAGAAAACCAAAGAAAACCCTCCACCGTTCCTGAGAGGCGAAGTTTCAGGCTGGCTGCTTTTGAATGTTTTTCAGCATCGTATCATGGCAATGCCGGATGATCACGTCCACTTTTCCAGCTCCGGGAATTACAAAATCTTTATCTTTTCACAACATCTGGTATGCCCTAATGCTCAAACTTATCATCTCACTATCACTTTAACGCTTTGATCCGGATTTAGTGGAACTTTATGAATGCTGTCAGATGAGCATACAGGCTTTTAGACCTCCACTGTCATTCTATATCCTCAGTCTGGCTCTGGAAAATCCACAGCCATCACGTGACCACCTGGGGTGGTATCCAGGGTCATATCCAGGGTTTTGTGCTTTTAGGACAGAAATTAAAACAAAATTGAAAGAAAGAAGTAATTGTAATATGTATGAACAAATGAGTAGTTTTCCTAAAATTCAAAAACAAAAATCCTTATTTGAAATTGAAACTCATGAATCAAAGAAAACAAATACGAACAAATGTCTTGGCTGACTGGGTATGAACATTTCAACAGACTAGATCACATATAACACAGATTGCTGTTTAATTTATATTCCTCATCATGTGGACTTCTTGCTTTGACATACTGCAGAGCACACACCATTCAAAATATTGATATGTGACATTTTATGAAATAATTCTTCAATCACTGACTGTATTATCATGCAGTAGCTTAACTCATACAGTAAGTAAAATAGGATTACATGCTGGTGTGATCTTTAGCCTACTAACTTTCACAATACTGGGTCAAATATCACTTGAACATCATCTGCTGGTATTGAGGGTTCAACAAAACTAGTAAGCAAGCAAGCAGAGTTGAAATAGATAAAAAAAAAAAAAAAAAAGCAGATAAATGGTTGTACTGGTTGTGTGCCAGTGGTAACTTACTTACAAAACAAACGAAAAATAACAATTGTAACCATATTGTCTTTTATATAGGAATAATAAATGAATGAATCAGGTCAGGATCTGATAGAACGGTAGAGGTACGTCGGATTAAAAAAACACTGCTGTACAGTATGCTCACATACAGGGGAGAGAGGGAAGAAAGAGGGATTTCAAGCAATGATTTTACATTTTACAGAGTGGCACTTTGAGAGATTGCCCTGGAAAAACCCTGCAGCAGTTTCCCCCCCTTCTCTAAGGTTTAAAGCCTTAGCCATCATTTTAGTAGACAGACGAGTGACATTCAGTGAGGTTATTGTGTGTTTGAATACCGAGAATTTCTATTCTGAGAAATGATCAAACTAAAGGCACACAGTGAGAAAAAAGATTAGCTGCTATAAAGATTTTTTTTTTTTTCATATCAATAATGGTCCCCAAATGATGTTTTGGTGCGGACTCAGATACACACACTCAAACACATATATCCACGCAGACACACACACTGATTCCCTCCTTTCTCTCTTGACTCTTCATCATCATGCTAACCCTGCGTGTTTCACTCGGCAGGAGACACAGAGGCTCATTGTTATTCCACAAGGGTCGGCTGATCTCAGCCAAATCTGTCTGTGCCTCGCTCCTCATTCCATATCATTCCTGTATTGTTTGGCTCCCAGGAATCAGAAAATCTCTCATCTCTGGGATCTACTGGAAATGTGGGAAATCTGTGAGTGAAGCCCTGTCCCTGGGGGATTCCTTACTTGAGCTGCGGCAAAGTCTGAAGGGAAAGCTGAGCAAAGATGGAGAGGGAGACAGAAAGAGGAAGAGGCTTTACTCTGCGCCGAGCTCCTGAGGGCTACAAAGCCAAAGCTGTTCTAATATTGAGAGAAAACGCCTGGCCAAGCTGGGTTTGGTTTTTTGCTCCGTTATTATGTGTCACTGGAGGCGGACTGAAAACAGTAGCTGGCTATCTCCTTGAAGGAAGCATGTGTCTCTCCTTGAACGACCAGAGCTCATCAATAAGTGATGTCCTGTCTCTTCCAGTCCATCACAGAGGAGGAAGAGCAGCCTTGATTTGTTTTAAAAGACGGTTCCAACACAGTACTGTCTCTATTCTCCCTCACTTTTCAGATGACATCTCTTGTTTTCTTAAAGTTGATGCTTTTATAGGTTTCAAGACTGTTTTTTAAAGCTCCGAGAAAAGAGTTTTTGGAGCCACTCTGAAATAACTGACACAGCTGCAAGTGTCCCAGTGCCCTTTGCCTCTCTGTCCTGTGACTCTGGTTCAATACATTCCAGCAGTCAGAAGACAACTGAGAGCAGTGATAGGGGCTTTTTTTTCCTGGCCGCACTGACACCTAATCCCATTTCACAGTGCCATGCAGCCGTGCCAAAATAATCACTTGATGGGAGTTGAAAGTGATTACCACTGTTCACTCTTATCTCCAATGAGTGCAGAGAATATCGTCCAACAACAACAACAACTGCTCGCCTCTGTGATGCCGGGCCAAGTGAGGAGCAGACGATGGGGGATACAGACACACAGGAAAAAAAGGCGCTAATGGTTTTCTATGGGATGTGTGTGTGTGTGTGTGCGTGTGTGTGTGTGTGTGTGTGTGTGTGTCCCATACAAAAGATGCATGCACTGTAAGTCGATTCGCATGGATAAGTAATTAGAACAGTGGTCCATCCCCTTACACCGAGCCTGCATATTTAACAAACCCTACTGTAGACATACAGCTTGTGAATGTTTGGGAATTGCCACACTGGATTTTGGGGATAAGTCAAAATCATCTGTTAGGATTCCAAATAAATGACATTAATTTATCATTCAATATAAATGAATGTTTTTGGTTTGAAACTGTTTTACTGCTAATTCCCCAAGTGTACACAGTAATAAGACTAACTGTAATGCTGGTATCTGTGCAGAAAAAAAGCCAAATATTCCTTTTTGCAATATCCTGATAAACTGGATCCAATTAAATCCTCAACAAATAGGAATACTTGTGAGTTTTGTACGTAAATACACATGTAAATACCTATATTTTATGTTTGTTTGGACAATTTTCATTGACCCAATGGCAAAAATTTCTTCCATGTCAGGTAAAACTTTTGACTCCAAAAGTCATGCTGCACATACAGTATCTCACTCAAGGACGTGTCAGCATAGCGAACGCTCACTGTCACTGGGGCTTGAACCTGCGGGCTTCCAGCTGAAGGACGGCCTCGCTACACACTACATCACGCTACCACTTGGCGTTTCTCCTGACAGCAGCAGCAAAATGAGGGCGTTTCCTCACCTGATTGTCAGCCATGACATAGAGAGAGTTCCTGTCAAGGGAGAAGGCCATGTCCCGGAGGATGGGGCTGCTATCCTTCATCACGGTCACTGTCTCGTACAGCACTCCTCCCTCCAGAGGACCGTCCACTCTGATCTGCAGAGACACAGACAAATACAGAGAGAAAGAAAACAGTGAATGCCTCGCTTCAGGACAAAGTGACTAAATGGTTGCACTAAATTTGTAGTGTAACATCTGTTGCTTCCCATTGCCTCTGTATACAAGCTCCCATTGTCCCTCTAAAACACTGGCATTATGAGAAGATATTCTTTAAATGACAGCTTTATAAGAAATGAGCAAAACAGCATGTTTTAAATTTGATGACCACCCAATGTCACTTTAATCTTACAGAGTCTGGTAAGTTTTCTTGCTTCAGATGGTTATAAAACTTGTAGGGTGGGTTTCTTCACTTTGTGGCGATTGGAGCAATGACAAACATTTCCAGTAATTTCGGTGCATTGTGAAGCAAAAACCATGAAAAGTCTATTCACATCAGTCAAACCATTTCCACAGAATCACCAAGTGTACGAAATGAATCTGATAATGACTAATCAGCTCTAAATAAACTCTAATAGCAATCAATTAGAACATTAGCTCATTAACAGAGAAGCTAAACAAAACACTTATCGTTGATATTATGAGCGTTAGCATGTTAGCAGGAAAAGAAAAATAATCCCCCTCCCTTCAATTAAAACTTTTGGGAAATGTTTTAGTCTTGCCAGACTAGATAAAAGATTATAAAGAGAGGCCAAGGACATGTTTGGTCCATGTGTTTAGTCTTAAAGCAGGGCAGGGGGAACTGCTGGCCTCCACCAAAAGAGCACACCCGCAAAGATTTCCAACGTTTCTCATGTTTACATGTTGCATCTTGTTAGCTAGCAGGCTAGCCAGAAATATGTTTATCAACTAGGTTTTGTTTAGAGCTATGAAAGCATCCAAGGAGTCACTGTGCACAGCTGTTGTTTATCTCTATATAGCTCCAATGTTAGCAATGCTCCAAAGGCTAACTCTTAAACCACAATGTGCCATGTTTTATTTCCTCATATTAAACACACTTGATGTTTAAATAAGAGTCTTGGAGCTGTTTGAAACATCTTTGATGAAGGCTAGGCTAAATTAAACTGTTCCTTCCCACTTCCATTCTTTGTCCTAAGCTAACATTTGGCTAAACACGTCAGCTGGTTTGCAAAGAGATGAAACTGATGTTGACTTCTTCTCTAACACTTGGGGAGACAGCAGACAAGGAAGGGGAGGGAAGTTTCAATTTGTTTTTCATACGACAATTGCATTCCTAATATATATTAGCTTTTATTATGGTCCCTGCATTTGAATTAGCTTTGACGGGTAACTACCATGGATGTAATAAGGAGAACTGGATACAGCATTGGAGGCGGGACTCTGTTCTTTCCTATGAAAGTTTCTCAGTGGCACACGAACCCAAAAAACCACCACCTGCTGCAAAGAAAATACCCAGATGAATGCATACTGTGCATGCTCTATCGGTACGAGCAACCCGAGACTTCCACCAGCCGAGCGTTCGGTTTTGCCTTCCACTTGCTTGAATGAGGATAAAATGATTTAATCGCGTGGCTCATCACATGGTTTGACCACTATGTCAAATTGGCTTCAAGGTCTACTCCTGGGGGGCTTGGTAACCTTAAGCTTACACAAAAAAAACTGTGAGTTTGCAATGGAGATAAGCAGGCCTATTATTTATTCCTTTTTTGCACCAACACCCTCTTATGGTAATACTTATGGTAATAGTGAGCAGTGGCGCTGGTAATCTCGTCATTATTCATTCATGCCACCAAGGAAAGCTCTGTGAGACTTAGAAGTGAGACTTAGAAGAAGACAGATGAGAAGGAAAACATGGATCTGCTGCTACTCTTTCACAAGTCCAATTGGCCGGTGCGACTCTGACCTAAATCCACCCCTGAGGTTACACATGACGCAGTTGAGTTTTGAAACGCGTTCAGTGAGCTCAGCCTTAATTTGACTTTGGAATGACTTTCAGGCAGCAGTCTTTTGGGGCTCATTAAATGCAAGCATGGAGAACAGATGCCCACCGGTGAAGGGGTTTTGATTTTCCCACCTCTGCCTACAAACAAGATGTGCTGTTGCAGTGAAGCAAACAAATAAGCAGAGCTATCTTTGTGATAAGTGGCTTACTGATGTTGGAGCTGTCGAAACGCAGCCTTGTGAAGAAACTGTTTGTAAAGATGTGGTGAGTAAGCTAAACTACTCGTTAGTAGTGCTCACTACATAATGAAAGTGTTTTAACTTTTCATCTACTCACCACATAATCATCATGGCGGTTTAAATTGCATAACCATTGCCCAATGCAGCACATAAAACTAGGCAGAGCTCCTTCAGTTTTTTATTTCACAAAAATACCTTTATTTTCAATGTTGGTGTGAGAATGATGTGAATTGCATCATGAGGTAATGATAACTTGACACCTGAAAAATAACTCTGAAATGTGAAACGATAGCAAAAAGTCTGACTAAAGCATGATGGCTAGGAAAAAAAAGTGCTCATTAGCTATGGAAACCCAGGTTGAAGCCCTATTTAAATTCCAGGGAGACTGGGATCATCAACCATGTGATGCAATTACAGTAAAGCTGAATTAATTTCTCAATCATAATAATTGAAATAAATGCAAGATAATGAGGAATTGGAGCAAAGAATTGTGGAAGTGTTGCGGAATGTCTGCAGTGCAATTATGCCAGTCTTCCCCGCATGCATCCTGACGCGTGGACTAAGGCAACCTCACCACCCAAATCAAATTTGACTGCAGAAGATTTTGAATGCGTGCCAGGTCTAGCTTGCACATGGTGGCAGAGCCTCAGCAGTCTCTCAATGGGGACAGTCAATCAATACAAACTGATTACATGATTGGATCCCCTGGGCACCAAAACTTCATCAATCAATCACGCCTCCACCTTCCAGGCAGCTGTGCCTCTCCAACCGTCAACTCCACCAGCCAAGAATGGAGAAGAGAGGGAGGAAAAATGTGCAAACGTGTGTGTATGCGTGAGATTATGTTGGTGGGAGGGTACATACTGGGGGGTACAGGGAGGGTCTTCCACATGCAAAAACACAAAAGAATATAACAAGCAGAATAGTAGCATGGGATCGTCTGTTGATTCGAGATCCTAAGAGGACACAGTTTGTCTCTCACAGGTCATTACCTCAACACTGCACCCAATCCGATCCTTTAAATAGTTATTTCATGGACAGATTTATCTCAGAGTTAAGCTTCTTTCTCTCTTGCTCATTGTCTGGTTTCTTTCTCTTGCCCTGTCTTCTCTTGCTCCTACTGTACCTCCTCCTCTTCCTTATCCTATCCCTCCTCTCCTGTACCACAATCCCACGCCGTAATGGAGCCAGTTTACATTATTTTTTTCCCACACTCCTCATTTCAGAAATAGCTCAGATAGAAACCAGAGCATGTAAGCGTTTCTGTGGTGAAACCATGTTTTAAAAAAACAACAACCAAACAATCATCTGGAGAAGGGCAGATACTGAGCCATGTGGGTTTTTTAGTTGGGTATGATGAGGCTGACTGAAGGCCAGGGGTGCAGGGATGAGCTCAGACAAATACTGACCCATCATGACCGATCCGCAGTGTTTGATTTCAGCGCATTTAAAAGTGGTTTTATCATTTAAAACAGAGCTGACCAGGCAGAGGCCCTCTGGGAGTACAACAGGTCCTCAATCTCTCCTTAAGCCCCACAGCTCCATAATGAGAGTAAGGCGGGTTTAATTGGTTTTATAATGAGCTTGCTTGTAGGAAATGACACACAAAGTTGCACACACGCATGCATGCTCATCTACACACACAGGCATTCAAACAAAGAAATACACTTGCATACAAACACACTCACTCTTGTTGGTTGCTCTCATTGAATTTGTAGTTGTATATTGTGTGCATGATCACTGGTTTGATCAATACCCTATCATGGATAATGGCATATCAGGATCACACATCCAGTATGTAAGAATCCATATAGTGCATTTAGCCCCATTTTCACATGTATGGAGAAAATCCAGACGGGTTTAAGTAGTTTGTAGTATCAGTACTACTACCGTTATTAATAATATTTTTATCATTACTATCAATTTATTTTTGTTTCTGTCTTTATTTAATGTTTTGTCGTTTTGCGCCAATTAAAATACATTTTCCAGCTGTTTGGGAATAACTTTTGTACGTCTGTTGCAGTTTAGTTACAACAATAATAAGCGATCTAACAACTATCTATAAATAAAAACACATGGCTGAAATAGAGCAACACAAAAATGTTATTGTCTTGACAGTATGTCCCTCACACTGCTCCCTCACCCACATGATTCATCCTGGATCAGACACACATTACAAAAGCTCAGTGCACCTTCTGCATGATTGTATGTGTTGAACTGACTCTTTAATGAGACAGGGAGAATGATGACTAATTGCATTCTCATTTCAGTGTCACTTCAGCTGCTGTTGACCCTGTGAGTAGGTATTTCCACAGAGAGCTTACATAGTGTCACTTCAACATCTAGGTAGAAGGTGGCAATTGGATTTCAGTCCACCTCAAATGCTCCTCTGTTACATTTGCATTTAGCTATGGTATATATATAAAAATCTATCTGATCCTCCCGAAGAGCATAAAGTGATTCGATGTAAATGGGGTCTTATTTAAGTAAATAGGGCATTGCTTTAAGTTCAGTATCAGGGACGACTATATTTTCCAAAAACCTTGGTACACCTTTTAAAATTCAAGCAGATTCCCCTTCCATGTGTGGTCCATGTCATGTAACAGAAGAACTGAGCTGATTTGCCATTAATACCACATGTCCATATGACCTCAGTGAGCATCTCATTTTATCCTCTCTTCCCAGCGTCTCACAGCTGACAAGGATATATTTTTAACCCATGAATAATATTTAAGCCAATAACAGCAATATCCTTTCTGCTGCTGAAATTCCCTTGCAGGACCTGCAATGGATATAAACAACACAGCTTAGTATGGCTTCCACAAACAGATATGCAACCTGAGCCCATGTGCTCTTAACGAAAACAGCCTCCCTTTCTCGTGGCTGGGTTTGCATCT